CTACTGTCACAGACCCGCATGCACGTGTACAACCAACAACAAGCCGACAACAGCGGTGGTACCTTAACACTACAACTTGAATGGTTTCCAACACTCGGAACCACAATATGTAAATTTCATCTGATTTAAAATATCCATATACCCGGTATTACAATTAAATTTAAAAAAGCAAATAACAGAATAATGTAAACATGTACAACAGAAACAAATAACATAAAAACTTCAATTACCATCAACAAAAACATAAAACAAACATACACCTGGAAAATTGAGTGAGTGAGTTGTGTTTAACTTCGCTTTAAACAGTATTCCAGTAATATCACGGTTTGTCAGCTTAATGTGGGAGGAAAGCCCAAAGTGATGCAGGTCTCAGATGTTTACCACTTCAGTGAAACCCACGACAAACCTAGAAACATAATCGGGGCAAACCGGGATTCGAACCCACAATCATAGGTTTCTGGCGTGCCCAAGGGATGCAACTCTGCACAGCGAATCGCGTCGCCTTAGACGACTGGGCCACCCATGCCCCCTACACCTGGAAAAAGTTAAGAAACACTTACGACATATTTCCATAATAAATAATCGTTCTTTCAAAAATCATATCCTGTATCAATTTTCTTCTTAAACACATTTAATTTCATTCACAATGTGAGATACTCATATGAGATACAGAAGCCGAAATCAGTTATCCACTGTTTTGTAAGTAAGTTTTCTAAGTGCCCTTTACACTGCTAACAGCTTCTCTATTTCTTTGAGATCAAGGTCCTATGGAGATGTGTCCAGTGGGTACATGGACATTCAGGATACAGGAAAATAGCGGAGTGGTGCGGCGCGTTTTCTAGGTGTATGTCTTGTCACTTTTGTTACACATGGAAATAACTCTCAATCACTCAGTGACAGGAAAAAAACTGCTCCCTCTCTAACTTTACCTCATCAATAAACCAGCCTTGAAAAATCCATTTTATTTCTATTTGAACAATTAAAAAAATTCAACCAAGAATGCACTTTACTTGTATAAAGAAAGAGACTAAGCCGACTGTTCATATGTAATACCAAACAACCTTTTTTTCGGTTTCTGAAAGATATTGGTGTCATGAGATTTTTTTTCTGAAAGTGCATTTATTTAAAAAAATGTCTTACTATGCAATATCATAAAAAAGGAAGTAATATTTAGGGGTTGGATGTTTATCACAGACTTATGATAATGCTCTTTAGGGGACGAATCTCTCTTTGGAATCTTGAAATAGTTCCTTTTTGTCTGTCCCTGCTCCACTGAGATTTCAGCATTGCCATAAGGGAGATAACTCCAAACACACCTCCTACAGGCCTCCATTTTAACATAAAATCAATACATTTGATAAGCATTGCTGCACCACGGTCTCACTGAAATGACATAACCTGTAATGGGATGTCCTCACATCTCTGTGTAGCAGTAGAGGGCACTAAGATCGATTTTAAAGAGATTGTGCTGCAAATTGAAAAAAAATGAAGAAAACATCGTGAAAGTTGTTGTAGGCAGAAATGACAAAGTTGCAAAACTGATGACACATTGATTATAGGCTGAAAGCAGTCTGTTTTGAATAACAGTCGAAGTTGAAGAGACCTACGTAAATACTTTGAGTTATCTGAGGTTTGACACAACAGAAAGTGATAAATAAAGATGGAATACGCAGGGACAAAGATTTTACTTCAAGACAACCATAAGTTCGACACAACGATGTTTAACTGTATATTATATCAGAGTTATATCTTATTTCTCTTCATTTGTCATTCCGAAATTCATATAAAACCTCTGGGGATAAAATATTATTGAAACAATACTTCCATCTTTTCTTTATAATATCTTATTTTAATATCCTGTAGTACTATAGTTAATAAGAGACCGCGCCAATCTATATTGAGCTGTGTAGTCTGTGTGGATAATACTGTAGCGCCGAGCTAAGCAGCCTCTGTACAAACACATCAGTTCCGTATCACAAACTCTCTATATACATGTATCAGACCTATCTAGGCTCCACGTCCCCTTCAACATTCAGATCACTCCAACATATATCACAGACTTTAATACCTGATCTTTTCTATGCAAAACAGTCTTACCAATAGGCCTTTTATTTTATATTTGGATTACAAAATATTTGTCCTGGCCCAAAATATAAAATAGGTGGTCGAAAAAGACAAGCAAAACAATTTCAACTTCCAAATGAACTTCATGTTTACAAAATGAAAAAACACCATGTAGTCAGTACACTACGACTCTTCATCAACACCAGTACTATATGGAAAAGAGAGAAGAGCGTCTACCAGTGTCTCCATAAAGATTTCGATAGCCAATTCCCGAAGTAGTTTTGGGCAACTACCGGTAACAATTTCTAAACTGCAGTGTCCTCAAAACTGCTTAGAATCATGCTGCATGACTTTTCAAACAGTTAGCCTAAAAATGTTTGGAAAAACAAGACATTTTTTTTGTGTAAACTAATGAAATCTAAAAAGCCTTCACAGACACATCACTGAGAGACTCGTGTCCAATCACAGTCCACATTCTGGTTAAAAATACATATATACACACACACACATAAATATTCAATAGGTTTTGATTCTCCCCTTTGCACAGTATGAAGTTTGGGACTAGCAGGGTTTCTGCGTAGATACTGATTTCATAACATAATGCACCCTGATTACAGGTTTTGTACAAATATTTTTTTAAATAACACAATCAAATCAGATTGAGAATGTAAGGGAGAAAGGGTAAATATATAAGCTTATAATTAACCATTCCAACAAACTAAACCAACACTTATGTTGTGTAGCACGTCCAAAACAACCGAAACTGTCCCATCACCTATCATTCTCAGAACCAAAAAGTCAATATGTTGAATATCTACTATTAGAAAGTTCAACATATTCCTAAAGTAACATACCATAGCTAGTCAGTTTTGTCCAATTTGACAATTTGAACAAAACAACATACACACATGAATTAAAAATGATTAAGTAAGCCAAAATGTGGTAAAATCAAGTCAAGTTCACCTACATTTCTAGAAAAGGAACACCGTAAAGCTCCGGGTCTACATCTAAAACAGTATACGCACAAAATAATGAAAATGTCTGTCTGTAAATATCACTGACATTTGCCTGACTAAAAATATTGAAAAATCTATTAAGGCGACATTTTTTTTATTTCTTGGTTTATGGATGAGCCCCTTTTTCAAAGTCCAGATGGTAACAAAAATAAAAATGAAAATTACCCTTTTTTTTATTACCACTGATCTTTTTGTCAAAAGGTTCAAACAAAAAAAGATTCCATTTCCTGGTCGAGCATAGAGCAAAGGGAAGTCACTCTGATATTTCTCGCTGGGATCCTTCTCTGATACCATCAAAGTTTGTCAACGCAAAGCGCAGTGGTGACCAGTTTAACTCTTTCAACACTGCTGGCCAGTACAATGGCCAAGAATCCATAAGTCACCAGACACCGCAGGGTAGACCTACTAGTCATATCATTCATTTATTAAATCTATCACATTCCACAATGTCTGAAATATGTATTCCATTTGATTTTATCATTTTTATCAATAGATTAAATAATTATTCACTAGATTCTATTTCCCGCAATGTTATTGAAAATAAAATTTTCAGACAAACTTTGACAACGTGTCCTCATCGAACATGTCAAACAGCAAAATAAAGACGTTTCAAGCAAATCTTTAAATATACTATACAAAGTAATAAAATCAACAAAAATCTATCTTAAAGTTGCCAAACTTTTTAGGACAAAATTCAAGTAAAATAATCTCTGAGGCTTTTTTTTTTTTAATGGCCTACTTCACTTTTGAAATGAGTTTGAAATCCGTAAACCAAGAAATAAAAAAAATGTCGTCTAAGGTTCATATCCAAAACAATGTAATTGGCATATGTTTCTATCACAATTTCCAAAAATCTATACGGGACCAGTGACCTTGACAAGAAAAATCCTGACCTACATCAAATGTTTCTTTCTTAATTAATGAATGTTAAGCTTTTTCCCATGTTCACATCGATAAGGACAACATATCGATGAGTCAGGGTGTTTTCCTGTTCAAAGATTGGGTCAGACCACACATCATCTTGATCTACCAGTTGTGTTAATGTGTGCCATTTGTGAACATCAGAGTAAAAATGGCGTAATGATGGAGTGGAGTGTAAGCTCTGATGGAGCTTGAAACTGTGGAGTTTAGGACAATATAGTTTGAGTAATTGTCGACTAACAAGAAAATCATATTGTGTAACAAAATATATTTTTGTTGTTGATTCATACAATTCTCTTGAAGGAATGTAAATTCTCACTGACTTACCGTAAATCATGAAAATAATGAAATCACAGAATTACTGCACAACATGCAAGTGTCTAATTTTTGCATTAATAAAGTGACACTGGAAATATTTGAGTGTATTATCATGCCCGGTTCGCTGCACATCCTGGAAACAATTATTATGACATACCATACTTGCCATAATACGTGCTCGGACGCTTAGAAGCAATACATAGGGGGACAGTTATCAAAAACACACCCAAAGAGATAAATAATCTTTGTATTTCTTCCAGGACTGAAAAAACTTAGTTCAAATGTTGATGAGCTTAAAACCCTTCTGATAATTGAATACACAATGCCATTTAGAATGTGGTCAAATGTAACAAATGTTATATTTGGGATAACACTTTCTTAGTAAAGTACAGATTCTCATACTTTTTGGGGGTTGAGTCCCGTCTGGGATTTGAACCCACACTTGCCAGAGTGAGGCACCTAATCGCCAGCACACAAAGTCTGAGTGGGTTAGATCACTGACTTTGTGTGCTGGCGATTAGGTGCCTCACTCTGGCAAGTGTGGGTTCAAATCCCAGACGGAACTCAACCCCCAAAATGTATGAGAATCTGTACTTTACTAAGAAAGAGTTATCCCAAACATAACATTTGCAGGGTTAGAAATTGGCACTGGTCCTATAGTCCTTGCCAAACTGCCCAATAGTTAAGGTATCCTAAGGACTAGTAGATATTTGCCATTTTTAAGGATTTTGCTATATATTATCATTATAAGGACTAGTGGACCAAAAATGTTAGTTTCTACCCCTGCATTTGTTACATTTTCTGATAATTAGTCACCAGGCAATCTATAAAATTTATTATATTCCTCATCGTAATTAAATCCAACTACAAAATGCATATAAAGACTCTCAATTCACACACCCCTTTTACACTTCTTCTGTACACAAATCTGTATTACATACACACAAGTAAATATGCACTGTTAATTCAAGTTTGGTCTTATTAGGGGGCGGAAAAACAGATGAGTTTTAGTCTGATCTAAAGGTTGGTCAGGGGGCAGTTATTGGTGCAGGGTGCTTAATACAGCAAATACAGTACATAGCAAGCACCCTGTTAACAATAAGGATCATCACAAACTGCTACTGCCCCATCCTATACCATGAGGTTCGAAGTCTATTAGTAAATTCTTGTTGAAGTTTTCCTATTATTAACATACAGTAGTATCTTCAAAGGAAGCGCTCCTCGCATTTCTTTCATGGCACATCATAGGCCAGTGTTGGCACTAGCAGTAATTTGGTGATGTATTAGTTTCATGATTTATGGTATTCACAATATAGACCATACTTCCACATGTTTCCAACCTGTTTGCAGTCATCACAAGCCATTAACACTAAAATACTCTTCATGATATACCGTTGCTTCATCTTCAAGCCCTCGTGTCCCGGGAATAGTTCGACCCCCTGGGTGACAGTTTAGACAGAAAGAGCGGCGCCACGGCCAGCGCCAGTATGGTGAGACCCAGCCAGGGTCTGTACGTGATCCAGCCCAGGGCAATCACAGTCAGAGAGAGGCTGATAGAGAGGGCGAGGTTCATCGTCGTTACTCCCATAGCAACCAGTTCTCGGACAATTGGCAACCAGTCAACTGTAAGATACAACATATTATTTACAGAAAACTACATGAATTTGGATATTCATGATATTTGTATACATATCCTTACACATTGTATCCATATAAAGGACTCAGGGCCACCGACGAAGCACTGATGAGAAGATAGTGAAAGTTTCAGGGACAGATAACTCCTGGTAACCAAGGGTAGGGGGCTTCAGGGAGGAAGTGACACGCTTAGGGTTCTGTGTTATAGAATTGCAGTCCAGAAGAAACTTTCAATGTGTTGTGTCAGGGGTGAGTGAGAATTGTTTTACGCCTTTAGCAATATTCTAGCAATATCGGGACGCCAGAAATGGGCTTCACACATCCCCATGTGGGGAATCGAACTCGGGTCTTAGGCGTGACGAGTAAACGCTTTAACCACTAGGCTACACGACCGCCCAAGTAATGAACTGTGAGTGAGTGAGTGAGTGAGTGAGTGAGTGAGTGAGTGAGTACAGTATTCCAGTTGGATAAGTCAGGATAAGAAATAATCAACAATGTCTGGATTGGAAGACATGACATGACAGTCTTGATGCTGTACTGGTCAAACGTAAGGGTCATAGGGTCAACTTGCAAAATCTGGGTTATGACCAGGACTTTGGACTTTGGAACACAGTAAGACACCAAGACTCATGTTGAAGTCAGGACTGAGGTGACATGGTGTTTTGTGTCACACGTTCAGGATTATTTCACTCTTAATACAACATGCTTGCACATTGATATGTGGGTGCGAATGTGTGCGGCTTCGTTTACTAGTTTGGACTAATGCTAGTGTGAGAGCCACTAAGATGACACAGTTTAACATAGCTACCCCACCCAGACTCAGTATACTGACTCCAAGCCGACCAGTCCTTGTTTTAGTCCCTTAATGTTGAGCACCAGAAAGGAAGTACCATCACAGTCTTTTGGTACGATGTGGCTGGGATGCCAACCACCAATGAGGTGGTCTGCTATTTGGGGACACTGTGTTGAAGTGCTAAGAACAAACTGGTTTTGCGATCAGGTTTGGTGTTGGTTTTATGTAACATAAACATAGTATTTAAGTGTTTACCCAAACCAATGGTGTGTTCCGCGTTTGATATGTTCAGTTGAGATATGTTGTAATCACTCGACTTTCAGCCAGGAGAGCTAAAGAAATTCACATTAAAACATTTCCCTTGAATTCTATCACACAACAAGATTCCACTGTGGATACAATTCGTTGCCGTGACAACATTTAATGAGATAACCATTTAGACGTCAGTTTCAAGAACATCACAGCATCACTCCCATTCTCTTTCACATCAGCAACACTCGACCTGACAACACATGCAACTGGACGTATACTTAATGTTTCAAACAGGAAGCCGTATCTGTGATGATTTCCCTGACTCACCTATGGTAGTGATGATACTTGTGATGCAGCCAAACGCTACAAACATGAGCAGCCAACCACCGAATCTTAACGCCCACGTGAATATTGCATTCTGGGCCTGTTCCTTGCCAAATATTTCCTGAAAAAAAACAACATTATCCGTCAAAATATGCTATAAAACTTCTGTCTCCTTCATGGCAGCAAAACTATGAAGAACTGACAAATTTGTAGTTTGACAGCAGAATTAACTACTTGTGTAAAAACTGACTAACACTTTGTCAGCAAGCTTAAGGTACAAGTAAAAGGACAATCACTTCAAAAGTAAACACATTGACTCATTTCATAACCTGTAATCAATGAAATTAATTCTTTACATATCTTCAGTCTTCCAGTTAGCCACTGGACTGATGCCCGAGTCTAGCAAAATCATTTAAGTCTAGTTTGCTGAAAGTAGTTCATATGTTAAAAATAATTTTTACAGAAAAAATCTCTGAAAGACTATGTCAGGCTTGACGACAAACATATTTTTAGCACAGGTTATATGCTGTCAAGTCAATAGGGATGGGTATTGGATGTTTAAAGTGTACCACAATATTTGACAATGCACAAGGCCGTATTGCGATATATATCACAATATATTGCATAATTCAAAATATTGAATTCAGAAGCAATTTGAAACATCAATGCAGGAACTGAAGTTCATCAGTGGAACAAAACAAGATGCTGGAACAGCATAATGTTTACTCATTCAATCAATACGCAAGGATGCACGCTCTGGGGCAGTGAGGACTTGGTGTTACACCACTCCCACAGAAGAACTCCAGAATGCGAACTTGCATTTTGGAATTACGGAAACATTTTGAAGGTACATGTATTTGCCAAGTGTATAACATTAGCACATGACAATAATCGCTATTTGAAATTACCCGATATGCAGAGTATCATTAAAAAATTATATTGTGATAACGTATCATGCAAAGAATGAACCTCAATTTACCGATATACCGGTAATACCGTGCACCCTTACAACTCAATTTACTACATTTCCAGGATAAATCCGATGACGGTTGTTACCTTGGGGCTCATGTCCCCGAAGTACAGCAGCTCAATCTGGTCTCCAGCCTCGGTCTGATACGGCAGCAGCCTCTCGTTGATCTGCCGAGCCACCACACTCACCTGAGATCGATGTAAAAATAAACAACTGTTCAGCATATACTCATGCATATGTTTTGATATAAAATACACCTAGCTTGACGAGACTGGTCGGTGTCTGGTTAGAAAATGTTCCTAGTTATATGTCCAGGAATAATCAGCTTCCCTGACTCCGCAACAACCTCGAAGACTGGGAGATGAGTTACACTGCATGTCAATCAAAACCTGAGAATCTTCCAAGCTACATCAACAATTATTTCTGCTCTCAGGGATCTACCTAGACCTATGTACTTTTGAGACCTGGGCATTCTCAGGCTTATAGTTTTGGGGTCCAAGGAATAAATGTTTTTGTAGTACCAGGATGACAATTGTTTATTTCTTGACATCTACAGACTGGCGACATTCATCTTCCCGAGACAAGGAAGTTAATAGACTGTAATAGTCCAGTTTCAACCTTTGCCGAACTACGCTGCAATTTCGTGGCTCGATTGTAGCACCACCAGTGGCTATTACGAGTTATGTCCCTTCTATGTGCCTCCTATTGACCAATAAGATTCCACCTCTCATATCATTTGCATTTGCTTAAAACAAAATGGAGGTGCCCAGTCAAGAAGATCTGATCGATAGTCAAGATCTATATTGAACTAAAACACTTTGATTAAAAGCATGAAAAGATTTGGAAAATATCTATCAACACACAGTTGCTGGTACACATGCTTTGCAAATCCTGCAGTTGATTGAAATCTGCACACTGAAATCCATGTTGTTTCTGAACCAGATCAATTTCGTTGCACGATTTTGATTGGACTATGCCTAGACTCGTTAGTCCAGCCCAAACTCCGGAGTTCCAGCCAAGTTCAGCTTGGGTGGAACTGGACTTTTACACTCAGTTGACTCCCTTGCCTCGGGAAGATGGGTGACATGTGACACTCTTGACTTTCAGGAACAGCCTCATAACATTGCACACGCAATAAAGCCATGTCATAAGGCATGGTGATTTCCTCATTTGACTGGTTAACGAATATTGAAAACTTTGAGACTTTTGACTAGTTCTTATCAGAATAGAAATGTCAGTTTAATTCAAAGTGCATACTATAATTTGACAGTACACAATAATTTCTGTTGAGTCAAACCCTGCCTATACAATCCTCAGTTAAAAGCTTTTTGTGAAGTGTGTGTGGAACGGAGGACATAACACACTGAGACTGATCCTTACCCTGGCTGCTGGTCCTAGGGCGGAGTCCTGGCTTAAACCTGAATACTCAAACTTCACCCGTATATCGCCCACCTGAAATAATAATAATAATAATAATAATAATAATAATAATAACAACAACAACATTTGTTTTAGCTTACCTGGATATGTAGTCAATAGACAACAAAAGTAACCATCAGGATATATCTGTCCCACCCATCCCGATATATCTGACTCCCCTAGAAGATCTGCCCCCCCCCCCCCCCACAAGTATATCTGCCACCCCAGTATATCTGAATATCTGACCCCCAGTATAACTGACTCTCCCATCTCAGTATATCTGACCCCCCAGTATACCAACCTCCATCCCCTGTATTTCTGCCTCCCCCAGTAGAGTAGTATATCTGACCACACCGGTGATCTGCCCCCCCCCACACACACACACACACCAGTATTCTGCCTCCCCCGATACTCTGTCTCCCAATCTGTACCTGGGGCATGGCGGGGTTGAAGCTGTGGTAGAGTGCCCCCATGTACAACTTGATGCTGGGGTCCTGGGGCTGGCCGATGTAGGTGGGAGTCAGCTGTTTGAAGTCTGTCACCTTCTCTATCAAACCTGCACAGGAAACAAATCTCATTTGTTAAAAGTTGAACTCAAATACAAAGACACCATGTCCTTCCCATACAAGTACAAGTATTGTCCTGTATGACATAAGTGCCTGATACGATAATGTGTCATGGCACTAGTATTCTGAAGCACCAGTTACGCTGTTGAACTGACACAGGACAGCCATACATGTGACCCGCCAGGAGAAAAGGAGTCTTGTGGAAGCTAGGATACAACTGTGCTGGGACATCATAAAGAAAGACGCTTCACGTCAACTTACTTCCGGAAAAATCACCATGTATGAGGACTGTACAATAGTTATTTTTCTCTTCTTAGTTCTCAATGTAATAAAAACATTATTTCAAAACATTAAAGCGTACACGTCTACTTTCGATTAATCAGTCACAATATATAAATTATTACAAGAACAATTATAATTTCAAGACTGAAAATGAGATTTTGCAGAAAATTATCCAAATGTTTGATGTCATGTATCTCTGCAATATGAATTGTTGCTTGTGAATTGTATTTTTATGTTTTTAAAATACTGTTGTTTTAAAATATATGAAGTAATCAAAATGTGATTTTTCACCCTTAGGTCCCTTATTTCATGGTGGGTCACATATATCTCTTAAACAGACACGAAGAAGAAGCTAAAAGCCAAGCGGGTGAATACTGCTGACATATTGGCAATTTTCAGTTATTCATGGCTATAACAGTTATAAAATATGTCATCACTGATGTTTCAATACATATATACATGTATAACTCTATGGTAGCTCAGGGCGGTCGGGTAGTCTAGTAGTTAAAGCGTTCGCTCGTCACGCTGAAAACCTGGGTTCGATTACCGACATGGGTACAATGTGTGAAGCCAATTTCTGGTGTCCTCCGCCGTGATATAGCTGGAATATTGCTAAAAGCAGAGTAAAATCAAACTCCCTCACTCACTCACTCACTATGGTAGCTCACCATTTGAGAGGGAAAAACTTCCAACCAAAACTCTGTCTGCAACATGTGTGACAGACGATACTGAAAGAGACCTAGATGAAAACAAAAAAAAACAAATTTGGGATACAATAACATAATTGCATTTAATATTAAATTATACACGGGATATTATGGATGCTGGAACAAATGTACTGTGAAACCAAAATATATTCTTTGGCTTTAAATATTCTCTCTCAAACACAAGTCCAAGGCACCCCACCCCCTCTGATAATAACCACATATCAGCAATGCCCTGTGGACTAAACAGGTCAAAATTAGAGGATTATCATTTATATAGCTATGCCGATTTAGATTTATTATGTTATATGGCAATGTACTTTATCATCCCAAACTGGCTCCCACAGGAGATATCGCTTTGTTGAGAGCAAGCGATATCTACAATGTAGATATCACTGCAATGAAATAGCATCACAATGCTTTGAAGGACCATTGTGACATCATTGGTTACCATGATGTCACAATTAGATGACATCACTAATGGCTCTGCTACTGAAGCTGTTAGCAGTGCTTTTTACACTTACATACTGCTTATTACCGTATACAAATTGAAAAAGTTGGAAGTATGATGTTGGATAATAAATAGAATCTCACCCTTGTGTCTTTTGATATTAAATATATCAACAATCGTCGATAAAAGTTTAAAACTCCTCGGTAAGCCTCAGTTTTAAAAAGATGAAAACGATGACCTTCACCTTCGTTTAAATTTGACCAACATATTTTCAAAGGAGGAACTCATCCTAGAGATGCATTAACCTTTTCTGAGAAAGTGTAACCACAAATTTCTCAGTGAATTTGTCCACCTATTAACCTTAATATTGACCTTCTCATTGCATGTTCCAAAATAATTCCCAAGTCTACGTGGAAGAAGTCCATTGCTAGATAACCTTTCATGTCAATGATCTTAGCACTATATTTAAGAGAAAATATCATATAACTATCACTGACAATTACCTCAAAGGAAATTAGCAAAATCTAAATATTTTTTACATTTGTATACTTATCCTGCATTAGTCCTTAATGCATTCACTGCTTACCTTACAACAAAAGATGGGACAGCGTAACGGCGATAGTCCTGTGGAAGAAATAAAATACTGTTGTTCTTGGTCCCACTTTTCTTGACTCCCTCTGCTGTCCTGTGACCTTGATGACCTGAGGTCACCTCTTCACATCACTGCCTGTCGTGCTACAGGCAGACGTGTACTAGCGGAGCTCTCGTTTTGGATTAAGTTAGACCTTCAGTTTTTGGTATACAATTCTTTTGGCGTAAGGTAAGCAGTGAATGCATAAAAAAGTAATGCAGGATAAGTAAAAAAATTTTGACCTTTGACACGGGGCTGCTTAAAACCGATATCACCTGGGTTTTTTTACTCACGTTGGATTCTGATGTCCGACTGAACTGTCAAATGATGAGCTCTTAATTAGTTCTGTCCTCCACTCTAAATCTGAAACGATATTTTCACAAACTGATACAACATGCTTGTAGTAAAAGTATTCAAACAGGTCAGGTACTCTCACAACAAGGGGCCCAGTCGTCTAAGGTGCCCCGATTCGCTGTGCAGAGTTGCATCCCTTGGGCACACCAGAAACCTATGATTGTGGGTTCGAATCCTGGTTCGCCCCGATTGTGTTTCTAGGTTTGTCAGCACCATACCCGTGCTCGTGCCTTTCACCGAAGTGGTAATCATCCGAGACCTGCATCACTTCGGGCTTTCCTTCTACATTAAGATGACACTTCGTGATATAACTGGAATACTGTTAAAAACGGTGTTAAACCCAACTCACTCACTCTCACAACATGACATAATCACAAACAGCAAGGAGATGATGTATGTCAGCACTGTATGACTGAAACAATCTAACTGCAGCTGATGCGGAAAGACCTGGCTAGGCACGTCGCCTTCATTCAGTAACCATGGTAACCAGCTGGTCATCAGGGCACGTAGACTTGGCTTGCGATCAAGCTGTCACCATGACAGATACTTGATTATGTGTTTGACAGTAGCCATTAAGCGTGTCCTTCGTCATGTGATCATAGAATGGAGTGGAAAATGCAGTACTGTCGCCACTTACCGTAAGAATATGTTGTTTCCACCCTTGTATCGCCGCCTTCATTGTATTCTCTGAAACAAACATACAGTTGAAATCATTCTGAAATTATATGATCCATAACATAATAATCTGTGGCTGTCAAACAGTAGGTGAGGTGAAAAGGGGTTCAAGATTATTGCACTTACATAGCGACGCGCATGTGTGTGTGTGGCTGCTTGTACTAGTCCAGATACCTGTGAAGATACCTGTGAAGATTCCCGCGTAGAATAGATCTTCAGCAACCCATGCTTGCCGTAAAAGGTGACTATGCTTGTCGTAAAAGGCGACTAACGGGATCGGGTGGTCAGGCTCGCTGACTTGGTTGATGCATGTCATTGATCCCAATTGCGTGGATCGATGCTCATGATATTAATCACTGGATTGTCTGGTCCAGACTTGACTATTTACACACCTCCGTCATATAGATGGAATATTGCTGAGTGTGGCGTTAAACGACAAACCAACCAACCAATCAACTAGTCCAGACTCAGGGTTAGAAACTAACAGTTTTCGTCCACTAGTCCTTATAATGATAACATATGTCAAAACCCTTAAAAAGGGCACATTTCTACTCGTCCTTATGATACCTTTACCACTGGACAGTTTGGCAAGAACTACAGGACAAGTACCAATTTCTAACACTGAGACTAATGTCAGTTTTATAGTGCTAGCCCAGGGAGATACCTACCGTAGTTTAACATGAATACCCCACTCAGATACAGTATACTGACTGAGTCAACCAGTCCTTGTTTTAGCCCCTTAACGTCGTCACACATGTTCCAAATGTAACGAGTGTTGGGTGCTTGAAACATATTCTACTGTTCTACTGTTTTCTACACGAGCGTGTTGTGCTGGAAACCTGTTCTACTCCACACAGGGTCTTGGTTGATGAAATACCTTCTGGACTCATGCTCCACCCACTGGTACATCTCCACACTGCGGCGGAGTTTGACAGCTGGCACCGAGATATGATACACTGGGTCGTACAGCATCTGTAACCATGGCAACAACATTAACAGCTGGGAAGACATGCACAATATAATAGCATGTCAAATATCAACTGTACATCACGCTTGTCGTCGTTCGTAGGAAACAGCATGAATAACGTGATAAGGGCAGAATGGTTACTGTGTTTTAAACTGACGCTTCAGTTGATAATATTTCTTCTCCAGCATCTTTAACTACAAAACAGTGCAGGTTAATCAGGGGTAAAATGTGCTTGTTTCATTAATGGAGGCATGTTGTGTCAACATTTTGGGTGTGTCTTTGGCGAGTCAGTGCCATGTCTGCTGTGTCTTTGGCAAGTCAGTGCCATGTCTGCTGTGTCTTTGGCGAGTCAGTGACGTGTCTGCTGTGTCTTTGGTGAGTCAGTGACATATCTGGTGTGACTTTGGTGAGTCAGTGACGTGTCTGCTGTGTCTTTGGTGAGTCAGTGACATATCTGGTGTGTCTTGGGTGAGTCAGTGACGTGTCTGCTGTGTCTTTGGTGAGTCAGTGACATGTCTGGTGTGTCTTTGGCGAGTCAGTGACGTGTCTGCTGTCTTTGGTGAGTCAGTGACATGTCTGGTGTGACTTTGGTGAGTCAGTGACATGTCTGGTGTGTCTTTGGCGAGTCAGTGACATGTCTGCTGTGTCTTTGGTGAGTCAGTGACGTGTCTGGTGTGTCTTTGGTGAGTCAGTGATGTGTCTGCTGTGTCTTTGGTGAGTCAGTGACATGTCTGGTGTGTCTTTGGCGAGTCAGTGACGTGTCTGCTGTCTTTGGTGAGTCAGTGACATGTCTGGTGTGACTTTGGTGAGTCAGTGACATGTCTGGTGTGTCTTTGGCGAGTCAGTGACATGTCTGCTGTGTCTTTGGTGAGTCAGTGACGTGTCTGGTGTGTCTTTGGTGAGTCAGTGACATGTCTGGTGTGTCTTTGGCGAGTCAGTGACGTGTCTGCTGTGTCTTTGGCGAGTCAGTGACGTGTCTGCTGTGTCTTTGGCGAGTCAGTGACGTGTCTGCTGTGTCTTGGGTGAGTCAGTGACGTGTCTGCTGTGTCTTTGGTGAGTCAGTGATGTGTCTGACGTCTCTGGGTGAGTCTCTGATATGTCTGGACATACCTTGTGTGTCTGTAGATGTCCCTGGAGGTGAACAAGTTTGCCATTGTTGCCCTCAAAAGCCACATCCGTTGTCTGAAGGGGCACAACAATGCTGAGGCCTTCTTCCAGAGATCGGGCCGTCTGCACGGCTCGGCCCTGCAGTAGACATGGAATTAAGTGGACAACAGTTCGAGAGGTACATCCGATTGTGTCATTGACCTTTACTGCAAAGGTCAAATGGACAGACAACCACAGAAGTCTCCACAAGCATTAGAAGTACAGCAGATTGAAGTGTGCACAATGGCACAACTAGCAATTCTTTGAAAACACCCAATGCTAAGAAGCCTGATAACTATGATAAACATGGATGATTACATCACTCTATTGAGTACACATTTTGAGATTTCGACACAAAAAATGAAACGTTTTATATGTATATAACGGTTCTAAATATAGGCTTGACTCTGAAAGTAACTTAGCTCGTAATTTGGTTTCGGAAATTAGCTCCATTGTACACATGCAGAAAAAGCTTCATTGGATATTTACGCATGCTGTATTTATATATTTGAGTTTTTCATTTAATGCATGCTTTTCTGCGCGCAAGTTATTTCAAAGTAATTGGGTTTTGATATTTTTGGTGGGTATTTTATGCAAATATGCAGCTTATCTGTAGCTCTGAACTAAGACCAAAAATGTCCATGGTTTCTTGTATTTAATACACATTTATTCAAACAACAGCAAAGAAGGGGAATATAACCAGTAACTATTATCAGAAGGGTTTGAGTTTCAGCTTTTGGACTAAGGTTGTTCATTACCACTCAATCTCTGAAAGCAAATTTAGCTTGTGTATTGTATTATAAGTACGACAAATACGGTATGTGTCAGATCTACAAGATTTGAGTGATTTTGTATCGATACATACCTCATTCCAGAACAAAAGCCATGATGCTACAAAGATGAGGATGAAACCAACAATAATCCCCACTAAACTATTCCCGATCCTCTCACAGAAGTTGGGATTCCTTCGATACGTTGTTGATGTGTGGCTGTTTCCTGGCATGTTGTGCATCCCTGGAGCATCTGGGTACTGGAAACAACATGAAACAACAGTATAAAACAACATGAAACAACAGTATAAAACAACATGCTTACAGTCACCCCTGTGTGTATTCCAGGGTAGATTTGTTCTAAAACATTATGAGCTACGTAGAGAAGGAGCAGCCTCGATTGAGAAAGTGTTGCTTTAATCTAAGCTGCATCAGCAATATTTGATCAGTATCACAGCGACCTGCAAAATAACAGAGCTAGCTAATTGATCAACAGTTACTGTTGTTGGTACACCATCGGCCAGGTCACACACGATCCTCATTAGTCAAGGGTTTTACCTTGACATACAAAAGTGGGATTCCAGGGGACCCTCAATAATTAATTTTAAGGGTCCTTGCAGCAATATGCATGTCCTGAAATGTAATGAAATGGTGTAGTGTACTGTACATTTTGCAGCGTCCATTCTCCACATTTCTTGTGCATACTGGATGCATATTTGTCCGTTGTATAAAACCCTGTCAGTACAACAGTTGTTTCCTCCTATAAGCCTTGGGAACTCGCCTCTTGGGACTTAATTTGCCTTGTGCACACACCCCTGTGTCTAGATTAATCAATAACACAAAACGGTCAAATATCCACTATCATGTACATCTTTAACGATAAATGGGAGAGTAAATTTTGAATCGTAAGTTTGATAGATCTAGAAATGTCAAAGCAACATCACAAGGGCCAGTGTAGAAATGTCAAAGCAACATCACAAGGGCCAGTGAAGAAATGTCAAAGCAACATCACAAGGGCCAGTGTTGTGCTTAATACATCAATGAGGGACCAGTATCCTAGATGTCGGACAGTAAACTCGATAAAAGCAGAACAGAAGTTATCACTTCCCTGTGATGGAGATCTTATAGGATCTACTGTAACATGTTGCCTACCTCGTAACATCACATAAGAAGACGTCTGCACGTCTATGTGATTGTACTTACAACTACTGACGATCCTCAAACCAAGGGCCCCTGGCTCAAGACGGTAAGAACAATATCAGGACATATAAATTTCCATGGTGACCCCATCCCGTTATAATTCATAAATACTGACACTACGGACTTGTGTCGAACATATTTGTGAACTCTGCCTACCATCTTTTCAGCTTTCGCTTTGCAGTCCCGAGTCCAAATTTGTCAAAACTAAATAGCATCAATTTAAGGTCTGTGAACCGGATGTGAGCTGGGTCGTGAATACCCTCCGGCAGGACACGAGCAGTGTCTAAACTTACATATTGTCTGTACATGCTACGCTGTCCGTCTCACTTCACTTGTCTCCACGTCCAGGAAGCAGTCATCAAAAGTCCTCGGTCAAGGCTTCCCCAGTCGCCGTGAAACGACTTGATGCTTAAAATAGACATTTACCTACCAGGCGAGCTGTGATTGGTTAACATTAGTACCGGAAATGCGCCATAAGGGGAATTCCCTATTTGCGTTTTTTCCCGCAGGAAGAAGGATTTGCGAGGCTCTGCGATGACGTTTGATCATCTCCAAATGACTCAGTTTAACTACAACAAAACTGTCATCCGTAGGAATTGTTTCATGTAATTAGAACAGAATGAAAAAAAATCGAGGTCACAAATGTCCACGTGATAAAGCGATGTCGTTCGTATGCAAGGAAGGTCGGGGTAGAGCGCATCTTTAAACTATTTCTTTTGATTTTTAGGGCCTTGGTTACAAGTATGAATGACATATGTCCTTATGGACTTTCTTTATAAAGGCTCTCTTTATATACAATTTTATCCAGCTAAATTCATGTGGTGACTATGTAATTTAAGAGAAAGAGTAATTGTTCCAAACAAATGACATCAACATCACTTTGGGGAATAACACACCGGCTGCTCACTGTGTCCGTCCATTGTCTAGTCAGTGTCGATTATCAAAGATAGGTTCACCAGTTATATCTTAAAACATTTATAGTATCTATATAACCACCTGGCGTACGACTACATTCTCTCAGAGACCACATAATATGGTCTCTGATTTTCTGAACCACTTTAGTTTAACGTTTGAAAAATGAACGTTGTGCGAAAATTGCGGTCTAACAATGCAATTACGAAGATTAAAATTAATATTAAATGACAGAAAAAAGGCTAAACTGACGGGTAAAAGAAAGTATACACCCATGTTTGACGGTGGCTAACGATGAAACAATAAGGAAATGACTATTCGATGGAGATTTTATGATACGGGTATCGTAGGCTATATTATAAAATTTCAATGAGTATCCCACAATAACAGGTGACGTTCATATGTTTTTACCTTGTTTAGAAGACATTGTCATTCAAAAGCTAGCCGAGCAGACGACACATCAAGGGACGTAACTCCAATTTCTTACCACCAGGCTTATATCGGTCGCCCATTCAAAATTCATTGCCAAGCCATATCAGCCTGTCATGGGAGTGTAATATGGGGGTGGTTATTACATCCCCTGTGATATGACCTCCTCTATGTCGGCTGTAACACATGCAAAGTGGCATATCATTGAAAGGTGTGTGTGTTATAATGCACTGGTAGCGAAAAACTACAGGACCCATGAGTGAGTGAGTAAGTTAAAATTTAACGTCACATCGGCAATTTTTTAGCCATTACAGGACCCATGAGGTCTACAAGGACATATATGGGGTATATATGTCAGTCTGCAGTCACTGAAAACACAACAGATTCAAGTCATTTTGCCAATCTCATTATGATCAAATCTAAGTTCTCGCTGCCGCAAAACAAAGTTTAGCCATAGCGAGACCTAAGATATAATTTTAATGAGATTGGTCATTTTGCATACATGGAATTAACATGATGAAACTCAGTCAATTCCCTATTGGCTTCAAGACACGCTCTTACACTACATTTTGCAGGGTTCGTTAGGCGTCGGAATACGTCATTCTGTATTTGGCGATATTCTCCCCGGACACAACTCAGGACGCAATACATCGTCCATGTAGCCTTGTGCTGTGTGATCAACCGATTTCATTCTGAATGAGAATAGTCGTGTTTGTAACAGGTGTATTAATGTTGATGATTTGATTTGTTCTTTCTGTGGGTTTTGACATATGTCCTGTGTGAAAAATTGACGTTTATTAAAACATTAAATTCAGAAATATTTAGTGAATTTTCTTATGTTTCACATTCCTAAAAAAGAAACGTTTGAATGTTGGGAGTGGGAAGAAACACGTTTACTGCACATACGGACATTTGACGAGTGAGGACATTTTGTGAATAAGAACAGCGAACACGTTTCCTATGTGAAAAACCACAAGGAAAAGAACATAGGTTGAGGTTATGAGAACTCAATGTCTCGTTTGTCCTCCAATGCGTCGACTATTTCCTGGTATCTCCTGCCCAGGACATAATCACAAGTTAGGGAACGTTAGCCCACTCGCACTGTCGTGCATGTACAAGCCGTTGCAGTTTCTGTGGTCTGCGATTCATGTCTTTCCATAAGCCTTCCACTGGGTGAACAGGGGGGACTGTGCATTGTGGTTGGTTCCATATGAATGCTGCTTTTACATGGCTGTGTGCAGTCCAGCACGGTCACGTTGAGACATTACGTTAGCTTGGTTCATAATTGAACGGCTGTAGGACTGAATCACAAAAGCACTGGGCCGTTAAGTTGCAATGCACTTGCATCAGGGTTGTTCTACCAAGAGATCATCACCCACATCATTACACTGCCATCGTCAAATCTGTCAACATCCAGTAAGAAGTTGGCGGGAAAATGTTCATAAACAAATCGGTACACTCTGGCTCTACCACAGCTCGATGCATCATACATGGCTGAACCAACGTTATTCTTGCATTGTTAGACCACCAAGCTCTAAGACTTGCCCTAACGGAGGTGGTTCCATACTGGTATAAGATCTTTAGCAATCCTGAAAGTGCTGCTGTTCTAGAGGATGCTCACCAGTGCCATAAATGATGTGCTCCATGAATCGGTCTCGGCAGCAGTTGTAACCCGGTGCAGTCATGTGACGTATCATGCTCATGGCACCGACACCAAAGTCTAGAGATGGTGCTCCTGGACACATTGAACAACCTGGCTACAGCCAACTGAGATTCTCCTGCTTCTAATCGTCCAACAACGCTCGTCTTCAGCTAGTTCGGCAAGACTTGGCAGTTGAACAGTTGCGAACAGACGTTTTGGAAACCAAGATCCCTCCCCTGGACCTGATGTGGTGTCATCTTTCTGAATTGGTAAGTGTAGGTTATGCATTTGGTCATTTGGAAGGAGCTTTCATTGGCCTCGCATCATGGTGGGGTTACAACTCTCAACAACAGAGCGCATTTTGTGTATTGACCGTTTGGCCACAAACTTTCGAAACTAATTGACCTGTGGTACCACTATCCACCACTGACCACACATTTAAGACACATTGTTTCAGAAACCTCAAGGATCAAGATCCAAACATACCAACCAAAGACTTGGTCAGTCTGCAGTCTGGTGAGCAGGCGGTGGTGAAAGACACTATAATAACCAGCATGTCTGAGTAATGTCAGGGACAACAAACGTTGGTGGTCTGAAAATCCTTTTCTGTAAAGTGTTCCATCCTCAAAAGGCCAAAGGTTTGTATACACCATCTTCTTCCAAGATGGAGTAACAAGGTGTATACAAACTGAAACATTGACAATAGGTTTTAGATTAATGGACTTTCCTTGCATATCTAATCAGATATAAGGTCTTTGAATGGCATTTATAAGTGATACACATGAGGAAGAGAATTTATGGATGTCAAAATCTTTATTATGGGAAAACAAGTTTCAGAGTATATACTTACTTCTTCATCCGGTGAATGAATGTAAAGAGGCAGAGAGCATATATATGTACATGTAAGGACAACAAAAGTAATAAGATAACAAAAGGTGGAAACTAACGCCTCATTGCATTCATTCACCTGATGAAGGACTAAGCATATACTCCGAATGTTGAGTTTCCTCATAATAAAGAAGTTGACATCCAAAATTTCTCTTCCTTAATCTGACATATTCTTGATAATGGGATCATGTGTTCCATTGAGGTATACGGCTACAAGTAAAAATAAGTGACAAAACCCTTTCCATATTTATAAGACATCTTTGCCAACAGCAGAGTAGACTGTACGATTCCGACTACACCATGAGCATGTGTAAATCTAAAGATAGTACAGAGTACTGCACTGGTGGTTACAAGATCACAAACAACAGAAAAATAGGGGATGGTTAGAATGAAATGACTTTATTATTGTGAAAATATACAAAATGGGAATATATGAGTCATGAATACAGAATTTCCATTGATATTCAATTACAAATGTTAGGCATTACATGCTAAGGTGGATCAAGAATGGTTCATAAACCTTGTGGGAACATTTTAAATTTGGAAATTTCAAATTTAATTAGTTTAGATTACAAACTTGTTCAACCACTGATATTCTGCCTATTCGCCCAATGGAGTCAGTTTCAGCAGATAATGGAGACTGGTTATTCTCTGGCTCGTTGACCTTTTAATTTTCAAATATCAAACATTTGAATGACGTATACTGAACATTGTACAACCAGATGACATATATGTTCCTTGTTTTCACAATAGCACCAGCATCGCGAGCATTACCGTTGTAAGGAACCGACCATTTGGTATTCGGTGTGGGGAGAGGAGAAAGAATTTTATATCACCAAAAAACAAATTGTTAAAATAATTACAGTTGCATGATGTTTTTCCCTTCAAATAAATTCAGGCTCATAGTTCAGGCCCCTCCCGAATATCGAACGGTTGGCCCCTGATCAGTTTACACTGTCCGACATGTAGCTGTGTCATTCAACAAACATATCAATCAACGTCAGTATTTACATAATTGTTTGTCATCATATATGAATCGATTTCTCTTCATTCACAAAAACAAAGTGTAACAGTTTATACACATTTTACAAGTTTTCTTTACAGACAGGAGTAATCCTAACCAATTTCATTGGTATCAAAGAATTTGTACAAGTATTTTCAGAACCTCACTAGCCTACCTACAGTCACATTAGTCTTAGCCTTGTTCACGAATATATCGTCCATTTTCTCTCGGAGCACAGGGATCCTGTACATTTGTACAGAGAGTACTGCAGAGATTTAATCAAACAGCAAGCTGTGTTTCTGTTAAATGAAGGTGACTAGTATAAAGTTGCTAAAGCCGAAAGTTTGGCACACGCATAAACAGCAGATGCAGGCAGCTTGAAGAACATTTATGTATATCTAGGTGACGGTGAGCATCTCAATATTGCTATATACAAACAAATGTACAGGGTAAAAAACACTCACTCACTCACTCACACACACACCCACACTTATTGTACATACTTGCTCAGGCCTGACATGCTAAAACATAGTGCCCAGTCCACATATAACTTAAAACTTATCAACAGAACGTAATAGCAAAAATAAATAACATACTCCAGTTTCATTTACAAAGCATTCACACCAATGAAGGAAAGAGTGTCTCAATCTCTTCCTAGAGCCATCAGTTCCTTCAAAGCAGACCGATGCAAAAATATACACTTATATTATGAAATAGATTTGAAGCAATGTTTCAATGTGACTTACAATTGCAACCTAACAACCTCCTTCATAGCTCTACCCATCTCTTCTTATGTGACAAAATACATATTATGAATAGATTTGAAGTAAAGTTTCAATGTGACTTACAATGCAACCTACAACCTTCTTCATAGCTCTACCAATCTCTTCTAATCGCTTCTTATGTCACAAAAATCATATTATGAACAGATTTGAAGCAGTGCAACTACATTTTGGATTGCAACATAACGTTTTTGACAGAATACAAACTTCATGAAAGATTGTTGATTATTTGTTGGATGCATAGTATGGTCAAAAGTGAGAAATGAGTTATTCCTTTAGAAGAGATGAGTGAAAATCAAGGGATTAATTACCGAGTTCGGTCAAACAGTGTCAGGAGGGAGTGTCATAATCTCAATGCCTTGACGTTGTTAAATAATCTTTTTCCAGAGGGAAAATATCAGACAAATTAATTTGTTGGGGAGGAACATGTCCCGAAATGCTGACTCAGGCAATTCTTCCATCGTCATCCCTCACACAGTAGCAGGCACTCTGATATGAACAAGCCCTGAGAGAAGTAACTGCCCTAGTGGACCCTAGTAGACTGATGCATTTACACTGACAGGATGTAGTGTGTGGTGCGACTGACCATTTAATAAATACCCTTGTCCTCTTTACCACCATAACTTGCAAGTCTGGATATTTCAATGCAGTCATATTTTCCAGCAAACAATGAATAAGTATCCTGGTTCCATGAAATACATCAAGAGCTTGCTTTTACACCCTGAACATTTGAATGTGGGTCTATCGCAACCTTACATTTAGAAGAGGCATTTTGATTGGTTGTTGTAGAAAAATCCTTTGCCATGTTGGTGCTAGAGGAGTGAGATAGTGATGTGACCTCCACGAAGCTGTAGTGCACATGGCTTTTAGGGAGCGGTATATCTACTGTTTGTTTGTTGTTTAACGCCACACTCAGCAATATTCCAGCTATATGACGGCGGTCTGTAAATAATCAAGTCTGGACAGACAATCCAGTGATTGACATCATGAGCATCGATCCACACAATTGGGATACGATGACATGCGCCAACCAAGTCAGCGAGCCTGACCACAATCCCGTTAGTCCCTTCTTACGACAAGCATAGTCACCTAGCAGTATATCTAATGGAGATATGACACACTAGACAACATAACAAAGGTTTTGTGCCATTTTCACACCTAAATCCAAAAGCCAAACATTCACCACATTAATAACTCTGTAGATTTAGATAAAGGAAATGTCATATATACCGTGTCCCAAATTTGTGAAAACGTAAGTGACCCATATCGTGTAGCTCAAAGGTTAAACTCAATCAATGTCCACACACAACTAACACGTCTAATTGCAGTATCACTTTACATACAGTCTCCAATCGCCTCTCATTTCTGTGGTTTTAACATGCAATCTGTGTTCAAACTTTTATTGACGTGGTAATTTTCATTACAAGGTCGGTTTCCTTCTGGCCATGAGCACGATAGTGATCACTAACCTCCCCAAGCATTCAGCACCTATTCACTCATTGCACAGCTTAATGAAGAGGTATATGGAGTAACTACCAGTTCAGTATCAGCACACATGTGAAACCTTTCAATGGGTATCGCAGAACACACAGTTGTCATCTAATGTTTCGTTCTTATCACACATCTGTGGTTAGAGAACATACAAATAACAATTAAGCCATAAGCAAATAAGCACAAATGATGAACCAATTAATACTCGAAGCTCAATTTAAAATATTGTTCTTCAGACTGTGTCAAAATGTCAACAGGTGAAACATAAATAACAAATGTAAGGATGGTTAATTTCCTTCAAACTCTATGTTGAACCACTCCCCTCTGATAAGTACACCCTGACCAAGGTCTGGCCCAGTGTTAAGTAATCTTCACAGGCACCCACCCCAAAATAGACCAGACAATTCATCAGTCCATGTTCTCGTGTGCATATTTATAGATGTGTTCACAGTAAACACAGCAGTATGGAAGGGGATGTATCTCCTTCCAACTATTACCAAACACATTTGAGTTTCATAAAAGTTAAACTTAGTTTGTTCACAACTGATTTGTTTCCAACAGCCAATTTCACAGGTGAAAGTTTTTAAAGCCCTTTTGTCAATTTTTGAAGCGCCCGGGGAGGTTTGTTACAGCGAATACGTTATCCATAAAACAAGAAAGTACCGTAACCGTGACAAATGCTCTGAAGAGAGGCTACCTAGGCACCTCCACTTCAGACAGGACAAGACCATGTTGTAACATTCCAAAGAATATATTAATTCTATGGCCCATGGTAGATGTTTCTTGGTCACTTGGATATTCCCAGAGGACAGAAATATTTATTTTTTTCTGGACTGGAAAACAAAGCTAATGATCCATCCTTCAATAAAGCAGTGATTTAATAAAGTGAAGATTAGAAATTTTTAATCATCACAGGTAAAAAGACGGACATCCTGTATCGTACATTACATACCTGAGTGTTCCCATCTTATTAGGTTAACTAGTTTTATGAAGCCATGCACTAGTCTTTTGAATACTTAACAAGTCTGGCGATGAACCTTGATAATCTGGTGATGGCATGTACTAGTCTCTGAAAAGCCTTAATTTGCATTGTCTTGAATATATCCCAGACTGACCATCCAATATCAACCATAATGACCAACTTAAAGAAAGATACAGTGTCAGGAATGTCCTCAACAGAGATCCGCTGCCCATCTGAAGCGGGGTAACGTTAACAATGTAGAATGGTTGACGATTGTCATCTTTGAGAATCTCCGATGCGGGTTTTCGCTTTGACTCTTCATAGCTTCACACATTCATTACATTCATCACGTAACACTAATAAACTGCTTTTCAGAAAGACAATGTGGCATTTCAATTTCCAAAGTAATAGTGTACATGCAATTAGGTCCCTGCCTTGTACCCGCAAAGACTGTTTCAATGTAACAACCAATCAGAAACCTTGTATCACTGTGTAATGGATTATTAAACACTATGTGACTTGAAAGCATGGTTCTTATTGGTTAGCATAGTCTCACTGTAGAATGCCTCATGTCACCGGTGAATCAACAATTTGCTCTACTTCATGTTTTATGCATGTAAATAATTTGTGAAAAAAAGCAGCACAAGAATCGTAATAAGTCAAGAGGACACGCATTTTAGCGTAATTTTGGGCTCAAAATCATAGCTATTATGCCCAAATTGTAATGGTTGGTATCTCTGCCTTCATCAAGGAACAACATGGCCGTCAACGCACCACACAAGCGGGATTTGGTTTTATTCGATCTCTCAGCTCCTCTCTGTCAGTCGCTGGTCAGAAGACCTGCTGTTTTCTGTACACTGAGCAAGGTGTATGGAGCTTGTAGTGTCTCCATCAAGAGTTTAAAGCTTGTATACAATTACAAAGTTTGTCTGCTAGGATGTCCTATCTACGTCAACTCTGTGCAACTGTCAGGACTTTGCCTTGAGGAAGAAAGTCTGAAACAAACAAATTAAACTTGTGAACTGCTGATCGCAGATTTGTCACTGCATTTGGTGTGAAGTAGTTATTGTGACCAGAATGTTTTCTTTGTTTGTTGCTTTCACCGTGCTCAACAATATTCCAGCTACCCCGGTATATGATTATCATTATATATAAATAATTGCATCTGGCCCAAACAATCCAGTGATTGACATCATGAGCATCGATCCATACAATTGGGATGCGATGACATGCATCACCCAAGTCAGCGAGTCTGACCACCAGATCCCGTTAGTCTTGTAACCATTTTATTCTATCATAATCAGACTGTGTGATAAGCATTGGTGCTGGCATCAATTTCGCTCTGGGATACCCGTAGTTAAATTGCATTTTGAAATTAACATATTTATCTCCTAACTTGAGTAATGTGTTTTATTGCTTACTTTTAAATAGTTTCTAAAGGTTTTCTGGTCGGCTCTCAGGGCTTGACAAAATTCCTGCAACAAACAAAATATCAGAAAATATATATATTTTTTTAATATCAATGTCCGGCCTCCCAAAACTAGCAGAGACTCTTCTTATGCCTGCTTCTTAATACTGAAATCTGATAGAACAGTATATACTGTGTCACATAGAGGAATGATCTTCTCTCACCTGGTGGAGATACAACATTTGATAGTTTTCTAGTTGGTTTAAGACGCAGTTTGCAATATTTCAGCTCTATCAAGGCATCTTTAAATATTTGAGTGAGGTACTAAGATAAGCAACCAAGTCACCGTGTCAGACCACCAGAGTGATGTTCAACGTTTACCACTTCGGTGAAACCCACAATATATATATATGGTGCTGACAAGGATCATAATCAGGGTAAATCTGGGATCGTATGATCCTGGCACATCTAAGGAGAGTAACTCTGCACAGCGAACGGAGGCTCAGACAACCGGACCAGATGTGCCCCCCTACTATACTGAGTGAGTGAGTGAGGGGTTTTATGCCGCTTGTAGTAACAATCCAGCAATATAACAGCGGGGGAACCAGAAATGGGAATCACATATTGCAAGCATGTGTGAAGCCTGAAAGTTTTAACCGCTTGACTATTTGCTTTACCTGTGTGAGTTCGGGGCTGACGCTGAGCGTGGGGAAGTACTCCGACTGCAGGTAGTTCAGGGACTCCTCCCCCTGTGCAACAAAACAACATGGCTGTCACTTCATGGGAGTACGACTTCAGTGGACCCAGGCCTAGTTCCACAAATCTTATCTACGATAGTCGTAAGCCTATGTTAAAGTATGGGAGTTACAATCATCTTAGCTCTAAGATCGCTTTGTGGAACGGGGCCCTGGCCATTACAATTTGATTACCTGGCAGGGTTCACAACTAGTCCGAAGCCAGAGTCTACGAAAAGTTGTTCTACTAAGCTCAGCTAAGAAGGGTCCATATAAGAATTCAACAATCCTCAGGAAATGACAAAAAGGCTCAAGAATCTTTAGACAAGCAGATTCAAAGACACAGTCCGTTATAACTTTACTGGGACATATGGAGTATTTTTTATCCCATTCTGAAAATAAATCTATTGTGGTCAACTTTGAAATGATGTCCATTGTATCCTGACAATGATAAATACAGAAACGCAGCGATAGAAACTAACATTTTTAGTCCACTAGTCCTTACAATGATAACATATAGCAAAACACTTAAAAATGGCAAATTTCTACTAGTCCTCATGATACCTTAACTATTTGGCAGTTTGGCAAGCACTACAGGACTCTGGAAACGGTTTTACCAAATAATATTCTAATAATAAACAATATAATCTTCAAAAGTGTTAAAAGATAACATTATGTTTTACAATGAAAAATTGCTAATAAATCCAGTCAGGTGAGAAGGCCGTAGGTTATTACTGAACCTACCCTCTTGTCAAAGATGCTTTTCAAGCACATGGCACATTCCCCCAGAGCCTGAAACAGCAGCAACATGAGTGAGTGAGTGAGTGAGTGAGTGATAGTAACAGGATAACTAACAGGGAGTGATTTGTTTGTTTGTTTTTTGTTTAACGCCGCACTCAGCAATATTCCAGCTACATGACGGCGGTCTGTAAATAATCGAGTCTGGAAAAGACAATCCAGTGATTGATATCATGAGCATCGATCCACGCAATTGAGATGCGATGACATGCATCAACCAAGTCAGCGAGCCTGACTACCCGATCCCATTAGTTGCCTCTTACGACAAGCATAGTTTGTCAGCACCAAACCCTGCATCACTTGGGGCTTTCCTCCCTCTCTAAGCTATAACTGATATATAATTTGGTGCTGACAAACCCAGTAATATATTAAAACAAACTGAGTTTCGAATCTACCATCATACTGTCTACCATGCCTAAGGGACGCAACTCTGCACAATGAATTGCAGCACCTCAGAAGGCCGGGCCTCTGGTACAGCCGGTCAGACACACATACCTTTATCAAACTAAATCAGACACACATACCTTTATCAAACTACATCATGTGTGATCTTTTCACTATTCAATCAGTGGTTTCAATGCTCTGGTTTAACTTTAAATGAACACATATACTAATATCTTGAACACATATACAACTTTCTGCATTAACTAAGGCTTGAAAGTTATCAAGTATTTCTAGTCAGTTTTAAAATACAGATACCACTGACATAAGGTATATATTAAATGGGGTACTGGAAACTCACCAGTGCGGTTTGACCATCTGTGAGGTCAAAGGTTGGTTTAAGAGGCGCCAGGAAACATGCTGGGATAATACTCTTATACAGGAAGTCAAGGAATCCCACAATGCCATTGTTTCCACCTGGAACAGAAGCACATATTTATGATAATGGCTGCATGTTAAGGAGGCAAGGAATTGGCTGGATGAGAAAACCATGGCACCAACAGCTACACCCCTCGCAGGGAACAGTCATAATCAGGATTGTATCCAGGATAATATTGTTCGTTCTTTAATAATGACGCACAAAGCAATATTCCAGTTATATGACAACAGTCTGTAAATAATCCAGTGATCGACATCATGAGCATCAATCTTTGCAACTGGGAACGATGACATGCAGCAACCACAGCCTCCTCTTACGACAGGCATGAGTTGCTTAAAACCAATTCCCGGATCTTCATGGGTCCTAGGATCATTAATTAAGTGCCTATGATTGGTTGGTTGTATTGTGATAACTTGATTTTTTTGTTTGTTGTTTTATGCCGCACTCAGCAATATTCCAGCTATATGAAGGCGGCCTGTAAATAATTGAGTCTGGACCAGACAATCCAGTGATTAATATCATGAGCATCAATCCATGCAATTGGGATCGATGACATGCATCCACTACGTCTGCGATCCTGACCACCCGATCCCATTAGTCGCCTCTTACGACAAGCATAGTCGCCTTTTACGGCAAGCATGGGTTGCTGAAGACCTATTCTACCCCGGATCTTCACGGGTCCCCATGATTGTCACATTGTGAAAAAACATATATTCTTCAAAATTGGGACTTTTTGCAAGGTTGTGTTCTTACATTCAGACATTCTAATAATGAATTCAATGCAATAATGGCAACCAAGTCACTTACAGAACACTGCAAATTAATGATACCCTAAATAGCAATTTATTTAATTCATATTCGGAAGTTTTTACCAACTTTTCCTGCAGGCTTGGGGCCAAACTTTCAGGCTCTGAGAATAGCCAGTGCTTGAGGCACTGTCTTGTTTCAGAGATAAACACATAAGTGTTTGAAGATTTTCGCGGTGAGTAAGAACTGGTGCCCAGCACCATATGCTTGTCAACTTATAGCATCAGGGACTTGGTTGATGGTGTGATCATAATGCCTGCACTGATCGTTGCTCTAATATCAATCGCTGGTTGGCTGGACTTATTACAAGCCATCACTGTACATACAATATTGCTTAATGCAGTGTAAAACAACAAATGAAACTGAAGTATGACCACTCACCCCAGGCATCGATGAGTTTCTTCAAGATGTTGAAGCACAACTTCTGGCTCTGAAATTGAACAGAGGACAAATATGAATGATGATCAACATCCATGTAACACTGTAACATCATTACACGGAGTATCTCCATTACATTAGTGTCGACAATGTCAGTAATGTCAGTAATGTCGGTAATGTCAGTTATGTTGGTAATGTCAGTAATGTCAGTAATGTCAGTAATGTCGGTAATGTCAGTTATGTTGGTAATGTCGGTAATGTCAGTAATGTCAGTAATGTTGGTAATGTTGGTAATGTCGGTATTGTCAGTAATGTCAATAATGTTGGTAATGTTGGTAATGTTAGTAATGTTGGTAATGTCAGTTATGTTGGTAATGTCAGTAATATTGGTAATGTCAGTAATGTCGGTAATGTCAGTTATGTTGGTAATGTCGGTAATGTCAGTAATGTCGGTAATGTCAGTAATGTCGGTAATGTCAGTAACGTCAGTAATGTCAGTTATGGTGGTAATGTCAGTAATGTCGGTATTGTCAGTAATGTCAATAATGTTGGTAATGTTAGTAATGTCGGTAATGTCAGTTATGTTGGTAATGTCAGTAATGTCAGTAATGTCAGTAATGTCGGTAATGTCAGTTATGTTGGTAATGTCGGTAATGTCAGTAATGTCGGTAATGTCAGTAATGTCGGTAATGTCAGTAACGTCAGTTATGTTGGTAATGTCAGTAATGTCGGTATTGTCAGTAATGTCAATAATGTTGGTAATGTTAGTAATGTCGGTAATGTCAGTTATGTTGGTAATGTCAGTAATGTCAGTAATGTCAGTAATGTCGGTAATGTCAGTTATGTTGGTAATGTCGGTAATGTCAGTAATGTCAGTAATGTCGGTAATGTCAGTAACGTCAGTAATGTCAGTTATGTTAGTAATGTCAGTAATGTCGGTATTGTCAGTAATGTCAATAATGTTGGTAATGTCAGTAATGTCGGTAATGTCAGTAATGTCAGTTATGTTGGTAATGTCAGTAATGTTGGTGTTGTCAGTAATGTCAATAATGTTGGTAATGTCAGTAATGTCGGTAATGTCAATAATGTTGGTAATGTCGGTAATGTCAGTAATGTCGGTATTGTCGGTAATGTCAGTAATGTCGGTAATATCGGTAATGTCAGTAATGTCGGTAATGTCAGTAACGTCAGTAATGTCAGTTATGTTGGTAATGTCAGTAATGTCGGTATTGTCAGTAATGTCAATAATGTTGGTAATGTCAGTAATGTCGGTAATGTCAGTAATGTCGGTAATGTCAGTAATGTCAGTTATGTTGGTAATGTCAGTAATGTCGGTGTTGTCAGTAATGTCCATAATGTTGGTAATGTTAGTAATGTCGGTAATGTCAGTAATGTCAGTAATGTCAATAATGGTGGTTAATGTCGGTAATGTCAGTAATGTCGGTATTGTCGGTAATGTCAGTAATGTCAGTAATGTCGGTATTGTCAGTGATGTTGGTAATGTTGGTAATGTCGGTAATGTCGGTATTGTCAGTAATGTCAGTAATGTCAGTAATGTCAGTAATGTCAACATTCAAAGCATTACAGCCCTCATAGTTTCACTCTTGTCACTATTGCTCAACCCCATTGCACAATTATATAATTACAGTAAACTACCTTTATAATCAACACACTTATAACGGACTGATGGATATAACAAACATATTTTTGGTCTCGGCCATTTGCTGTTTATATGCTTGTAACGAACTACTGTTATACTGAACTAAATTCAGTCGTCCCTTTGAGTTCGTTATAACCTTAGTTTACTGTATGTTAAAACTAAAGTTTGATTTCATCCTTGGTAGCCATTTGTTTCACAAAGTGATCATAGCACTATGACTGTCTATATTAACATATACAGCTTTGTCAAACTGAACCTTGTTTACGAATGTTATTATTGTAGTCGACAAAGGAAACATGTAAACCATTGGTAACCATGGTAACAAGGTAACCATTGGTAACTAAGGTTTCAGATTCCTGTCATATGCAATATAATTGTTACTGAACTGAAATTAGCTGAAATATTGTTCCAGTGAGTTGAATCCAACTCACTCACTCACTCACTCACTCACTCACTCACTCACTCATTCACTCACTCTCACTCAGCAATAAAACATGATGAGATGTTGATGTTTATCATTGTTACTAAGCACTGTCATGTGAAAACCTTCAGTTGATCCTCTTTGTACAACTGTCACTGTCATGTGATACTATAAGTCTGGAAGTCTTCAGGAAGTGCTTGATGAAAACCTTCAAATTAAACCTATTTGTACGACTGTCACTGTCTGTTGTTTCAATCACCAGGTACACATCAGTGTAGTCCGGTGAGTGTCAGCCAGTGTTAATATTGCAACAGGCGACACCAACAGAACACACGATTCTAGTGGTAATTTGATGTTGCTTTCTATCAATCCGTGCATGGTGTTTGTAAATCACATCAATAAACTTCACGAACCATATCTCGTCCAAACATATTTGCATGTGTTTAGTATTAGACACTTGCTAGCGTACAGCTCCAACACTCTGTAGTAACACCCTGACCCCTTCTGTATGAAAGCATCACTGTCATGTGATACTATAGGTCTGGAAGTCTTCAGGAAACACTTGATAAAACCCCTCAAATTGATTATCTTTGTACGACTGTCACTGTGTTGTGATACTAAAGGTCAGGATGTCTTCAGGAAACACTTGATGAAAACCTTCAAGTTGATCTCCTTTGTACAACTGCCATGTGATACTATAGGTCTGGAAGTCTTCAGGAAGTGCTTGATGTACAACTTCAAGTAGATCCTCTTTGTACGACTGTCACTGTCTGTTGTTTCAATCACCAGGTACACATCAGTGTAGTCCGGTGAGTGTCAGCCAGTGTTAATATTGCAACAGGCGACACCAACAGAACACATGGTTCTAGTGGTAATTTGATGTTGCTTTCTATCAATCCGTGCATGGTGTTTGTAAATCACATCAATAAACTTCACGAACCATATCTCGTCCAAACATATTTGCATGTGTTTAGTATTAGACACTTGCTAGCGTACGGCTCCAACACTCTGTAGTAACACCCTGACCCCTTCTGTATGAAAGCATCACTGTCATGTGATACTATAGGTCTGGAAGTCTTCAGGAAACACTTGATGAAAACCTTCAAGTTGATCTCCTTTGTACAACTGCCATGTGATACTATAGGTCTGGAAGTCTTCAGGAAGTGCTTGATGTACAACTTCAAGTAGATCCTCTTTGTACGACTGTCACTGTCTGTTGTTTCAATCACCAGGTACACATCAGTGTAGTCCAGTGAGTGTCAGCCAGTGTTAATATTGCAACAGGCGACACCAACAGAACACACGGTTCTAGTGGTAATTTGATGTTGCTTATAATCAAACAATTAAAATGGTGACACACTTCAATACACTGAAGAGGCTAATCTTACTAGTTACAGAACAGTGTTCGGCAATCAGACAGACAATCACTAACACAAACAACACAACTATCAGTGAAGTAAACAATAATGCTATTCAGTATTTTTCAACATCCCAAATCATCAAAAGGCACCAGTTCACTACTAGACTGGACTGCATACCAAGTTTCATCAAGAAATATTCAACGGTTTAGGTTTCTGCTCCTGAGAGGAGCACTAACCTCATTTTCAGCAAACGCCTACTTGTCATCATGAAAACAATTATTTCTTTTTCAAATATACCTCTGAAATCATCAAAAGGCACCAGTTCACCAAAGACTGATCTGTATAGCAAATGTCAACAAGAAATATTCAATGGTTTTGGAGTTCTGCTCTAGAAACGGAAAACAGACAGACAGACATGCTGATCGCAATATCTCCCAATTGTTCCAACAGGGGGTTAAAAAAAGACAGTGAACTACAGTAAAATGTCAATAGAGCAGTGTAATACAAATGTAAATGTGTATTGGGCTGATAATAATTTTTAAACTAAATATTGCTCTTTCTTGCTACAATTTGTGAAAAAAATTAATAATGTATTCGACGTATTTGACATTCTATTTTATTAAGACTCAAAGAAAACCTTCACTTCAGATGAGTTTCTCGGTAAAGAAAGCTGTTTAGCTGTCTGGAATTGTAATAATGCATAATATGTATTTATTATGTTCTGCACATAACTTTCTGTGCTTTTAGATTTGCAGGTGCGGAGTATTAGACACTCGCTAATTTATGGCTCCGATACTTTTAATAACACCCTCATCTCATGTGTAAGAAAGTCATAGTGTCACTGTTATGTGATACAAAAGGTCTGGAAGTCTTCAGGAAGTGCTTGATGTACACCTTCAAGTTGATCCTATTTGTACGAGTGTCACTGTCTGTTGTTTCAATCACCAGGTACACATCAGTGTAGTCCGGTGTGTGTCAGATAGTGTTAATATTGCAACAGGCGACACCAACAGAACACACGGTTCTAGTGGTAATTTGATGCTGCTTTCAATCAATATGTTAACATGGTCACAACTGTCAACATACTGCAAGATCCATCAGAAAAAAAGTTTTGAAATAAATTAATCCTTTCCATACTCATCACCACTAGAGAAACATATACTTCAAGCGACAGAGAGAAGGGGAAGGAGAAGGAAGGAGAGAGAAGGGAGGGAGGGAGGGAGGGAGGTAGGAAAGAACAGTTACAGCAGTGTTTTAGTGGTATCACGGTGTAGGGCGACATGACAGAAAGGTGCTGTAAACCAAGGATCATAATCAGTGTGAAATCTGGTTTTCAAACTGGATCCTGGCATACCCAAGGGAAGTAATGCTGCACAGTGAACTCCAGCCCTTGTGCCTGACCACCCATGCCCCACATATCCTTCAAACAAATGTCAACAGACCACTGTCACACAACTACAGCTGGCCAAGATTGTCTAACTGTGAACCCCGGTCACTCACCTGGGGATCCGGCATCTCCACGGCACCCTGGACGACGGACATCAACACCTGGTTCAGGTTCTGCATGTCTGCAACAACAATGCCACGTTGTTAATTGACTGAAGTCATTGTATCGCTATGAACATATTTAATATGGGCAACGTCATGCATGGGGGCATGACAGTACAGGCTCTGTAAGTCAATCCTTGGAATGTGACAGTAGTATAGGAGATGGGGGCATGACAATCTCATTAAAATCAGATCTTAGTTCTCGCTGCCGCTAAATAAAGATCTGAGGACATCCCCTTGCTGGTGACATCAGAACCGACCTTGCCCAAACTTTGACAGACCAACGGAATGACCAATCAGAAGGCAGCTTTCTCGTGCTTTACGGCACAAATTTCAAATTGGCGACAACGCTTCGAAACATATTTTGACAAATTCTCGATTACAAATTTGAAACCTGAACAAAAAACATTCTGGACTGGCTAATAGATGGTCTAGATTGTAAGGATTCATTCGTTAAACCCGTAACTATCGTTCAGAATACCCCATGTTAAAGTTTTCGAGATTGCATGATTAGAAATCACATTCCGACTGTCACTTTCATAATATGGTAAGCGACGCACTGATTTGTGGGATGAAAGGTCGTTCTGCATGACCCCTAATGGGATGTCTTCAGATCTTTGTTAAGTGGTAGCGGTCCGTGTGGACTGCTGTGATCATACCTTGAGCTTTGAGGACTTCCAGTGCATCATGGGTAACGATGGTGGACAGGAACTGGAAGTAGCCTCGCTGCAGCAGCTTCCTCTCCTCCCTCACCTCCTGGTCTCGCTCGTCAGCCGGCGACGACAGGACCTGGAAGATCGTCGTCACCAACGGCATGAACACCTCGCTCAGGAACGGCCCAATGGCGGACTGGAACAACATCAGTAACTGCATTATAAAGCTGTAATAAATATTTTTATATTTTATTTGTAGTTTAACGCATCTCTCAGCAATACTCCAGCTACACGATGGCGGCCTGTAAACAACCAAGCCTGGACCAATTGATTAGATCAGACATTGATCCATGCCATCGGGAAGGATAACACGCAGTCAACATGCCACCGTATCTGCCCCCCCCGATACATTAAATCACTACTTATGACCAGCATAGGCTGTTGTGGACCTATTCCAAACCATAATACCCACAGGGAGATCCGATTCAAGCAAGAGGTGGACACTTGCCCAAATGTTTCCAAACAATGTAGACAATTGACTACAGCAGGAACACAAGAACACAGGAACATGGGAACATGGGAACACCAATCCCACATCCATAATAGGCCTGTTGGGGTCACAAGAACATTCCACGCCGTCGGGGTATGATGACATGATCTCAACCAAATTACCAAGTCACTCCACTCAATCCATTTGCTCGCATTTTCAGCGATTGAAGCTAACAGTTTTAGTCCACTAGTCCTTATGATGATAACAGAGTGAAACCCTTAATAATGGCAAATTTCTACTTGTCCTTATGATACCTGGGTGCCGTTGTACAAAGCGATCTTAGCGCTAAAGTGATCGTAACTCCCATACCTTAACATAGACTTACGACAGTCGTAGCGCTACGGTTGTTTTGTACAACGACACCCTGAACTATTGGCCAGTTTGACAAGGACTATCGGACTAGTGCAAATTTCTTATGCTGCTTTTACAACTAACATAGGGGACATATTCTAACGTGGGATCCTCACGATAATGTTTCACTGTTTGTCCCCTACTGTTGAAGACCCACCTTGAACTTCATGATGAGCTGGTTCATGAGTGGAATGAAGTCGTACATCTCCTTGGCCTCGGGCTGCTTCAGCAGGTGCTCCAGGGTGACGGGGATGAAGGGGAGGATCTCGTCCTCCAGGCACACCACCATGCGGTGCAGGTACTGCCGCACCCCCATGTGGATCAGCTGTCGGTGCACCGGCGTGTTCAGCGCACTCAGGAACAGCTTCAGCAGCTCTGTGAATGCAGCGACGCACCCGCTCTGCTTCATCGTCTGTTGGCTGGAGAAACCCTTGCTGGCACGACTGGAAGAGAAAGAGTCGGTTGAATAAACGTGTAAAAACCTGCTTTGAACAGTATTTCAGATAAAGAATTTTGTCAGCTTAATGTGGGAGAAAAGTCTGCAATGACATCCTTCATAGATGTTTCCATGGCAACCCATAAGCACAGGTATGGTGCTTACACACATTGAACCATAATCAGAGAGAATCAAGGGACACAACTCTGCACAGCAAATTGTGATAGGGTTTCAACTAGGAAGTGCGGTTGGTCAAATCTATTTATTTAGGCTCATTCTTTTCATGGAAAGAAATTGTATGACTAAAAACATTCTGTCTGTCACAAAAATCCATGCACTACCAAATATTACATGCTCTATCACTAGGTAGCCTGGAGGTGTTTTTCAATCTCACCTTGCCAATGACATGGCGCTGGAGATACACCTGGCGTACAACAGTCGCCGGGGTTCATCCGTCTCAGTGTACAGCTTTGTCAGTAACTCCTCAAATTTGTTCGCAATCGGTGCCAGGAGATTTTTCATCAGCACTTGCTTTTTCTTAAAAAAAAACAAGAAACATGTTTCATTCATCTCTTGTGCAATTCCTTAAGCCCAACATAACCATGAGGCATGTACATAAATATCTGGCGGTATTGCATAAATATCTGGTGGTATTGCATAAATATCTGGCGGTATTGCATAAATATCTGGTGGTATTGCATAAATATCTTGCAGAACTGCATAAATAACTGGCATCATTGCATAAATATCTGGTGGTATTGCATAAATATCTGGAGGTATTGCATAAATATCTGGTGTCATTGCATAAATATCTGGTGGCATTGCATAAATATCTGGTGGCATTGCATAAATATCAGGCGGTATTGCATAATTATCAGTGAGGCATAAAAGAAAGGGCTTCTGACTGTACACAGGGACTTTCCTGACTTTGAGATATATTTTCATTTCCTCAATTTATCATCACACATTCATTAACCATATAAATATAAATGCCAACATTTGGAAACCCCTCTTGACAGTGGCCTAGTTAATGCATTTATCTGAAACCATGATCACACACAAAAACAATTACAAAAACTAGTTCCCACTGGTCATGTGACATGCAAAGCATGTTACACTGACCTCTGGTGGCAGGGTGCTGGAGACGACGAGGATCCCCGCCGACTCATACATGAACAGCTGGTCATCATCTGACAGGAGGTGCAGGTAGCCGTTGTCTGGGGTGTTGAGGACAAGGAGGTCCTGGAGCCTCTTGAGGACGTCCTCCAGGTACGGCTGCATGTGGCTCCTGGAGGACACAAGGCACAACAGTCAACATCTCTGGAGGACACAACAAGGCACAACAGTCAACATCTTGGAAGGCACAACAAGGCACAACAGTCAACATCTCGGAGGACACAACTAGGCACAACAGTCAACATCTCGGAGGACACAAGAAGGCACAACAGTCAACATCTCTGGAGGACACAACAAGGCACAACAGTCAACATCTCTATGGACACAACAAAGCACAACAGTCAACATCTCTGGAGGACACAACAAGGCACAACAGTCAACATCTATGGAGGACACAACAAGGCACAACAGTCAACATCTCTGGAGGACACAAAAAGGCACAACAGTCAACATCTATGGAGGACACAACAAGGCACAACAGTCAACATCTCTGGAGGACACAACAAGGCACAACAGTCAACATCTCTGGAGGACACAACAAGGCACAACAGTCAACATCTCGGAGGACACAACAAGGCACAACAGTCAACATCTCGGAGGACACAACAAGGCACAACAGTCAACATCTCGGAGGACACAACTGATGTGTCGATATGATTCAGTCATGTCAATACTATACAGAGATCATGTCGATATGATTCACTGATGTGTCGATATGATACAGTCATGTCAATATTATTCAAAGATCATGTCAATATGATTCACTGATGTGTCGATATGATTCAGTCATTTCAATATTATTCAAAGATCATGTCGATATGATTTACTGATGTGTTAATACGATTCAGTCATGTCAATATAATTCAGTGATGATGTCAATATGATTTACTGATGTGTCAATATGATTCAGTCATGTCAATATTATTCAGAGATCATGTCAATATGATTCACTGATGTGTTGATGTATCATCAATCCTCTTGAAAATTCTGAATGATATTTCTTGGAATAAGTAGAGTAAACTCCATACAAAAAAGTATCTACAAAAATGTCTGTCATCACATAGATGGATGTCCAACTTACTTCAATCCCTTGATGTATCTTGAAAACAAGTAGGAGGTGCGACTGCGGACTTTCGCCGACTGGTTGCGGAACCCCCGCTCATCTAAAAACGCCATCTGAAATCAACCACCACATGTATGAGACATCTAGGGACGTGTTAGAAAAAAAGGGGTCCTTTGGGTCCCAGATAGTGTTTGAGACCCGTGAAGATCCGGGGTAGAATATGTCTTCAGGAACCCGTGCTTGCCGTAAAAGGTGACTATGCTTGTCGTAAGAGACGATTTACGGGATCGGGTAGTCAGGCTCGCTGACTTGGTTGATACAGCTCATCGTATCCCAATTGCGTGGATCGATGCTCATGATGTCAATCACTGGATTGTCTGGTCCAGACTCAATTATTTACAGACTGCCGTCATATAGCTGGTACATTGCTGAGTGCGGCGTTACACAACAAATAAACAAACAAATAAAAGAAAGGAAGATAGTGTTTGAATCTAGGGCCCCTTTTAATTTAGAAATTTGAATGGTTTTTTCATAAAGAAACACAGAAAGTTTGCATGGGGCATGGGGGACTATATGATTTATGCACATATTATTATGGCAAATATCACAAAAGTGACCCTTGACGTAAGGAAATCCAAGGAAAATTCCTAACTATTAACATTTGAATCATGATAAGGATGCCCTCGACTTGTAACACATGTCAATTGTGTCAAAATTATGCACATACATTGCAGGAGAGAAACACCTAGTGAATCTAGATCAGGGCAACCAAGCAATCGTAGTGCTAAGACAGCTGTTACTCCAACACTTAGTAACTTAGGATAATGTAGCACAAGTCGACTTGTGAAAAGTTCAATGGTAGAATGGATTTCGGCAGTAGATTGCTCAACTCACCAGAACCTCTGGGATCTGATCTGGTTCACAGCTGAAGAACTTGTCGTATCGGACGATGGTCTCAAAGAACTGGAGTTGTACCATGACATGTCCACTGCAGCTCACACGGCTGGTGATCAACTGGGGACACAAATGACAGTAGGCTACAGGAGACACAAATGACAGTAGGCTACTGGAGACACAAATGACAGTAGGCTACTGGAGACACAAATGACAGTAGGCTACAGGAGACACAAAGGACAGTAGGCTACATGAGACACAAATGACAGTAGGCTACTGGAGACACAAATGACAGTAGGCTACTGGAGACACAAATGACAGTAGGCTACATGAGACACAAATGACAGTAGGCTACTGGAGACACAAATGACAGTAGGCTACATGAGACACAAAGGACAGTAGGCTACTGGAGACACAAAGGACAGTAGGCTACTTGAGAAACACAAATTTGACTGATGCTGATTTTATAGTGCTAAGCCCACTGAGATACCATGCCGCAGTTTAACATGAATACCCCACACAGACACAGTATACTGACTCCGAGCCAACCAGTCCTTGTTTTATCCCCTTAATGCCCAGCAACAGGCATGGTAACGACATGTACCAACTTTTAACTTCTTTTGGTATGACGCGACCAGGGATTGAACCCCAGACCTTCCACTCTCTGGGTGGATGTCTACCACAAGACTATAGAGGCGGTCTGATATTAAAGAACTGGGTGTTGTTAACTTCTTTAGAGTAGTTTATAACTAATATAAGGAAGATAGATGTTGACAAGTATTCATTGATGTGCCCAACTATGTAACACACCATCTTTATCTGACATTTCTATAGCAACAGGCGACACCAACACAGCAAAAGGCCATATCAGTAATTTGATGCTGCTTGGCACAATCCAAACAAGAAGACTCTTTAAGTCATGCTAGGGTGTGCATGTTAGGGATTTAACGATTCAACGATACCTATGATATAATTGATACTAAGGTACAGACGATACTTGAATCGTCAGTTTGTGAGATCGTGATACGCTATAAATGGAACAGAAACAGAGTTTCCTCCCGTAATGGCAGAAGTAGCATGGCGCAACTTGATAGGACAGCGGAACACGAGTATGTGGTGATAGAGGACAGGCTTGCTTTTAACTATTACATTTAATAACCATCCCTCCATATAAAACTGTTTTGTTCTTGTTTTATTTGGTTAACAATTTATTTTTTTTGAGATAATAATTAGTACATGAATGAATCCAGAGGTTTTAGATTTAAATTTCAGTGATTTCATCCTTGCTTACTATTTGTTGGTGTATTGTAATACGTATTGTATCACAAGGCACCAGGCGATACTCAGCTCTAGTGCATGTGTGTGTTTATTGTTTAACACTGCAAATGGTAGCCTCTCAAGAGGTTAGTCTTTACCAAACAGGTGCATGTCAGAAGACCCAGCGATCAAAAAGGAGTGAGTGATTGAGTTAAAATTTAACATCACATTGGTAATATTAATTATTTAGAGATCAATAAAGCCAACTTACCAGTCTCATCATTTCCTGCAGGGCAGAAGCTTTGGCGAGGTTGCCACTGAAGTGTTGTCCTTGAGAAGCCTGGAGACAAGATGACATGCGAGAGTTAACATGCAGTGGATCATTCATTGCATTATTTGCATGATACAATGAGAAACAAGCATGAAATACTCATATCCCTCACCATTATGACATCTCCGTTTGTGTGGAGCAATACCACCATTTTCAGTCTAAGTCAAAGTCTTTGCCATGGAAAATTGATAAATAATCTTTTAAAAAATTCCAAATTATCAAAAGTCACCAGTTCACCACTAGACCTATCTATTATCTATGTGCAAGCTTGGTTAAGGTATCTCTCATGGATCGGAGACAATCAAGACGGATGGACAGCACCCATTCCAAGGATAATAATGCCTGAAATTTATGATCTTTCTATCTTCATTTTCACTATCAATCATTAATTGATAATCGATCCTTCTACTGTGTAATCCAGGTAATTGATTCAGGGCCAGGAATCCTCCACTGACCGGCACAGCCTCCCCGAGCATGTAGAGCAAGTTGATGGCCATCTCAACGTCCTTCAACTCCATGGCCTCCCACTGCGGCAGCGTCCGCGTCACGATGTTGTGCACCGTCACAATCACCAGCTCCGAGTCCTGCAGGGAGATAACAGTTGTGTATTCCACACATCGTCCCATGGCAACCGAAGTAGAACAAACTATCAAAGTGAAACTGAGCAAAACACTATTTTTTTATTTATTTGTTTGTTGTTTAATGCCGCAGTCAGCAATATTCCAGCTATATGACGGCGGTCTGTAGATAGTTGAGTCTGGACCAGACAATCCAGTGTTTGATATCATGAGCATCGATCTACAATATTGGGATATGATGACATTCATCAACCAAGTCAGCGAGCCTGACCTGATCCCGTTAGTTATTTACATTTTTTCATCTTTCTGTAAAATGAAATTGGGAGTCTTCAGGAAGTGCTTGATGTACACCTTCAAGTTGATCCTCTTTGTACGACTGTCACTGTCTGTTGTTTCCAGCACCAGGTACACATCAGTGTAGTCCGGTGTGTGTCAGCCAGTGTTAATATTGCAACAGGCGACACCAACAGAACACACGGTTCTAGAGGTAATTTGATGTTGCTTATAATCAAACAATTAAAATGGTGACACACTTCAATACACTGAAGAGGCTAATCTGACGAGTTACAGAACAGTGTTCGGCAATCAGACAATGCAGTAATAACTTCACAGACAATCACTAACACAAACAACACAACTATCAGTGAAGTAAACAATAATGCTATTCAGTATTTTTCAACATCCCAAATCATCAAAAGGCACCAGTTCACTACTAGACCGGACTGCATAGCAAGTTTCATCAAGAAATATTCAACGGTTTAGGTTTCTGTTCCTGAAAGGACCACTACCCTCATTTTCAGTAAACGCCAATTTGTCGTCATGAAAACAATTATTTCTTTTTCAAATATACATCTGATATCATCAAAAGGCACCAGTTCACCAAAGACTGATCTGTATAGCAAATGTCAACAAGAAATATTCAATGGTTTTGGAGTTCTGCTCTAGAAACGGAAAACAGACAGACAGACATGCTGATCGCAATATCTCCCAATTGTTCCAACAGGGGGTTAAAAAAAGACAGTGAACTACAGTAAAATGTCAATAGAGCAGTGTAATACAAATGTAAATGTGTATTGGGCTGATAATAATTTTTAAACTAAATATTGCTCTTTCTTGCTACAATTTGTGAAAAAAATTAATAATGTATTCGACGTATTTGACATTCTATTTTATTAAGACTCAAAGAAAACCTTCACTTCAGATGAGTTTCTCGGTAAAGAAAGCTGTTTAGCTGTCTGGAATTGTAATTGTAATGATTTGCAGGTGCGGAGTATTAGACACTCGCTAATTTATGGCTCCGATACTTTTAATAACACCCTCATCTCATGTGTAAGAAAGTAATAGTGTCATTGTTATGTGATACAAAAGGTCTGGAAGTCTTCAGGAAGTGCTTGATGTACACCTTCAAGTTGATCCTCTTTGTACGAGTGTCACTGTCTGTTGTTTCCAGCACCAGGTACACATCAGTGTAGCCCGGTGTGTGTCAGCCAGTGTTAATATTGCAACAGGCGACACCAACAGAACACACAGTTCTAGTGGTAATTTGATGCTGCTTCTATCAAACAATTTTCTGGGTTTCACTTTTTTTTAGCAACAATGCAATACTCTAAATAAGGGCAGGATCAATGTATGTAAGGCTAAAAACATAACAGATATGAAAGAAATAAAATTAGAAAGTGTCTTCAAAATATACATCCGAATCACACAACACGGGAGGCTAAAATTGATATTTATGGGGATTCACACACTACACATCTTCCCAAGGCAAGGGAGTTCTATTTTTGCTCGACTAACGAGTCTACACATAGTCCAATCAATATCGCGCAACGAAATCAACATCTGGTTCGTAAACTGCCGTACAGATTTCGGTTGATTTGAGGATTTGCAAAACATGTGTACCGACGACTTAGGACCAACAATCGTGTCCAAATCTTTTCATGTTTTTAATCAAGGTGCTCACGTGATTTGCTGCACTTGGCGAAGTAAGACTGATTGATTGCAGCCCTTGACACCTACATGCTTGTTATGGGAAAGACTCACCAGTTGGGCCATGTTGTTGAAGATGACCTTGAGCTGTTTCCGATACTCCTGAAACATGGCCTCATCTTCTCCCTGTGTCACATGACAAACACACAGATTAGACAAACACACAAACTTTAAAGAGATCAAGTTTTAAATTAATGGCTGCCGACAGGGTCAATTACGAGGTACAGCCAATATTCAAGTGGAAAATCTGACAACTCCACAGTTGCCGAACGGTAAAACTGCTATAAATGTGATCACCTCAGGATCAGAAAAAAACTGAGTTATTGTCAACCAATTATCCTCCAAAAAAATGAACTTGAAGAACGAAATATATCCCGAGTGAGATATTTTAGTGTTATCCTGTCTACCCCACAAGGTCGCACTGGTCTACGCATGCGAAGTAGCAATCTCACGGAACCCCTGAATCTTGTGACTGCATGGTAGAATTCAAGACTCGAGTTTCAACGTGTATGTGGAGAACATCCTGAACACTCATGACTCTCCAGGTTAACCTGTGACCTGTAATGATTTCAATGAATGTTCAAAAGAATATTAAATCTCACTTACCTCTTGGTCGAAATTATAAGAATCGTCATACTTCATTTTCTTGACTATTGTGTAAAGGAGACCCTGCGAAATAAATGAAATCAAAGTCAACAACACAACAATGTACAGTACAAAGATGTTAATATTAATAAACAACTATGATATCATTGACAATTAGCAATATTCCTGCAATATCACGGCGGGGGACACCAGAAATGGGCTTCACACATGGTACCCATGTCGGGAATCGAACCCGGGTCTTCGGCGTGACGAGCGAACGCTTTAACCACTAGGCTACCCGACCGCCCGACAATTATCAGACATTTTGTCAGGCCATAATATATGAACTGTTAGCATGATGAGATTGTCATCCCTGACAGCTGAACACCCCGCCCTGCTTCACAACAGTGTATTGTCCCCAAGCATGAACACGACGTACAGACGCAGAAACTCAGGAAATCATAGTGTTTGTTTGTTGTTTAAATCCATACTAACCAATATTCCAGATATATGGTGGCCATCTGTAATAAATCGAGGCTGGACCAGACAATCCAATGATTGACATCATGAGCATCGATCTAAGTAATTGTGTTACGATGACATGCATCAACCAAGTCAGCGAGTCTGACCACCTGATCCTGTTAGTCGCCTTTTGGGCAAGCATGGGTTGCTGAATACCTATTCTACCCCGGATCTTCACGGATCTTAGCACAAGAAAATTTGGTAGCCTATAGTTGATGAAGTACAGATAGATGTGAAGACACAGCAGCGTTGTATACGCTAGTCCTACCTCCATATTCTCCCTCTGTTTTGGCGAGAGGGGAGCTATTTGTTTCAACAAGTTGATGTATTCTTGTGAAAAGTTGGCAACAGCTCCGGACACATCGTCATCTTCATCACCAAGGAAACGCAGCATGTACGGCACTTTGGTCTCCAGAGCTTGTAGTGTGTTATTTGCGTTTTGTGTATCGCCACTCTTAGCTAATCTGCAATAGCAATGGGCATAGTGACAATCAAAGGTTTGTTTTTCGGTAACCATTGATCAAACGAAGTGGTGAAAGCTCAATGAGATTCAGGCTTGCGATATTGCCACTTGGTGAAACCCACAAGTATGGGTATTGTGTTGACAAAACAAGAAACATAATCAGGACATCTTAGATTTGAACCCAAGCTCACTGGAATCTGGCATGCCAAAGGGAAGTAACTCTGGAGCCTCTCAAAACCAGCCAGGAGTCAAGAGACAAGAAGTCAAAAGTAAATGTTGTTTGTTGAGTGAGTGAGTTTGGTTTTAGCAATATTCCAGCAATATCATGGCAGGGAACACCAGAAATAGGCTTCACACATTGTACCCATGTCGGGAATCGAACGCGGGTCTTCGGCGTGACGAACGAATGCTTTAACCACTGGGCTACCGCACTGCCCCATCACAACAGTAAGCACATGACGGCCACACCATTACTGTATCCAGACCAGATGAATCTATGGTAGTAGGAATAACAATCAACGTCATCGGAGTACGATATCTAACAATCATTTCATGAAACTGATGCACGAGATATCATTTGACATAGTGGCTACTTACTTCTGCCATGATGTCAACAGCGCAATGCCGGCACCGTTGATCAACTTGGACAGCTTGGCCAGGAAGTCCCCTTCTTCATCCTGGGAAAAAGACAAAGAGCATTGTGTAATTGGTTTTGTCTAAACTGTTTGTTTCGTTTGTTTGTTTGATGTTTGCCACCGCACTCAGCAATATTACAGTTATATGATGGTAGTTTGTAAATAATCAAGTGTGGACCAGACAATCCAGTGATTCATATAAGCATCGATCCATGCAACTGGCATGCGATGACATGCATCAACCAAGTCAGTCGATTTTTACAGCAAGCATGGGTTGTTGAAGACCTATTCTAACCTGGATCTTCACAGGTCTTGTCTAAACAGAAAAAGTAAGCTACAATATCAAAACATGGGATTGAGAAACCATCATAATACCAAGTATCGCCGACACTGGGGTTGGAACCCACAATAATGTCTTTCTGGGTGCCCAAGGGACACAACTCTGCAAAGCAAATTGCCGCACCTTAGATGACTGGGCCACCCATGCCACCAGTCACCAATATTCCAGGAATATATCACAACAGTCTGTTGAGTCTGGACCAGGCAAACCAGCATCTGAAAGTATGAGCAACGATACACACTATCCTCGTTCGGAAGCCATGTTGCATCCACTGACTTTTGGAAGTGAATTTGTTGTTGTTGTTGTTGTTGTTGTTGTTGTTCAACGCCTCACTCAGAAAACTTAAAGCTATATCACAGCAGCCTGTAAATAATCAAGTCTGGTCCAGACAATCCAATGATTGATACTGTGAGTAATCATCTACAGCATCAATCAAGTTGACGATTCTGACCATCCGATCCTATTTGGTCGACTCTCACAACCAGCTTAGGATTCTGAGGATCTATTCTCACCCGGAATCCTCATGGGGGGGGGATTCTTTCTTGACAGTATGTCTTAACGTGTAAAGCATGGTTATAGCAGCACATACTTAACGTGTAAAGCATGGTTATAGCAGCACATATGTTGTTTGGATCCTGTGACTCTAACTGCAAGCCTTACCTCCGGTGGGTTGAGCACACCAGCGTTGTCTAGAAACGCCATGAAAGACTCCACCAGTTTAGTTTTGCTGACAGGATCCATCCCCTTGCTGATGATCTCGTGAACACAGTCGCACGCGCTCTCCCTCACCAAGGTCAAGGACAGGAACCGCAACAATGCAGATACCACCTTGTCATTGGCTATGAGGCTGATGTCAATCCAAGACACAAATTTCCCCACAACGTCCAGACAGGTACAGGTTATTTCAGGTTTGCTGGTTTCATACCCCGTCTGAAAATAAGACATTTATTATCCTTTAGTATTAGGCCATTATAGATTTTTATCCCCTTCCAATCCCGCTACCCAACACGCTGCCTCATCTCGTCTTATTTCCACAACTACTTACAGACAAAATATATCACCTACAGCCTCATATTTTTAAATTTGGATGAAAATTTAATAAAACAATGAAATGTTCTTAAATCACCAAGCACAGTCCAAGTGTCAAACAGTTGGTTCTGAGTGAGTGAGTGAGTGAGTGAGTGAGTGAGTGAGTGAGTGAGTGAGTGAGTGAGTCTTACGATGCTTTCAGCAATATTCCAGCAATATTCCAGCAATATCACGGCGGGGGACACCAGAAATGGGCTTCATGACCACTTTAACCACTAGGCTACCCTACCGCCCCTGCCAGCTTTGGGAGGAAAGCCAAAATAGGTGCAGGTGTTAGATGTTCTCCTTGTTCGTCAAGTCCTCAAGCACAACAACCTGCTTGTTTCTTCATTGTTTAACACCGCACTGAGCAATATCCCAGCTATATGACAGTGTCCTGTAAATAATCGAATCTGGGCCAGACAATCCAGTTATTGATGGCAAGAGCATCAATCATAATCGCCAAGGTACGATGACATGCATCAACCAAATCACCTAGCATGACCACCCAATCCATCCAGTCACCTCTTATGACAAGGGTAGGTTGCTGTGGACCAATTCTAACCAAGAATCTGTGCAGAGTTGATATTTTCCTCACCATGATCTGGTACCACGACTCAGCCAGCTGTGCCACGCAATGGTCCCGCATCGTGTCTTTAATCACTGTGTTCCGCTGAGTCTCCTGTAAAACAAACATTCATCATGTTACAACTCTAGTCATAGTCGCTATGGAGAAAAATGGAGGTGAAATTGGGTTTAACTTCGCGTCCAAGATTATTGCACTTATATAGCGACGTGCATGCACGTGTGTGTGTGGGGGGGGCTGCTTGTACTAGTCCGGACTGATGCCGATTTATAGTGCTAGCACACTGAGATACCATGCCGCAGTTTAACATGAATACCCCACTCAGACACAGTATACTAACTCCAAGCCGACCAGTCCTTGTTTTAGCCCCTTAATGCCGAGCGCCAGACAGGGTAACAACAGGTTACCTTCCCCTCTCCAGGTGGACGCTCTACAACTAGACCACGGAGGCGGTCCAGAACTAATGTTGTCATCAATGGTCCATTTGTGACTGTGGCTGTCCTACCATCATTTAATTTCCAGACACGACTCGATTATTCTGCTTCAAAGTAGAGCAGAACACTGTAAATCATTTTTTTTAAAACTGAGGTTGATTTCAGTTTGTACAGGAAATGTCCAACAACTTTCAGACCTACCACGACCAGCTTCAAACTTTTGAGTCTCAGTTTAATGAAGTAGATTGTAGTCTCATTATATCAACCATTAAATTAGCAGCTGAGCTTACTTGACCAAGCCAAACTGGATGAGACACAGGCTACTAACAAGTGGCTAAATTCGCAGACTGCTTAAGACTTTAAGCCAAAGATTGGCTGAAATAGAGCCAGGCCAAGCGATGCTAAATAATAGTGACATGATGAGTATTGATCCACACCATCATGACACGACTTACAATCTCACATTATAATCGTCATTTAGTATGCTTTGTCCCTTGTTACAACAAGCAAAAGGTGCTTGGGATCTGTTGTGAGCCCAAAGATACATTTCATGAGTTTTCTCACCTGTGGTGTGTGGACAATCTCCCGGTCCACCACCTCACTGTCGATGGCCAGGAGTATCCTCAGGAACATGTCAACAGCGAGGTGGCCCAGGGACAGAGTGGACAGCAGGTCCGCAAAGAACGTCTGCCACCGGTGGGGATAGTCCACAATGAAAGCAAGGGAGACAATCTGGGCCACTTTGTTGCGCAGAAAGTTCTTGCCCTGGCTTGCTTCATTTCCCTGAAACAAAGCAAAAGAATGTGTGTCATTCCCTGTCCTTGTATGCCACACAACATGGGATATTCACAGTGTCAGACTTGATGTGTGGAGATGTTTTCGAATGAACAAGGGATTGGGCCTGATATTGACACATGTTAAGCTTTATAAGTAATAGAAAACAAAAGTAAACATGAGATCCTCCATGCAAATGTGCAAAGTTTTAAAAGAATTCCGCAATAGGTATTGCATAGTTTAAAAAGCGGTCGTTCATGTTGAGTTTGTTTGTTTGTTGTTTAACGCCGCACTCAGCAATATTCCAGCTATATGACGGCGGTCTGTAAATAACTGAGTCTGGACCAGACAATCCAGTGATTGATATCATGAGCATTGATCTAAGCAATTGGGATACGATGACATGCATCAACCAAGTCAGCGAGTCTGACCACCGATCCTGTTAGTCGCCTCTTACGACAAGCATGGGTTGCTGAAGACCTATTCTACCCCGGATCTTCAAGGGTCGTTTTGTGTTGAGAAACTGATCGAAAGAAGGTCATTTTAGTATCATACAGGCTTCATTTCCCTCCCAAAATGTTCACTTAAATGCATTGGCAATGTTTCCTTACCTCCATTTGCAAACAGGCGTTGATGAAAGACTTGACATTGTTGTGGTCTTCTGGCGTGGACTGTGCATAACTGTAAGTAGAACAAAATGGGCATCAAATTCTAATACTCCATTCTGAAGGTGCTGAAACAATACATATATCAGGGATGCAACTTAACTTGCAACACTTACTAGCCTGAATAGTGGTAGCATAGAAGGAAACACAAAAGGCCCCTTTCTCTGGATATATTAATTTATGGCACCAACTCAGTCTTGCTAAGTATCTCTTTGACAAGCTAAGTTCAGTAGTTTCTGAAAAACCATGTCTCCATTGCAGACACTATGCACTTTGAAAATAACATGGATCAGGGACCGTCACTGTGTATGCTCAAAATCTAAAAACATCTAACAAGGGAAGTAACTCTGGAAAAAATAATTTACGGGACCAATTATCGAACTCTGTCATGACAAGTATCTCATAGATCAGCAGCTAACTGTCGTTCACGTAACTTTAGTAGTTTCTGAGAAAACCATTTCACACAGTATGCAACAAGTTGAAAAAGCACGGAGAAAGGGCCATAACTCTGCAAAAATTAATTTAAGACACCAATTTTCAAACACATTCAAGATCATGACCAGTAAGATCAGTGTGTAAAATTTCAGTTCTCTAACTTAAATAGTTTTTGAAAAAATTTGTCCACTTTGAAAAGCGGATGGAAGGACGGACAGATGGACAAAGTCTGTTCCTGGATATCCCCTGCCCCACTTTTTGTAGGGATAATAACCATACACTTTACATCTGTCAACCATTGACAAAATCACCTCAACCAATGTTTATCATGGTTTCAGCGAAGAATAAAAAAAAAATTAAAACTGCCATGCTTTTGAAAATATCAGTTCTAATAATAAGGTTCATGTGATTTTAACGTCAACTCTGTAAGTCACTGCATGACGCTGTATGTGTGATATTTGTTTGTTGTTTAAATTCTGCACACAGTAATATCCCAGGTATATGACGGCAGCCTGTACATAATCTGGTCTGGACCAGACAATCCAGTGATTGACACCATTAAACAATGATCCATGTCGTAGGAGTACAATGACAGCTGTCAACCAAGTCACCAAGCCTGACCACCCCCATCCATTTGGTCCCCGCTTTCGACCAGCATAGGTTGCTGGGGACCAATTCTAACCGGAATCCCCATGGGATTAATATGTGTGAAGTACACCTAGACCTACAGTACACACCTGTTCTTCAAATAGTGCTCCACAACTTGTAAACAAAAGAACTTCACATGGTCGTTGCTGAAAAGAAAGATTAAAACCATGCAAATGTAAAGTGATTACTACATACATGGACATTGACAAAAAGCAACATATCATAGTCAGTAACTCTCATGAATAACATTATTCATGATAATTCTGCATTATCAGGATTATTTGATGCTTCTTCTACCAAAGTTATTGGCAATAGTTGCCAGTCTCCTGACAATCTACGAATCAAGCAAAACATGTCACACGTGGGTTTCTGTTGGCCAAAGCCAATAGTTACGCTATCTCTACAAGCTGACATACCTGTGGTACCTGCCACTCGTTACACTGTTGTCTCTACAAGCTGCCATACCTGTGGTACCTGCCACTAGTTACACTGTCTCTACAAGCTGACTTACCTGTGGTACCTGCCACTAGTTACACTGTTGTCTCTACAAGCTGACTTACCTGTGGTACCTGCCACTAGTTACACTGTTGTCTCTACAAGCTGACTTACCTGTGGTACCTGCCACTCGTTACACTGTTGTCTCTACAAGCTGACTTACCTGTGGTACCTGCCACTCGTTACACTGTTGTCTCTACAAGCTGACTTACCTGTGGTACCTGCCACTCGTTACACTGTTGTCTCTACAAGCTGACTTACCTGTGGTACTTGCCACTAGTTACACTGTCTCTACAAGCTGACTTACCTGTGGTACCTGCCACTAGTTACACTGTTGTCTCTACAAGCTGACTTACCTGTGGTACCTGCCACACGTTACACTGTTGTATCTACAAGCTGACATACCTGCCACTCGTTACACTGTTGTATCTACAAGCTGACATACCTGTGGTACCTGCCACTAGTTACACTGTTGTCTCTACAAGCTGACTTACCTGTGAAACCTGCCACTCGTTCCACTGCTGTCTCTACAAGCTGACATACCTGTGGTACCTGCCACTAGTTACACTGTCTCTACAAGCTGACATACCTGTGGTACCTGCCACTAGTTACACTGTTGTCTCTACAAGCTGACATACCTGTGGTACCTGCCACTCATTACACTGTCTCTACAAGCTGACTTACCTGTGGTACCTGCCACTAGTTACACTGTTGTCTCTACAAGCTGACTTACCTGTGGTACCTGCCACTAGTTACACTGTTGTCTCTACAAGCTGACTTACCTGTGGTACCTGCCACTCATTACACCGTTGTCTCTACAAGCTGACTTACCTGTGGTACCTGCCACTAGTTACACTGTCTCTACAAGCTGACATACCTGTGGTACCTGCCACTAGTTACACTGTTGTCTCTACAAACTGACATACCTGTGGTACCTGCCACTAGTTACACTGTCTCTACAAGCTGACATACCTGTGGTACCTGCCACTAGTTACACTGTCTCTACAAGCTGACATACCTGTGGTACCTGCCACTAGTTACACTGTCTCTACAAGCTGACATACCTGTGGTACCTGCCACTAGTTACGCTGTCTCTACAAGCTGACTTACCTGTGGTACCTGCCACTAGTTACACTGTTGTCTCTACAAACTGACATACCTGTGGTACCTGCCACTCGTTACACTGTTGTCTCTACAAGCTGACTTACCTGTGGTACCTGCCACTAGTTACACTGTTGTCTCTACAAGCTGACATACCTGTGGTACCTGCCACTAGTTACACTGTTGTCTCTACAAGCTGACATACCTGTGGTACCTGCCACTAGTTACACTGTTGTCTCTACAAGCTGACATACCTGTGGTACCTGCCACTAGTTACGCTGTCTCTACAAGCTGACTTACCTGTGGTACCTGCCACTAGTTACACTGTTGTCTCTACAAACTGACATACCTGTGGTACCTGCCACTCGTTACACTGTTGTCTCTACAAGCTGACTTACCTGTGGTACCTGCCACTAGTTACACTGTTGTCTCTACAAGCTGACTTACCTGTGGTACCTGCCACTAGTTACACTGTTGTCTCTACAAGCTGACTTACCTGTGGTACCTGCCACTCATTACACTGTTGTCTCTACAAGCTGACTTACCTGTGGTACCTGCCACACGTTACACTGTTGTATCTACAAGCTGACATACCTGCCACTCGTTACACTGTTGTATCTACAAGCTGACATACCTGTGGTACCTGCCACTAGTTACACTGTTGTCTCTACAAGCTGACTTACCTGTGAAACCTGCCACTCGTTCCACTGCTGTCTCTACAAGCTGACATACCTGTGGTACCTGCCACTAGTTACACTGTCTCTACAAGCTGACATACCTGTGGTACCTGCCACTAGTTACACTGTTGTCTCTACAAGCTGACATACCTGTGGTACCTGCCACTCATTACACTGTCTCTACAAGCTGACTTACCTGTGGTACCTGCCACTAGTTACACTGTTGTCTCTACAAGCTGACTTACCTGTGGTACCTGCCACTAGTTACACTGTTGTCTCTACAAGCTGACTTACCTGTGGTACCTGCCACTCATTACACCGTTGTCTCTACAAGCTGACTTACCTGTGGTACCTGCCACTAGTTACACTGTCTCTACAAGCTGACATACCTGTGGTACCTGCCACTAGTTACACTGTTGTCTCTACAAACTGACATACCTGTGGTACCTGCCACTAGTTACACTGTCTCTACAAGCTGACATACCTGTGGTACCTGCCACTAGTTACACTGTCTCTACAAGCTGACATACCTGTGGTACCTGCCACTAGTTACACTGTCTCTACAAGCTGACATACCTGTGGTACCTGCCACTAGTTACGCTGTCTCTACAAGCTGACTTACCTGTGGTACCTGCCACTAGTTACACTGTTGTCTCTACAAACTGACATACCTGTGGTACCTGCCACTCGTTACACTGTTGTCTCTACAAGCTGACTTACCTGTGGTACCTGCCACTAGTTACACTGTTGTCTCTACAAGCTGACATACCTGTGGTACCTGCCACTAGTTACACTGTTGTCTCTACAAGCTGACATACCTGTGGTACCTGCCACTAGTTACACTGTTGTCTCTACAAGCTGACATACCTGTGGTACCTGCCACTAGTTACGCTGTCTCTACAAGCTGACTTACCTGTGGTACCTGCCACTAGTTACACTGTTGTCTCTACAAACTGACATACCTGTGGTACCTGCCACTCGTTACACTGTTGTCTCTACAAGCTGACTTACCTGTGGTACCTGCCACTAGTTACACTGTTGTCTCTACAAGCTGACTTACCTGTGGTACCTGCCACTAGTTACACTGTTGTCTCTACAAGCTGACTTACCTGTGGTACCTGCCACTCATTACACTGTTGTCTCTACAAGCTGACTTACCTGTGGTACCTGCCACTCGTCAGGGCTTGTGCACAGATCTTCCATCCATTCGGCTGCTGCTTCAGCTCCTCAAAATACTGCAGGGCCTGATGACACGAGACAGACGAATGTAAATATCACTAGCCTCAGCCAGTTTGTATAAAGATGTACTCAGGGCCTACGAGTAGTGGTGTTCTGATTCATTGAAACAATCGAAGACTGATTGGAAGCAATCTATTTTGTGTATTTTATGCAAATACAGTAAACTATGTTTATAACGAACACGCTTATAATGAGTGAGTGAGTTTGGTTTTACACTGCTTTTAGCAATATTCCAGCAATATCACGGCTGGGGACACCAGAAATGGGCTTCACACATTGTACCCATGTCGGGAATCGAACCCGGGTTTTCAGCTTGATGAGCGAATGCTTTAACCACTAGGCTACCTGACCGCCCCCGCTTATTATGAACTGAGTGATATAAGGAATTGTTTTTTATGTCCCGGCCATTTGCTGTATATATGCTGAAAATATGCTAATGACGAACTTAGGTTATAACGAACTAAAATTAGCAGTCCCTTTGTGTTCGTTATAACTGTAGTACCTGGGTATACTGTATGCACTTATCTGGAAAACAGTTCCTTACAGGCACAAGATAACATCATAAAGTACTCATGGAAATGAAAAAAACCCTGTTTTGCTTGATTTAATAATCGACACAAAGCATTGCGTAGATGTAAATACTAAATAACAAAACAACTGGAAAAAGTACTAGTCTGGATTTGCTAGTTTTATCTCAGTGCTCAATACAGAATGTACTTTACAGGAGGTAATTTGTAGGCACTTTCAACATTCAAAAATAAAACTAAGTCCAAATTGACATGGCAGAAACTGGCTATAGCATTATGCAAATTAGCCTGGAAAAAAGTTATCAAAACAACAATAGAAATAACAGCTATGTTTATGTACATAATAATAATGACATGTAAGTTGTTGTTTGAGAAGGGAATGTGTTACTTTTACGTTCTGATATTTTGACGATGATTCACAATCCCACAATGCCACTGACAAATCACTAACCACTGACAAATAACATGCACGTGGGTTTCCAGCACCTGTTTTCACCTGTCGTCAAGGTGTCATAGGTCATGGACATTCACCTTGATCTACTAACACCTGGTTATGCTCAGTTTCACAACAGTCTGTTTTGTTCATATTTTTACACACTTTTACGTACTAATTGAGCTGTTTGAATATTTTTATATTTTGTATATTAACTGCATTTATTTAAAATCTGAGATAAAAAAAACAGGGTTTTTTTCATTTCCGTGAGTACTTTAGTAATTATGAAAAATACAAATTCCAATTTTACATATTCATGATATTGTCAACAGGTGACTAAATAGATCTGGAAGTCTTAAGGAAACACTTGATGAACACCTTCAAGTTGATCCTCTTTGTACGACTGTCACTGTCTGTTGTTTCAATCACCAGGTACACATCAGTGTAGTCCGGTGTGTGTCAGCCAGTGTTCATATTGCAACAGGCGACACCAACAGAACACACGGTTCTAGTGGTAATTTGATGTTGCTTATAATCAAACAATTTCACACAGGGTCCAATCTGACTTGAGAGTAATTATATAACTCAACAGTGTTCTGCTATCAGACAATCCAATATTAACTTCACAGACTTCATTTCTAATCATGAACACAAACAAAACTGTAATAATTGCAATCTGTGACCATCGTTCAGCACAAAAATGTAACAAGCCCCACCCATCCTATTATCGGCCAATCAGGAAACAGTAAGTTGGCGTGGCTTAATATTTTTCAAACAAACAGAACAAATAATACACTTGGTATGTCAATCAAATGCCACAGAATCACTTGCAATTTACTTCTTTATTTTACAGATAATCACATCTGTACTTCACATGTTAATAAACAAAACTTTATGTGCTAATAGATTTGCATGTGCTGAATATTAGACACCAGCTAGTTTATGGATCCGATACCTGTAGTAACACCCTGACCTCATGTGTAAACATACAGCTTTGGTTATTTGCACACGTCCTGTAGTGCTTGCCAAACTCCCCAATAGTGAGGGTATCATAAGGGCTAGTAGAAATTTGCCATTATTTAAGGTTTTTACTATATGTTATCATTATAAGGACTAGTGGACTACAACTGTTACTTTTTATCACTCAAGTGTCACTGTCATGTGATACAAAAGGTCTGGAAGTCTTCAGGAAGTGCTTGATGAAAACCTTCAAGTTGATCCTCTTTGTACGACTGTCACTGTCTGCTGTTTCAATCACCAGGTACACATCAGTGTAGTCCGGTGTGTGTCAGCCAGTGTTCATATTGCAACAGGCGACACCAACAGAACACACGGTTCTAGTGGTAATTTGATGTTGCTTTCTATCAATCAGTGCATGTTGTTTGCACATCACATCAATAAACTTTACAAACTATATTTAGTTCAAACATATTTTTGTCCATTTTTCCATATGAGAATGATTGAGCTGGAGTTTCTTGCAACTTGTCTTCCTCCCTTGAGCTCTTTTCATAAGCGATATTAGCGCTTATCTAGCATGGTACCACTATCACAAGTCTATGTTAATGCATGGGAGTTTCACAAGTCATCATGGTGATGGCAATCAGTTTTTAAAAGTTCTTAGATTGTACAGAAGTAAAAGGAAGGAAAGTTTCCATTTCTGTACATTGCTCTCTGAATTATTTAAAGAATCTTACTCCAGGAATATATGTATGTGTGTGTGTGTGTGCGTGCGTGTGTGTGTGTGTGTGTGTGAAGGTGAAACATAATCTGATGATGAGTTCAGCAGGCTGAAGGCAGCCAGTTATATTTTACATGTGTAAATATCAGCATTATAGTAACTTAGCGACGTTATCACTATGTACATAGCCTTGATGTTTTCTAGAAGACTGAAAAGGGGTACAAACACATTTTACATAATCACCATGGGGCTGGGGTGAATTCCTAGACACCACCAACTCGTAGACACACTTTACAGTGAACCTATAGACAAACCGAGAGTGAATTCGTACACATGGTTTTTTTCATATTGGAATTCAACAATTAGTGAATTTCTTAAGCAGGTTCTTTTGTGAATAAAGTGTTAAATAAAAAATATGGAATTAATTAGTATTTCTTTAGCAGAATCCTTTATAAATACTATTATAAATTAATAATCTTGTAAGTATATATGCAAGTTAAGAAGGACAAGAGGATCATTCAGTAAGCATGGTAAGTGGGGAGTTTTCTTTTGATAGGAATTGCAGGATCAATTCCCCAATTGTATCTGTTTTGTCTGCAAGTTCACTGTGAATCTTGTCTACGAGTTGGGAGTGTCTACAAATTCTCCATGGCTATGAATTTGTTTGGTTACTAATTCACCTACAGCCTACACCATGTACACCATGTTCAATTTTAAGGGTCTAAATTTATCATAAATCTTATCTAGATAACAGATTGATTTCAAATGAGAACTCAATCGTGAAAGGTTTACGGTAATCCTTGTAGCATTTGATTTGATCTGGGGAAGAATCCATACAGGCCTAGTACTGTGACAGTGTGGTCATTGGTGGTGACAATACTTCTACTATGTTCAGAAGATGGCTTCTGGAATCTTAAAGGTACCTAGAAACATCTCTCAATGCCATGTTAATCATATTGTTTTAAAATTATTGTCTTGGTATGAAATATGTTGAAATAAATACATGGCAGAAGTGCATATGGCATCCTATTGATTTCTATCTAATCCATGTCAAAATGTCTAAAGAACACAAACATCTTTTACTAATTCGTAATCTTGTGTCTACTCTGCAAGTGAAAGTGTAGATTACCATTAAATTTTCAGAGAATTTAAATAAATAAAAAAAACATATGCGTCATATTTTTTTCTCAACAACGTGCCTATAAGAATTGAAAAATGATTTGATGACGACGATCCCGACAACCTGCCACGGATATTGTGGGAGACACACGCACTTCTCAACTTAGTATAGTTCTTCACATAACTTACCCTATTTTGGGCAAGACAGTTGCCTTGAGAGCCCAACCCCTGGAGGGCCAGTTCGTCCATACTTGTCTCTTCCTTAGAGCACGGGTTAAAATTGTGTAATGTTAATATTCACTAAAATAAACGTGGATATACAGACGTTGTTTACATCTTAACTTCGGCTATCTTCTGGATAACCACGCCATAAGCGTGACCCGCTTCCTAAACGATCACATATGCTGTGTTTCCTGGGTTATCTCTTAAAATGATAAAGTCTCAAGTAGACAGTGTGGGTCAGCTGTTAATGTGACGTAAGTGTTCGAAACTACCCATGCTTATTACTGCTCATTGCAATCACTGCATTGCATCGGAACTGATCCACGTTTCATCATTGGCCCATGCGTCAGCCTCCATGTTTTTGGATAGGGGTTTGTGTAAAAACACACGAAAGACCCTACTGCGGAAATGGATTCGTCAGAAGAAATCCCCACATTGTTATCACGTTTTAACCCATTTGATGTGATCACCATTTCCGGTTGTTTCCTGAATATTATATTTTAAAGGGCCTTTCCCGTTTGAAAATAATTTTAAGGTTTATAAAATATAAATTTAACAGGGAACTGAAATGATGAAATATTGAAATCAGTGGTAAAATAAGGCCGTGGAGGGTCTGTTTCATTTGTATTCTCCCTTTCAGCAGTGTGATAGTACCATACAGCTTGAGTGCGGCGTAAAACAACATGTTAACTTGAACACACAATGCCATTTAGAAAGTGGTCAAGTGTAACAAATGTTATATTTGGGATAACACTTTCTTAGTAAAGTACAGATTCTCGTACTATTTTTGGATTGAGTCCGGTCCGGGATTCGAACCCACACTGCCAGAGTCAGAGTGAGGCACCTAATCGCCAGCATACATTATCTTATTATATCAGGGAGTCAATGTATCTTTGTATAGCCTCCCTGCTTATACATAGCCATGTTGGTTAACTTTTGGTGAACTTCAATCGGTCACGGACTCAAAACATTAGACCTAGCCTATGCCACTCCCCTTAGTATGTATTTTACCAAAAGATTAGTGTTTAAGTGTGTCATGGTAGAGTTAGGAGATAAACACAATGTATTTGTAATGCAGAGTTATGCTGCGCTTTGAATGTCATGTGCATTAAACATTTAAACCCAACTTTGCGCACTTGGTTCCAAATTCAATTTAGTACTGCCATGGCAAATATACAGTTAACATACATGAAACCACAGTAGTGTTTTAGCTAAATTAGACCACTGTGAACTTCAAGTTTCTGTATAATTGAAGAATTATTTTAGATCACAGTTACATTACCATTTTTGTTTTGTTCGTTTGTTTGTTTTCTGGTTTAATGGTGCACTCAGCAGTATTCCAGCTCTATGACGGACCTGTACATAACAGGATCTGGCACAGGTAAACCAGTGGTTGATATTGTGAGCAACCGTTCACGCAATCGGGGTACGATGACACACTTTATCAACAAGTCGCCGAGCCGGACCACCTGATCCATTTTGGCGCCTCTCCTGACCAGCATATATAGAGGTGTCCCCGGTTGTTGGGGATCTGCTCTAACCCACAATCACCATGAGTTCCTTCGTGCGTGTGTGTATGTTGTTTATTGATAACAGAAAAGTTATGATTCGATTTTGTGTAGATTTCAAAGATTATTGGTGGACTGCATAACGAACATTATCTGAAATAGGAACGTGATGAAAGTAGCTTGTAGCTGGTATGATATTTGAGCTGTTGGACCTGTCATTGAGAACACACATTGAAAAGAGATTTAGAAAAAAATCTGATTATTATTTAAACGGTTAATATACTATATGTCATTTTACTTTTCGCTAATGACCTAGTACTTCGATCTGATTCATCCGATAAACTACAGAAAGTTTTCTAAAGTTTGCACTGACAAGTATCAATACAGCTTCCCGAGGCAAAGGAGTTAACTGAGTGTAAATGTAAAATTTCTGTTTATAGTCAGTTAACTCCCTTGCCTCGGGAAGATGGTACCAATAATGAAAAGACTGATGCCGTTATTTTGGGGTCTAGAATGTCATTGGTGCAGATTGAAGTGGTCATTGGAGGAACATGACATGCAAGTGTCAGACAGCTATTTTGGAACTGTCTTCTACCAAAAGTCTTGTTTTAAGCATTGTCTGGAATCTCTTGTAAGGAAGTGTCGCAGGGAGCATATCACATTCTTTCTTTTGATCAATTGCATTCAGATATGGCTTCAAATTTCAGCTGCAACACGTTAAGCTATTTTGGAACCAAAAGTCTATATTGTCCGTAATCTCTTGTAAGGAAGGGTCACAGGGAGCATACCATACTCTTTCCTCTAATCTATTACAGTCAGATTTGGCTTCAAATGTCAGGTGCAACGATTTAAGCAATTAAAGAACCAGTCGTTTTATTACATCTCCCCGAGGCAAGGGAGTTAACTGACTGTAAATGTAAAAATCCTGTTTATAGTAAGTTAACTCCCTTGCCTCGAGAAAATGTGTTCTTATAACTGCGAGGTGTATTATAGAGTACAGAATCAATTTTGCTGAAGCAAAATACGGTAGATCTGTTAACACTTGATAAAAATACAGGTGAAACATTGCAAACATATATTAGTTCTGTTTTAGGAAACACAAAACGTGGTGTGCAGAGCTGAGCTGGGATTGTTTCCCTATCTTTACAGTAGGGGGCACGGGTGGCCCAGTCGTCTAGGGCGCCGCGATTCGCTGTGCAGAGTTGCGTCCCTTGGGCACGCCAGAAACCTATGGTTGTGGGTTCGAATCCCGGTTCGCCCCGATTATGTTTCTAGGTTTGTCAGCACCATACCCGTGCTCGTGGGTTTCACCGAAGTGGTAAACGTCTGAGACCTGCATCACTTCGGGCTTTCCTCCCACATTAAGCTGACACGCCGTGATATAACTGGAATACTGTTAAAAAGCGGCGTTTAACCCAGCTCACTCACTATCTTTACAGTCGTTCACAGAAATGTGAAATTTTACTGGCATATTACCATGAATATTGTTTAAAAAATGCTTTCAATTAAAGTGTTAATATGCCCCAAAAACCACATGGGCGGTATCAAACTCTCTCGTTTCTTGGATAAGCTTGAGTTAACTTCCAACTCAGTATTAAATACATCAGCTGAGAAATTAACTCAGATCTTATGATATAAAGAAGATATAAAAATTAGGTTAGATTAGAATAAAGCTATGCTTGTCGTAAGAGGCAACTCAATGGATCGGACTTTGTGACCTGGTTGATGCAAGTCATCATATCCCAACTGCGTAGATTGATGTTCCGGATGGCATTCGTTTGATTGTCTGGTCCAGACTTGATTATTTACAGATCACAGAGTGTGGCGTTAAACAACACACAAACAATCCAAATCATACAGTAACACTGTGACAAACATGCACATACATATGTGTGCCTGTCTCATCTCGGAGTGTCAGTACCTCTCGTCATACCGACTCCGTAGTCTGGTGGATAGAGCGTCTGCCCGTAGAGCGGAAGGTCGGTGGTTCGATCCCCGGCCGCTTGTTGTAACCCTGCAAGGCACTCGGCTTTATTAAAGGGAATAAAACGAGGACTGGTTGGCTCAGAGTCATGAAACTGTGTTGATGGCATAGAATTTCAGTGGGCTAGCACTGTAAACCCGGCATAAGTCTGTACTGGAAAAAGCAAACACACGCACGCACGCACGCACGCACGCACACACGCACACACAGAGGCGTAGCTATATAAGTGCAATAAGTTTAAACGCGATTTAAACCCCATTTCAACTCACCTATATATCGGATCAGACCCGGGTTCCGTCGAGATGAGCGAACTGCTTAACCACTGTGCTACCCGGGAATCTCCAACATACATGTTGAAGCATGTCTCAGTACGGGAATATATGAACTTTGTGTGCACTGCTTTACATCACATGAAATTTCTCTTGACGGAAGTTGACCTCATGTATAGTCAAGAATGAGGCAGAAGTCCCCATGGACCATAGTCTCTCCTAGAAACATTCACCCACATTTCACTCTCACAACCTTCTCGGCTCCGTCAGTATGAATCCGCTTTTCAGCTGTGACATTAAGAGAGACTTGGTCCTTTAATACTCCTGGGTATCTTGTAAAATTATTTGTAGTAACCTTACATATAAGACTATTTCGGGGACATGTTTAAGCCTATATGGACCCCAGTTAAGGTGGTCAAGCTTTAAAGGACTATAGCTCGTACGGTAAGTGAGTGAGTGAGTTGGGTTTAACGCCGCTTTTAACAGTATTCCAGTTATATCACGGCGTGTCAGCTTAATGTGGGAGGAAAGTCCGAAGTGATGCAGGTCTTAGACGTTTACCACTTCGGTGAAACCAACGAGCACGGGTATGGTGCTGACAAACCTAGAAACATAATCGGGGCGAACCGGGATTCGAACACACAATCATAGGTTTCTGGCGTGTCCAAGGGACGCAACTCTGCACAGCGTATTGCGGCGCCTAAGACGACTGGACCACCCGTGCCCCCGCTCGTGTTGTGGAACTCAGTGATCCACTGGTATCATTGTCACCGCTATTTTACTTTTTACACCCTCATATTCCCAAATACTGATTTGTTTTACCTATAGGGTGGAACGCTTTGACTTTTAACGAAGCTGAAAGCTGCTTTTTATACATAGGTTGTACTGTTTAAGACAGACGCATGGCCGCTTTTAATTTTACTGGGCGAGGTGAAATGACGCACGCATTTTCATGCAATCAACATAATTGACTTTCTACAAGGCTTTATTCCAAGCTGAAAGACCCGTGAAGATCCGGGGGTAGACCAGGTCTTCAGCAACCCATGCTTGTCCCCCGTGAAGATCCGGGGGTAGACGGTCTTCAGCAACCCATGCTTGTCCCCCGTGAAGATACGGGATAGAATAGGTCTTCAGCAACCCATGCTTGTCCTCCGTGAAGATACGGGATAGAATAGGTCTTCAGCAACCCATGCTTGTCCTCCGTGAAGAAACGGGATAGAATAGGTCTTGAGCAACCCATGCTTGTCCTCCGTGAAGATACGGGATAGAATAGGTCTTCAGCAACCCATGCTTGTCCCCCGTGAAGGTCCGGGTCCAGTTAAAACGTTACTGTGCTTTTTCTCTATATATATCAATACGTTTTTAGTAACCACCAATTAAGAAATGTACGGAAGTCCTTTTAGGGCCATTTGTTTTTTTTATTTCTTTCGATATTATCTTGAAATTTCAAGATACTAAGTTGAAATTTCAAGATACTAAGTTGAAATTTCATGAAACTAAGGTGACATTTCAAGATACTCAGTTGAAATTTCAAGATACAGAAGTTCAAATTTCAAGATATTAAGTTGATATTTCCAGATTATTCCCTTCAAACGTATTCTTACATCTTAGGTTGTTAACTTATTTTCTTGAAATTTCAACTTAGTATCTTGAAATTTCAACTTCTGTATCTTGAAAATTCAACTTCTGTATCTTGAAATTTCAAGATAGTATCGGGAAAAAAATTAAAAAACAAATTGCCCTAAAGGGCTTCCGTAGAAATGTAAATGTTGCGTCATAATAAGTTATTTGTGAGAAGTCAGGCAATGCTGACAACTTGTTTGTTGTTAACAGTTAAAGTTCGTCAGAAAATGTTTATCTGCTGCTTATCACAACATATCATGCATATAAAACCTCTCACCACTTGCTTGTAGTCACTCCCGCTTTACAGCTCATCGAAACTTCGCTATATCCAAAAGAAGCAGAAGTTCTTATTCACAAAGTTGTACATTTTCTTATTTACTCGCCAACTTCTAAAATGCCAATCATACAGTAAGTTGTTGTTCGACAGAGCAAGTGTGTATTCTGCGTTTGTCGATTGTTTAGATCGTGCATACACTTGGTCTAATAGACTGAAGAATGTTTTTAGGAACAACCAATCAAGAAATGTAAATCTGGATTTTGATAGGTGTGGCAAATATGTTTGTTTCTCTTTTGCTTGCATTCCAAAATGTACCTATATCGAATCTACTATTGACTAGGGCAGTGGGGTAGCCTAGTGGTTAAAGCGTTCGCTCGTCACTCCGAAGACCGGGTTCGATTGCCCACGTGGGTGCAATGTGTGAAGCCCATTTTTGGTGACCCCCTCTGTGATATTGCTGGAATATTCCTAAAAGCGGCGCAAAACCATACTCACTCACTCACTACTATTGACTTTATTGTTCTTGAACAGTCCCCTTGAAAATATTTTGTTATGATGTTTTTCGTTGTTCCAAGTTCACATAAAAAAATGAGGCACAAAAAATCGTCATTGGAATTGAATATCACAAGGGCCCGTTCCATAAAGCGATCATAGCGCTACGATTGTCATAACGCTATCTGACACTAACTGTACGATGTAGAACGAGGTTTCAGTTCGTTAAAAAAGCCTGGTGCACTTTTGGAAAAACCAAGGTATATTCTCAACTACACGAGATGTACGTTATAAATGTGAAAATAATTTGAATTTCTTATTTCTAACATAAAACAAAAGAAATGTAATGATAGATTTCGAACTATATGTGAAAATTACAATGTATCTCATCATTAATTCCGGTGAGTCACGTGACCAACCCTTTTCCTCGTGGTAGCAAACATGAAGGCTCGTGGTGAGGTGCGTGCCTGATTTATACCTTAAAAACAAACTAATTAAGGTCCAAATAAATATTTGAATGTGGTCATAAAGGTTACTACATAGTTATATGCATGTCTAATGTAGGCACACTGTCTTATTCTACGCGTATTTGGTAATATGGAACCTGATTTTGGTATCGGAGAGCAGTGTGTGGGAAAAATAATGGCGGACGGTACACACGTGCTGGCGTCTACCGTAGTCCTACAGGAAAAATGTTTACAAGATGTTTCACTCAACACTGATTATGATAGAGGCAATGGATATGAACTGTCGTGGCAATAAGATCGGTAGCTGGTGGTTAAATTGTTAAATAGTTTTTTCCTCCAGTGTAACCTGTCTAATGCAAATTGAATTGGCAGGGTTGATGCTTGGTTAAAGGTGTTATTAAAGTAGTTATCTTATCCATGTTAACTTCAAGGATAATGCTCAGCCACCAAGTTTAGGTATTCAGTTCAAAGAAAACTATTTGGATTCATAAATAATTAGTAAATTGCAATAATTGAGTGTCAAGTATATTTCCAGTAAGGTTACCTATTAGCACTAACTCGAATTCCAAGTGGACAGGTTCCATATGGAATTAATATTTCAGTGCAAAAGCAACTGCAACCAGTCGCCTTCCCTAACTTAAACCTATTGTTTTGGAAGTGAATCTTGGGTGCGACAGATCATGTCGGCAGTGTGATCATGTTTATTAGGTAGGCCATCATTTTGCCTGTCTGCGACTTGGCCATTAATCTAAAGTCTTACAACGTTTTGTTTGGTCTTATAAGCTCAGCTATTAAAAGTTCACATTATAACACTAAATTGTAAAAAAGTGGAGCTCAGAGCAAAGTCGGGCCAGTTGATATCCAAGATTTAGTTACCACCTGTTTTGCATTTATTTGTACTATGCATACTGTCCATTAAAGGAGTGTATATTGATGAAAAGTCTATGGATTCAAAGGAACTCAAAACAACAATTGAGGATGTCAAATATCGCTTCAAGGATGTGGATGTGGATGTTTCCTGTACTCATTTTTGTCCTTGTTGTGAGATCAGGGTTTACAATGATCAGCCTGCCTTATTATGTACACTGTCCCAAGATATATGGGATTTTAAGTTGCAGTGATGGAATTTCTTCAGATGTTTGCTATGTTTTGTTTTTTTGTCATCTGCAATAAAATGTTTAAGACTACTGCCATCGTTCATTTATAAAAATCAAGAATCTGGAAGTGTTTGATGAACTTAACATGTTCCTACTATAAACTAATAGCACTAACTCGAATTCCAAGTGGACAGGTTCCGTGTGGAATTAATATTTCAGTGCAAAAGCAACTGCAACCAGTCGCCTTCCCTAACTTAAACCTATTGTTTTGGAAGTGAATCTTGGGTGCTACATAAATCATTAAAATGCAGAAGTAGTGTTAGGGAAACTTTTCTAGTAAGTTGTGAAAATTAAATTTTGTGAGGCATGAAGAAAGAAAACTTACAATAAGTGTTACAGACACTATGAATTAAGCATGTTAAGTCACAATTAAGCAATTTATTTTGTAATAGTGACTTGTTTTTTACTAAGCTATAACTATGGAGAAAACATTCACAAGTTGCAGAATTAAATGTAGGATAATTTATGGGTTTGACCAAGGTGGCTGATTTTTGCATCACTTCACAGCTTCACCATGTTCAGGCTTACCTCCTGCATTAACCACAATATGGCTGCAATATGGCCCATGTGATGTTTAACTCACTCCTCCAGCATCATCCTAAAAGTCTGTGGTATAAGGGAAATGCTGTTAAAAGCGGCATTAAGCAAAACTGACTATTTCCTCATTTCTTTTTGACAGCTCAGAGAATTCAAGGTAATGGGGAGGGGAATCCCCAACCCCAAGAACCGGTCCCCTGCAATCTACAAGATGAGGATATTTGCTCCCGATGCAGCTACAGCCAAGTCCCGGTTCTGGTACTTTGTCAGTTTCCTCAAGTCTCTGAAGAAGGCTAATGGAGAAATCATCCTCTGTTCTGAGGTATGTTTTTAGTCTGTTGAATGGGTGGTTGGGCAGCCTAATGGTTCAATCATTGCTCTTTATGCCAGAGCACTGGTTAGGATTTCCCACATTCCCTTCGTCGGGTTCTCCCTTGCTGAGTTATTGCTAGAATTATGATAAAAGTACCATATTTTGCTGAGTGTAGTGCACATTTTACCCCCACAAATAACACAGCTGTGTAAAGGGTGTGCACATTATACGTGACACAATCATGATAATGAGTTTTGATGTCTTCCTAGTTGTTCCATATGTAAAATGTGGAAGGGGGTGTGCATTATACTCAGAAAATATGGTATTGTTGAACCTATTACCATGTCCCGAACCCCCATTATCTTTTGCTTTAGCTGGTTTGTTTTCCTGGATTTACTTTGGAATTATCACTTGTAGTCGCATGACATAGGGCTGTAATAAATTTACGGACTTCTCAGTTTAATTTGCATTGTTTCTGAAACTAGTACAGTGGTATTTAATTCTTGAATAATGATTCTGTTGTGTACATCAGTGCAATCAGTGGGAGAAATTGAATTATCACAAACACTTGAGTTAACCACAGCTTAAGAAGATTGACAAAATAAGTTAAAGAGTTTCACCAGTCCCACACTGGAGGTCAAGTTGAGTGGCCCTGGGGTGACATTGTTTCTGACAAGATAGGAACGGTGAGGTGCCTCGACTCTTTCACTCTAAACATGCACTGTTGTTGTATGGATGGGGAGATGAGGCCAGATAGATAGCACTTGGTCCCTCAGCCTCTTCACATCTGGAGAGGTAGAACAAGTAGAGCTGCTCACATTTGTAGCATTCCGCTACTGGGGTATACACGTATATAGCATTAAAATTATGATGAGTCCTTGAGTCCGAGATAAAAACTGTTATAGTCCTCTAGTCCTTATAACAACAACATAGCAAAACCCTTTAAATCGGCAAATTTCCACAAGTGCTTATGATACCATTACTATTGGGCAGTTCAGGATACTAGAAATAGTTTAAAATTTGTAACTGGCCATTCTTGCACGAGGGTATGTTTGTGAAAACTCTTCCACTGGCGCTGTCTTACCCAAAGACCAGGCGATATCATCTAAAACATGATCGTTTGTAATCGGAAATTTGTATATTATGGAGAAAAAATCCCAAGTTGAATTCAGAACCAACTGCACAGGATAAATCGATGCAGACCAACTTTCTGCAGCTGAATTTGCAATGCTGTGGCTACTTGATGTCAGTTGTACATTAGAAGACTAGATGGCAGTGTTGTATCTGTTTCCCGTTGCCATGGTTACTCGTATTGACCCCCAAGAGGAACCACTGGTGAAAAAGGTCTGTTCTGCGGCCGAACCTGAGGTCACATAGCGACTGAGTTACCCAGGAGAACTCCGAAAATTTTAGAACTCTTCTCACCCCTAAGGGGTCTTTCCTGCACTCTTAGACTAAACCATGGCTTCCATAGGCATTATTTCACAGAATGGTCACCAGTTGTGTCATTCTACTGAGATGATCAGGATATACCTTTCTTTGAGTTAACCATTCACACGCCCTCACACACCCCTCCCCCATATATTTTCTCATCAAAATTACATGATTCACGATCAGTGTTCAATTGAAAAAAATTAAATGTACACTGAAAAGGGGTGAAATTTTGACTAGCCGAACAGGCCATCTACTTTACATTTCAGCAAGCCTTGCATTATTTTAACTAGCCACAGGCCTATGGGCCCAGCAGTTAAATCGACCCTTGTGTCTTGGCTGCTGCTGATTCAGTTATTTAAAGGCTGCCTCGGGAGATGGCAGGAACATGGTTTGCTGTCTCGTTAAGCATTATTCCCACACTCACTATTCATGTTGACCCTTGTTGTTCATCAGGTGTTTGAGAAGAAGCCCACCAGCATCAAGAACTTTGGCATCTGGCTGCGATACACATCCCGTAGTGGCACCCATAACATGTACAGGGAGTACCGGGATCTCACAGCAGCAAAGGCTGTCACCCAGTGTTGTGAGTACTTGCTCATTTGGCACACTATCAACATGAGCTACATACAGTCAAAACTAGGGATGTCATCGTATATCACCATGTCAGTGTATGGTTGGGATTTATCTTGGATTACAAACTAAGTGCCTTTGGAAGACAAATTGGGGGAAAAGTGTTATTGTGCTCAATATTGGGATTTTTTTAGTTTATATTTAACATTGCATTCTGTACATAATGTTAAGTTAAGCCTCTTCTTCCTTTTTGGTCCTGTTATCAGAGAAATAGAAGTCAAGTCGACCAAGTCAACACATTACTTATAAACTATACTTACATTTACATGAAAATGGCCCCGTGAAGATCCGGGGTAGAATAGGTCTTCATCAACCCATGCTTGCCGTAAAAGGCGACTATGCTTGTCGTAAGAGGCGACTAATGGGATCGGGTGTCAGGCTCGCTGACTTGGTGGATGCATGTCATCGTATCCCAATTGTGTGGATCAATGCTCATGTTTTCAATCACTGGATTGTCTGGTCCAGACTCCATTACTTACAGACCGCCGTCATATAGCTGGAATATTGCGTTAAGCGTTACATGAAAACGGAACTTTAATTCACCATTGTTCTAAATAAAGCATGAGTGTGAATGTATCCTTGTCATGGAATGTTAAGAATTAAATATTTAGGGGGTCCCTAGATTCAAACACTGCAGCAGCAGACCCTGAGGGCCCCAGAAACACCCTTTTAACCACTGTTCAGGGAGTCTATTTCTACAATACATGGCAAAGAGGGTGCAGCATCCTGTCAACGTGACACTTTGTTTTTCAGACTGTGACATGGGTGCCCGTCACAGAGCAAGGGCATCGTCCATTCAGATCATCCGTGTGGAGATCATCCCCGCTAACAAGTGCAGGAGGGCGAACATCCAGCAGTTCCATGTACGTGTTACCATGGTGACAGTCGTCAAAGACCATATGTTGCATATACATGCACACTATTTAGTCCAGACTTAATTCTTTACAGACAGCCGTCGTATAGCTGGAATATTGCTGAGTGTGGCATTAAACAACACAATATTTACTCCTTGTTGGGATTCTGGTTAGAATAGTTCCCCAGCAACCTATGCTTGTCATAGGAGACGACCAAATGGATTTGGTAGTAAGGCTCCGTGACTTGGTTCATGCATGTCATTGTAACCGACTGCATGGATCGCTTCTCGCAATAGCAATCACTGGATTGTCTGGTCCAAATTTCGATTATTTCCCGGCAACCAGTTACACCTGGAATATTGCTGAGTGTGGTCTTGAGCAACAAACAAAACTGTAGAAAAGGCGATTTGCTGAAACTGGATTCACAATTAAGTTTGTCTTGGAATGACCTCCAGATTATATATGGAAGCATTATTCACAACCTGGCAACATTTCTAGATGACAACTCTGTCAGGATTACTCAGAAAGGGAATACTACCAGCCTTTTTAACTTCCAGATTATAAGTAAGCTAGAATATGTAATGAGATGTTAATAACTGATTATTTCTGTTTTCAGAACAGTCAGATCTGTTTCCCCCTGCCCCACCGCGTGGACAGGAAGCTGCACGCCCCCCGATTCACCACACGCAGACCTACCACCACTTTCAACTAGGTGGCCCATATTGTGTACAGCGTCAAATAAATAACAAGGGGAAATACCTCAGCTGTTGTCATCTTTGCAAAAAAAATTTCAGGAATATGTGGAAGATATGTTGTGAATGTGTGTGGGAAGTGCACTTTGTATCAGTAATTTGTGTTCATGACTTGAGCATTTACCAGGGGTGATGGGCCCGTGAAGATCTGGGGTAGAATAGGTCTTCAGCATCCCATGCTTCCCGTAAAAGGCGACTGATCAGGCTTGCTGACTTGGTTGATGCATGTCATTGATCCCACTTCTGTGGATCGATGCTCATGATGTCGAACACTGGATTGTCTGGTCCAGACTCGGTTATTTACAGACAGCCGTCGTATAGCTGGAATATTGCTGAGTGCAGCGTTAAAACAAACAAATAAACAACCAGGGTTGATATGCAGATTTGAAGTTTGCGCAGCAAAGTATGCTCTCTGATTAGCTTGAGTCACTGTCAGTTCTCACCCAAACTTGAGGGTATGTGTATGAACCTTGTTTATTTAGCACCATTCCCATGCTTGTAGTTTTCACCAACTAAATTTTTGAAACCAAATTAGGGATCACAGGAGATGTATAATACCTGCTAGGAATTACTCCTGGTTGAGCAAAAGCAAAACTGATGTGGAAAAGAAATACGCAAGCATGTTGTCACCCTTGCATGATGAGAATTGTCACTAATTTCAAGACAATGTGACAGTGAATGAACTAAGATTCCTTCTTGATTTAACAGCATTTGAGACCTGTTCTTGGGTGTATAAATAGCACAACATGACGTGGCTGTGTGATGCTGTCATCATCCTGCCACGACTGGTCCACCTTGCAGGATTAAAGTTAAAGGACTGTCCCAGTACGTTTGGACTGGTCGCCAGTTTGAATTTCAACAGGCAGCTGCCTCTGGACTAGTGGTAGAGGTCCGCCTGAAGAGCGGAAGGTCCTGGGTTCGATCCCCGGCCGTGTGTCCTCACCTCCAACAGGACAGTGCCTGCTCACACATGGAACAACCAGTTACTGTCTTGGCTAGCAAAAGCCTTGAGCTCAAATATCATCTGTGGTATGAGTGGTCATAGTGCTGTGACTATATAGCAATCATAGTCATGACCATAGTTCCTGCGATCCCGTGTTTTTCCCCCCAGATCTTTTGGCAAGATCTATGACCTTTGGCTTTCTTACACGGAGCTTGCCGTGCAACGCTCCTCCAGATGTTGGACTTGTACATCAATACTCCCAATACAACATGTATAGCAATGATTTATTTACATCTTCTTTTTATAAATCCAGCAAATTGTACAATATATTCAATAATATGAATCAATGGCAGCATGTTTTATAGAATTCCTGATTAATACAATGTCTATGTGTTGTCATAGACAAATATTCAGGACATCAAAATTTATCTAATTAGGATATTATATGAAAATACCTAGGCACCCATAATTAAATACACATGCACACAATATACACTCGCCTCTAACAACAGGTACTTGGAATAAATACAATTATTACATACCATTCAAAAGAAAGTTGAACCCCAGATTCTTTAATATGAATACAGTTAGTCTGTCATGAGATGACAAATATGACTAGTCATATGAAATAATTATGTGTTCTTAACTTTTTTTGAGTGGTATGTAATAGTTATAACTGAATGTCATGGCAACACACATTAACAATAGTTATGAAAGAATTGGGTGGATCTTTTTTTACCTTCTTTTGAATAGTATCTTTTCTCCAACATCTATTGATATACAGGACAGAAAAATACTCACAAATTCAAAATAAATACTGAAAGACAACTGATCAACTTGATAATTATGTAAATTGATCACATACTGAATGGAATAGCATTCACGTTTCTGCTCTGGTTCAATGAGTTCTCAAGTAAAGTAAAAATGTATAATGAAAATACGTCTGACATCAAATGGTGAACTGATTCAACCAATGCAACTGTTCACTACAGACACACTATTACAACCAGTGAACCATAGAAACACTGGCGCATTCTTCATTATCCATCAGGTGACCGTACATGATTAGGACAAAGTTAATGCAGTGAAAAACAAAAAATGGCAATATTTTGATCGTGTGGCTGTACTTTTTGTCTTGCTGACAATTATTCCATTTTGCAAACACTTTGCCAACAGTCTCATGGGAGGCGATACCTCAAAAGAAGGTCTAATTTTGTCACGCACATTTACTTGCTCCATTGGCAACAGTTGTGATTGACATAAAATAATTAGCAGAAAGATAGATATCTATCCATGTGTCTGTAGCTCACAGTCGGTGACAACTTCTGTATTTGAATAACCCTGAAATTAGATTCAATTCTAGCCTCAACAACCCATTGACCCTGTGCCTCACTCGAAGGACAAGTAGTTTTGTGTCATTGATGATGATGTACATTACTTTATGTGACAACAGAACCTGAGAAAATTAGATTAAAGAAACTCTTTTTCCAAGTTGAAACAGTGGCAAGGATGGTGTATGACGCTATCCAAGAAGAGTTGTCTCCCTTCCTACCAATTTCTCTGCAGGGGGTGTTCTGCAGCATATCCACCATGCTTGAAGATCGTCTCTGCAATCTGGCGATAGTTGGCATCCATGTTTTCCACAGGACCTGAAACACGTTTGGTTGCAGGGCATACTTTAGTAAGCAGTTGTAAGGAAGACATCTGTAGAAATATTTTGTAACAACCACACTCAGCAATATTCCAGCAATATGATAGAAGTCTGTAAATAATGGAGTCTGGACCAGACAATCCAGTGATAGACAGCATGAGCAACGATCTACAGACTTGGGATACAATGACATGCATCAACCAAGTCAGCGAGCCTCATCCAATCCCGATTCTAACCACAGATCTCCATGATGAACTTTGTTATTGTCATACTGAGAGAGTGACTTGGAGGTAACACTTTTCCCCCAATATAACTACGTTTATAACGAACACGCTCATAATGAACTGACGGATATAAATAACGTTTATAACGAACACGCTCATAATGAACTGACGGATATAAATAAATGTTTTGATCCTGTCCCTTTGCTGTATATATGCTTATAACAAACTTTAACTACGGTCATAACAAACTAAAATTAGTGGTCCCTGTGAGTGTTATAACCGTAGTTCAGTGTATATACATCTGTGATTGTCCAGTGTATTATATCTCCATTCCATTAATGATAAACACCCTGGGCCCTGTTCCACAAAGCAATGTTGTGCTACAATTGGTGCAGGTTATTGTTAAAGTATGGGAGTTGCGTGCGATCGTTTTCGCGCTAAGATCACTTTGTGTTACCTAGGCTTCATTTTGAAACCAGTGATAATAGAAGCCCAGTCAAGTTACTCCCACTAGCAGTTAGATGCAATAGCAGTTGTAACGTCACTTCTGAAACACAGGTATTTATCTAAATAGAGTGGAGATGTATTACATTGCATAATAGGGGATGACTTCTGTACAAGCAAAGCCTAGGGTGACTTAAGTTATGGGCAACTGTTATGGTGCAGACAGACCAACGCTCAAATCTGGGAATCAAACCCAAGTAATAGTCACAAGGGCCAGTGACAACTTAGACACAACTATCCATTGAGATATTTCACCAATACTTTACCCTCATGCATGGAATGAGTGAGTATTTCACATTGCACCCATGAGGGGAATCAAACCTGGGTTTTCGGCATGATGAGCGAACGCTTTAACCACTAGGCTACCCTACCGCCCCTAATGCTTTGACATGTTGTCATGTAGAGAATATTGCTTGATGAAAAGTCTCAAGGAAAAAACGAAATCCATGATGTGCATCTTGGTAGTATCGGTAGCCTCAGCTAACGAAGGAGTCACATGTTGATGGTTCTAGAGGTCCATATGCTCTCTGATAGTCTAGTGGTTAAAGCATTGGCTTGTCCCATTGCAGGCCTGGTTCAATTCTCCCTGTGGTACAATAAATGAATCCGATCCTTGTCGCTCACTCAGGAAATGGATCAGGAAATGGATTTGGATGACAAATTTTAAGTTAATATAAACACAAACCCATTGATAGTTCCTTCAGTTTCTCGTCTATCCTCACGTAGGCCTCATTGCAGAATGTCTTTGCCAGAATAAGCTGAAAATACAAACAAGTACAATTCATACAATTCATACAATCATCAATCATTTGTCAGTACTGAGTCTAATGGTGGTTTGTTTGTTTAACGCCACACTCAGCAATATTCCAGCTAAATGACTGCGGTCTGTAAATAATCGAGTCTTGACCAGACAATCCAATGATTGACAGCATATGAGCATTGATCCACTATCCCGTTAGTCGCCTCTTATGTCAAGCATAGTCGCTTTTATTTCAAGCATTGGTTGCTGTTGTTCCATTATTTCGATGAGTATATAATGTGAAAAGTTAATTGACAATATTAACATGTATTGTACATGATAGGAAGCATTTAATGTGTCACTGATATCAAATCTTTGTTTCCAAATCCCTTTAAAGATAACAAGGGCATCTTTTGAACAAGCAACATTTCAGCGCAAGTATTTCAACAACGTGTATGTTGATACCTTGTTATTGCTAAATGTAATTAAAATACCAAGACAAATTCTACAAACTGAGAAGTACCAGAATATTACAATGAACCTACATACCAACACATAACTGGTATTATGTTGGGAGTACTTTATGATGGCTATTAATTGCTTGTGACAACATTAACTAATCAGTCAGATATACCCTCCAACAGTTCCTTTTTCAAATACCAACATTACAAAAAACTCACAAGGAAAATACATTTCCCTACAGTGTTACAAATTGGCACTAGTCCTACAGTGCTTGCCAAATTGCCCAATAGTTAAGGTATCCTAAGGACTAGCAGAAATTTGCCATTTTTAAGTGTTTTGCTATATGTTATCATTGTAAGGACTAGTGGGTTAAAACTGTTAGTTTCTATCGCTGCCCTACATCGCAAGTAAATGTATACCACTCTACAGGAAGCAGTCATCACTTCCAGAGGAGGGTAGCACTCAGGCCACGTGTTCATCTCATCTCATTTCAGGATTCAGGACAGAGTAGGACACTGCATACTGTCAGAGCAGGACGTTGAATCTAGTGACATTACAGTCAGCAAGATAAACTATCTAGACTGTTATACTACCCAGCGCTCACCTCATGGTCTGAATTGCGGAGGCCTATACAGTAGGACCTCGATGACCGTCCGATACATGCCGTCATGGCGTACAGGTCGATGGCAACGTCAGCAAGACGCTTTAGCTCCATCTGCTCATGAATAACTTTCTGAAAAGAGAAGCATGGAAGTTCTGCATATCTAATACTTACAGTACCAACACAGCACACGAGTGACTATTCATGCACAGTCAGCATTATTCATGCAATCAGCATCTTGCAGTCTGCATTATTCATGCAATCAGTATTATTCATGCAGTCAGTATTATTCATGCACAGTCAGCATTATTCATGCAGTCAGTATTATTCATGCAGTCAGTATTATTCATGCAGTAAGTATTATTCATGCACAGTCAGCATTATTCGTGCAGTCAGTATTATTCATGCAGTCAGCATAATTCATGCACAGTCAGCATTATTCACACAGTCAGCATTATTCATGCAGTCAGTATTATTCATGCAGTCAGTATTATTCATGGAGTCAGCATTTTTCATGCAGTCAGTATTATTTATGTAGTCAGTATTATTCATGCACAGTCAGCATTATTCATGCAGTCAGTATTATTCATGTAGTCAGCATTATTCATGCACAGTCAGCATTATTCACGCAGTCAGCATTATTCACGCAGTCAGTATTATTCATGCATTCAGCATTATTCATGCAGTCAGCGTTATTCATGCACAGTCAGCATTATTCACGCAGTCAGCATTATTCATGCACAGTCAGTATTATTCATGCAGTCAGCATTATTCATGCATAGTCAGTATTATTTATGTAGTCAGTATTATTCATGCACAGTCAGCATTATTCATGCAGTCAGTATTATTCATGTAGTCAGCATTATTCATGCACAGTCAGCATTATTCACGCAGTCAGTATTATTCATGCATTCAGCATTATTCATGCAGTCAGCATTATTCATGCACAGTCAGCATTATTCACGCAGTCAGCATTATTCATGCACAGTCAGTATTATTCATGCAGTCAGCATTATTCATGCATAGTCAGCAGTATTCATGCACTGAGCATTATTCATGCAGTCAGCATTATTCATGCACAGTCAGTATTATTCATGCAGTCAGCATTATTCATGCATAGTCAGCATCATGCAGTCAGTCAGCATTATTCATGCAGTCAGTCAGCATTATTCACACAATCAGCATTATTCATGCAGTCAGCATTATTCATGCAGTCAGCATATTTCATGCAGTCAGCATTATCCACCACCATCAGCATTATTCATGCAGTCAGCATTATTCATGCACAATCAGCATTATCCACCACCATCAGCATTATTCATGCAGTCAGCATTATTCATGCATTCAGCATTATGCATGCAATCAGCATTATTCATGCAATCAGCATTATTCATGCATTCAGCATTATTCATGCACTCAGCATTATTCAAGCACAGTCAGCATTATTCATGCAGTCAGCATTATTCATGCATTAAGCATTATTCACGCACAATCAGCATTATTCATGCAGTCAACATTATTCATGCACAATCAACTTTATTCAAGCACAGTCAGCATTATTCATGCAATCAGCATTATTCATGCAGTCAGCATTAGTCATGCATTCAGCATTATTCATGCAGCCAACATTATGCATGCATTCAGCATTATTCATGCAATCAGCATTATTCATGCAATCAGCATTATTCATGCAGTCAGCATTAGTCATGCATTCAGCATTATTCATGCACAGTCAGCATTATTCATGCACAGTCAGCATTATTCATGCACAATCAGCATTATTCATGCAGTCAGCATTATTCATGCACAATCAGCATTATTCATGCATTCAGCATTATTCATGCATTCAGCATTATTCATGCATTCAGCATTATTCATGCAGTCAGCATTATTCATGCACAATCAGCATTATTCATGCAATCAGCATTATTCATGCATTCAGCATTATTCATGCACTCAGCATTATTCAAGCACAGTCAGCATTATTCATGCATTCAGCATTATTCATGCATTAATCATTATTCACGCACAATCAGCATTATTCATGCAGTCAGCATTATTCATGCACAATCAACTTTATTCAAGCACAGTCAGCATTATTCATGCAATCAGCATTATTCATGCAGTCAGCATTAGTCATGCATTCAGCATTATTCATGCAGTCAACATTATGCATGCATTCAGCATTATTCATGCAATCAGCATTATTCATGCAGTCAGCATTATTCAAGCACAGTCAGCATTATTCATGCAATCAGCATTATTCATGCAGTCAGCATTATTCATGCACAGTCAGCATTGACCAAGTAGGAGTAGTATGATGTAGGTCACTGATTCCAGTGGAATCAATACACAGCCGTGTAGGCATACCATCAGATGGAGAAGTGAGAGTGGATAACCCCGTGAACTGGAGTCATATCCTACAATAGGACCACCATGAATGTCTTGTCACTTTGATTATTTACACAAATTTGATATGTTTCAATACTGTTAAACAACTGAGGCTATCTTTGAGCCTATCTTTTGTAATCAATGAGTTACTGTAACATGCCAATCTAATTAAAATCAGATCTTCTACTTTGATGAGAAACCTCTAGAGATCTGGCAAACCCTCCTCTGGGTGTCATGGCAAGTGAACCATGAGCCAACTTTGACCACCCAATAAAAACAAAGGATGCATGGATTCTTGACCCAATCAAACATCAGCATTTTAAAATGATTCATTTCTGTATCACCTTGTTTTGAATTTGTGATCCTATCAAAGAAAACCTTCACAAAAATATTCATTTGATACCAAACCCTTTTTCGTGTAGATGCCATTTGACCTCTGAAAGGACAGGGTGCATAAAATATCCACAACATAATATAGCACTGCTTTTAGTATCTCCATTTGGAACTACCCATTTATGTTCGATCAGAAATACAGAAATCAGATAAGCTGCTCCAAATGCTTCACTTGCTTTTGTCAAGTACTAAGAAGACTCCACACTGATTGGCTGGCTACAATTGACATTCCACAGGTTTGCAAGATCTTGACAAAGGTTTTCATTTGGATTAACTGTTTAACAGATCTTATTTTCATGAAATCATGATACATAAATCATGATACATAAATCATGATTGTAACTTACATTTCCATGTTTGGTGAGAACACCTTCCACGGCTTTCTGGAATCGAAGAACTCCTCTCTCCAGCAGCGCAGAGGAATCCTGAAATTAGGATACATGACGGTTCAAAAAGATAACGTACCACAACATCCTATTCCATGTGTTCCTATACATCCATTGAAGAGCAGGACAGTGAGGCCTGGTTACCATGCTATAGTGAGTGAGTTGGTCTAATTCCGTTCTGAACAGTCTTTCAGTTACATTCCAGTATGTAAGCCTAGTGCTGTAGGAAAGTCCAAAGGCAAGTGGTTCATCGGGATGAAACACAAGAGCCGAGTATGGTGCTGATAAACAAGGGTCACAACTGAACCCACGACAGTTCTTGCCTGTCTCCTACACACACAGTATATGATAGTGCCAGGTGGAGTGATATAGGGTTCAAGAAGATTGCACTAATATAGCTGTGCATGCATGTGTAGGTGTGGCTGCTTGTACTAGTCTGGACCTATTCCAGTCTTATAGTGCTAGCCCATGTTTAACATGGATATCCAACTCACAGTGACCGCCTCTGTGGTTTAGTGGTAGAGCGTTCGCCTAGAGAGTTGAAGGCTCGGGGTTCTATCCCCGGCCGCGTCATACCAAAAGACGGTAAAAGATGGTACTTGTTGTTACCCTGTCTGGTGCTTGGAATTAAGGGGATAAAACAAGGACTGGTCGGCTCGGAGTCAGTATACTGTGTCTGAGTGGGGTATTCATGTTAAACTGTGGCATGGTATCTCAGTGAGCTAGCACTATAAATTGGCATCAGTCTGCACTAGTACAAGCAGCCACACACACACACATGTGCATGCATGTCCCTATATAAGGGCAATAATCTTGGATACGATGTTAAACCCCAATTCACCACCACCACCACCACCCCCCAACTCACAGTACACTGACTCCGAGCCGACCAGTCCTTGTTTTATCCTCTTAATTGCACCAGGCACCAATTGGGTACTAAGTACCATCTTTTAACGTCTTTTGGCATGAGGTGGCCAGGGATTGAAACCCCAACCTTCCGCTCTGTCGTAATGAGTGAGTTATACAACAGTTACCTTGAGACTGGGATGCACCTCTTCATTGAGGCGGAGTGACAGCTTGGGGTTGTCGGAGCTCTTCAGTCGGCCGACAGCAGTGGAGAACACCAGCCCAGGGTTGGCCATCGGGTTACGTAGTTTCCTGTCATGAAGGAAACAAGGATGCTGGGTAACTGCGATAGGATGGATATTGTGTGTTACAGTTCCGATTCCCACGATGACTTGGTATGATTAAGTTTCAGTTCTTCACTCCACGATGGAGAGACTTTGCTTTTTGTTTGACTCTTTGAGTTTATTCCTCAGGTACCAAATCATATCCCATGAATGCGAACAAGAAAGCAAAACTAGACCTGATGGCTGCTTTAGCCATGGATCCCCCACCCTCACACGTTCAATCAACTCAACAGCCCATCAACCCTCCCCACCCAAACCACCATCAACCAATTCAGCTATCCCCACCCTCACCTCACACCAACAATCCCCACCCTCACACCAACAATCCCCACCCTCACCTCACACCAACAATCCCCACCCTCACACCCTCCACCTCACACCAACAATCCCTACCCTCACACCCTCCACCTCACACCAACAATCCCCATCCTCACACCAACAATCCCCACCCTCACACCTCCACCTCACACCAACAATCCCCACCCTCACCTCACACCAACAATCCCCACCCTCACACCCTCCACCTCACACCAACAATCCCTACCCTCACACCCTCACCTCACACCAACAATCCCCATCCTCACACCAACAATCCCCACCCTCACACCTCCACCTCACACCAACAATCCCCACCCTCACACCTCCACCTCACACCAACAATCCCCACCCTCACCTCACACCAACAATCCCTACCCTCACACCCTCACCTCACACCAACAATCCCCATCCTCACACCAACAATCCCCACCCTCACACCTCCACCTCACACCAACAATCCCCACCCCCACACCTCCACCTCACACCAACAATGCCCACCCTCACACCTCCACCTCACACCAACAATCCCCACCCTCACACCTCCACCTCACACCAACAATCCCCACCCTCACACCTCCACCTCACACCAACAATCCCCACCCTCACACCTCCACCTCACACCAACAATCCCTACCCTCACACCCTCACCTCACACCAACAATCCCCATCCTCACACCAACAATCCCCACCCTCACACCTCCACCTCACACCAACAATCCCCACCCTCACCTCACACCAACAATCCCTACCCTCACACCCTCCACCTCACACCAACAATCCCCACCCTCACACCCTCCACCTCACACCAACAATCCCCAACTTCACCTCACACCAACAATCCCCACCCTCACCTCACACCAACAATCCCCATCCTCACAACCCCACCTCACACCAAAAATCCCCATCCTCACCTCACACCAACAATCCCCATCCTCACACCCTCCACCTCACACCAACAATCCCCAACTTCACCTCACACCAACAATCCCCACCCTCACCTCACACCAACAATCCCCATCCTCACAACTTCACCTCACACCAACAATCCCCATCCTCACAACCCCACCTCACACCAAAAATCCCAACCCTCTCCTCACACCAACAATCCCCACCCTCACACCCTCACACCACCACCTCACACCAACAATCCCCACCCCAACAATCCTCACACCCCCACCCCCAGGGTGTGACAGATTACTGTGTTACCTACTTGACCAACTCCTTCAGCTCTTTCCCAGCATGTTGTATTCCCTGCAGGGCTATAAACAGTCGCAGGATCTCGTTCGTACCCTAAAATATTCACAAAATAATTTACAAGCAATCAGAAATTACATATTATTTTCCTTAGTGACTGAATGATGACAATTCCTGAGCCTTTGCAAAGACCTAAAACACTTTGCACAATAACAATAACAGAAATAACAATAATAACAATAATAACAATAATAATCCATTTACATGGTGTTTTTTCTATGCTGCATATCATGCCCACAGCACATTATCAACCCGGTCAACGGATCAGTGTGGACTCGAATTTCATTCTCAGCTCCCCACCATTACCGATGAACTAGAGTAATATGAAAGAATCGAGCAGTCCTTAACTTTTGTTTAGAAGTACAGGCTATTCCTTATTATATGCTGCCATGTAAAGACTGTCAACCTACAGTCCTAGGGATGTAGTAAACCCAACAAACACTGTTTTCATATGTTGTCCATGACACCAAAATGCATGGCAGTTTTCAAGTTACCAGTAATTACTGAACATCTACTCCCCTCACTCTAACACTTGAGGGTGACATTCCTGATAGATGATGTTCTTAATTCACATTATGCAGACTTGGTAAAACGATGCCATTAATTTGTACCTCGAATATGAGTAGAATCCTGGCATCTCGGAGGAACCTCTCGTAGGGGTAGTCTTTCATGTAGCCAAGGCCGCCCAGGGTCTGCAGGCACTCGCTGACACAGCTCCAACAGCCCTCAGAGCTGAACACCTGCAACAGCAACAGCGACAAGTGACTGCGGCACCGTCTCACAGAACACTGGCTGAATGCCTTGCATCAACAGCAAGTCAACTTCTGAGTGAGTGAGTGAGTGGGTATGGTTTTACGCTGCTTTTAGCCATATTCCAGCAATATCAAGGTGGACTTGAGTCAGCTGAACTACCATTTGCGGCTGGTGTAGTCATTAAGCACATTTGGAAATGAAAAACCATCTGAAGCTCAGTATGTTGGATTGATAGATGGATGGATGATCAACTGATGGACAGATGGGTGGATGAATGGATGGCAGAAGGATGATCCTCACACTGACTTAGGTGAAGTAGGTTAATTAAGATAGATGCCAACAATTTCTTGAATGCTAGAATTGAGAAACTGCCGACAAAATATACTGACTGAGTGAGTGAGTGAGTGAGTGAGTGAGTGAGTGAGTGAGTGAGTGAGTGAGTGAGTGAGTGAGTGAGTGAGTGAGTGAGTGAGTGAGTGAGTGAGTGAGTCAGTATGGTTTTTATGCCATTTTTAGCAATATTCCGGCAAAATCACAGCGAGGGACACCAGAAATGGGCTTCACACATTGTACCCATGCCGGGAATCGAACCAGGGTCTTCAGCGTGACGTGCGCACACTTTAACCACTAGGCTTCCCGACCGCCCCAAATTCACTTTGAAATAGGAACATGAACATATTGTGAACTGTACACATACAAATTGAAAATAGATGCAAATAATTTACATTTCAAGCCAAAGTTGTAGATTGCATGTAAGATATAACCTAAATTTCTATTCTGGTTAAGCAATACACTCAAGTCTGACTCTGAGTGTGGGTAGTTGATTGATGTCAATCCATCCTCATTAATAATAGGCTAAAGTCTTCTTGTTAAGTGCAACGATAGACCGCAAGTAAAGTTCTTTAAGTTTAAGTCAAACATGCCCTACATGTCAACAACCTTGGACCCCTCAAACATAATACTGGAGTTGCCATGGATTAAAACAGATAGATCCAAGTAAATCCCTGTGTACAAGAACCAATTTATTCTAAACAGTTGTTCAGCTTCGGAACCTCCTTTAACATGACCCCTGACACAGTGGCTGACCTTCACCATAGCCGCCTCCACGGAACAGTCAGGTTGGTCGTACTGGTCGATGATGCCAGCCGTCAGGTACGCCATGCTCTCCATAGCATACACGGTCACAGCCATCTTGGCAAACTTCTCCTGGAAAATGAGAACAAATAGCTCAGGTAATACTGTGTTGTACTGCATCAGCATGGTACTGTGTTATACTAAGTTGTACTGCATCAGCATGGTACTGTGTTGTACTGTGTTGAACTGTGTTGTACTGTGTTATACTGTGTTATACTGCATGGTTCTGTGTAATGATGCATGGTACTGTGTTGCACTGTGTTATACTGTGTTGTACTGTGTTATACTGTGTCATACTGCATGGTTCTGTGTTATGATGCATGGTACTGTGTTGTACTGTGTTGTACTGTGTTATACTGTGTTATACTGCATGGTTCTGTGTTATGATGCATGGTACTGTGTTGCACTGTGTTATACTGTGTTGTACTGTGTTATACTGTGTCATACTGCATGGTTCTGTGTTATGATGCATGGTACTGTGTTATACTGTGTTATACTGTGTCATACTGCATGGTTCTGTGTTATGATGCATGGTACTGTGTTATACTGTGTTATACTGTGTCATACTGCATGGTTCTGTGTTATGATGCATGGTACTGTGTTATACTGTGTTGTACTGTGTTATACTGCATTGTTCTGTGTTATAATGCATGACAAAATGTGATATCACTGCAGGAATACTCATGAGGCATGGCATTTTAGTCTCCATCTAGCCATTAAGATGCAAATAACCCAAAGGTTCTAACCCAAGTCCTGATGAAACATGTTAGCAAACCCACCTGTGACAAAATTTCCAAAGTAATCACACCCTCTTATATAATTGTATCTGTGAGTAATCTGTTATTCAGTTTTGTAACAGAACTGTGACATATGTCATTATGTTGGCTCCCGAGAGGCAGCAGCTGTGGATGTAGTACCTGAATCAAGCCAAACTCGGCCAGCTTCCGACCGAACTGCGACCTGGTGGCTGCATGCTCAGCTGTCCATCCTGTTGGAGACGAGTCAGTGAACATTGCTTTATACAACAGTCAGTGAATATTGTTTTATGCAACAGTCAGTGAATATTGTTTTTATGCCAGAGTCAGTGAATATTGTTTTTATGCCAGAGTCAGTGAATATTGTTTTACGCCAGTCAGTGAACATTGCTTTATACAACAGTCAGTGAATATTGTTTTATACAACAGTCAGTGAATATTGTTTTATACAACAGTCAGTGAATATTGTTTTATGCAACAGTCAGTGAATATTGTTTTATGCCACAGTCAGTGAACATTGCTTTATACAACAGTCAGTGAATATTGTTTTATACAACAGTCAGTGAATATTGTTTTATACAACAGTCAGTGAATATTGTTTTATGCAACAGTAAGTGAATATTGTTTTATGCCACAGTCAGTGAATATTGTTTTATGCAACAGTCAGTGAATATTGTTTTATACAACAGTCAGTGAATATTGTTTTATACAACAGTCAGTGAATATTGTTTTATGCAACAGTCAGTGAATATTGTTTTACGCCAGTCAGTGAACATTGCTTTATACAACAGTCAGTGAATATTGTTTTATACAACAGTCAGTGAACATTGCTTTATACAACAGTCAGTGAATATTGTTTTATGCAACAGTCAGTGAATATTGTTTTATGCCACAGTCAGTGAACATTGTTTTATGCAACAGTCAGTGAATATTGTTTTTATGCCAGAGTCAGTGAATATTGTTTTTATGCCAGAGTCAGTAAATATTGTTTTACGCCAGTCAGTGAATATTGTTTTATGCAACAGTCAGTGAATATTGTTTTATGCAACAGTCAGTGAATATTGTTTTATGCCACAGTCAGTGAACATTGTTTTATGCAACAGTCAGTGAATATTGTTTTTATGCCAGAGTCAGTGAATATTGTTTTTATGCCAGAGTCAGTGAATATTGTTTTACGCCAGTCAGTGAATATTGTTTTATGCAACAGTCAGTGAATATTGTTTTATGCAACAGTCAGTGATTATTGTTTTATGCCAGAGTCAGTGAATATTGTTTTACGCCAGTCAGTGAACATTGCTTTATACAACAGTCAGTGAATATTGTTTTATACAACAGTCAGTGAATATTGTTTTATACAACAGTCAGTGAATATTGTTTTATGCAACAGTCAGTGAATATTGTTTTATGCCATAGTCAGTGAATATTGTTTTATACAACAGTCAGTGAATATTGCTTTATACAACAGTCAGTGAATATTGTTTTATACAACAGTCAGTGAATATTGTTTATGCAACAGTCAGTGAATATTGTTTTACGCCAGTCAGTGAACATTGCTTTATACAACAGTCAGTGAATATTGTTTTATACAACAGTCAGTGAACATTGCTTTATACAACAGTCAGTGAATATTGTTTTATGCAACAGTCAGTGAATATTGTTTTATGCCACAGTCAGTGAACATTGTTTTATGCAACAGTCAGTGAATATTGTTTTTATGCCAGAGTCAGTGAATATTGTTTTTATGCCAGAGTCAGTGAATATTGTTTTACGCCAGTCAGTGAATATTGTTTTATGCAACAGTAAGTGAATATTGTTTTATGCAACAGTCAGTGAATATTGTTTTACGCCAGTCAGTGAATATTGTTTTATGCCACAGTCAGTGAATATTGTTTTATGCCACAGTCAGTGAACATTGTATTATACCACAGTCAAGGAATATTGTTTTATGCAAGCAAGTGAATATTGTTTTATGCCATAGTCAGTGAATATTGTTTTATGCCATAGTCAGTGAATATTGTTTTTATGCCAGAGTCAGTGAATATTGTTTTTATGCCAGAGTCAGTGAATATTGTTTTACGCCAGTCAGTGAATATTGTTTTATGCAACAGTCAGTGAATATTGTTTTATGCAACAGTCAGTGATTATTGTTTTATGCCAGAGTCAGTGAATATTGTTTTACGCCAGTCAGTGAACATTGCTTTATACAACAGTCAGTGAATATTGTTTTATACAACAGTCAGTGAATATTGTTTTATACAACAGTCAGTGAATATTGTTTTATGCAACAGTCAGTGAATATTGTTTTATGCCATAGTCAGTGAATATTGTTTTATACAACAGTCAGTGAATATTGCTTTATACAACAGTCAGTGAATATTGTTTTATACAACAGTCAGTGAATATTGTTTATGCAACAGTCAGTGAATATTGTTTTACGCCAGTCAGTGAACATTGCTTTATACAACAGTCAGTGAATATTGTTTTATACAACAGTCAGTGAACATTGCTTTATACAACAGTCAGTGAATATTGTTTTATGCAACAGTCAGTGAATATTGTTTTATGCCACAGTCAGTGAACATTGTTTTATGCAACAGTCAGTGAATATTGTTTTTATGCCAGAGTCAGTGAATATTGTTTTTATGCCAGAGTCAGTGAATATTGTTTTACGCCAGTCAGTGAATATTGTTTTATGCAACAGTAAGTGAATATTGTTTTATGCAACAGTCAGTGAATATTGTTTTACGCCAGTCAGTGAATATTGTTTTATGCCACAGTCAGTGAATATTGTTTTATGCCACAGTCAGTGAACATTGTATTATACCACAGTCAAGGAATATTGTTTTATGCAAGCAAGTGAATATTGTTTTATGCCATAGTCAGTGAATATTGTTTTATGCCATAGTCAGTGAATATTGTTTTATGCCATAGTCAGTGAATATTGTTTTCTGCCAGTCAATGAATATTGTTTTATGCCAAATTTCTTTTGGTAATTAATATATTGTTACTATCTTGGGTCCAATCTGTTGGGTATAAAGTAAATCCAGATCTTAGTGCTTGTTAATGCTACACACTGATCTGAGAGCAAAACAACTGACTCCAACATTGAGAAATGAGTGTAAATGATATATCACCGATAACTTTCTTGAGTATCCCAGCTCCGGAGCTGCCCATGCTGAATCTGCCGCTGTTGAGGATGTTCATAGCCATCTAAAACACAGGCGACACGGTGGTGTTAATGAGAGATTAAGGAATGGTAAGGAAAGAGCCAAATAGAGCACCTCTAAAAACTAGATGTGTAACGAAAGGTGAGGTCGTTATACAATCCGTATCCCGCTTCTATGGGTGCAATACGATTCATATCACAATACAGTACTTATATTTTATAAGTTGACATTCTTTCTTTTTGCAGGTGAATCACAGCTTTGTATCATTTTTTATTTAATTTACGAGATTGAAAATGGGATATGGTAGGGTAGAAACATATAGGCGAGAGGGCACTGGGAATGCTATGCTATTCATAGCCAACCGGGAGATACCAGAGAGTCTGTGTATGCTGGTTGTTGAACAGTTTGTTATCATTCACCCGTCTTTACACCATTATATCTTGTAATGTAATGTAATGTATACAGGGGTTATAGGTATTGTATAGTGGGCCGGTATCAGGATACAATACTGTATCGCCGTGTCCTTACACCATGATTAGAATTCAGAACCACAACTTCTTGTGAGGATGATCCTTGCATTATGATGTGAGAACAAGTCGGACCTGCACCAACAACCTATGAATTGTTAGCCCCACAAGCTAACCAACTGAGCTAGGTCCAATCTGTAAAAGTGCAAATTTACCTGGTTATGCCTTCGATACTTTGACAAATAGTCCAGCAATATGACACCAGAAATGGGCTTCACACATTAAACCTCTGTGAGGAATTGAACCCAAGCATTCGGCATGACAATTAATTGCATTTATCAAAGGCTACCCCCTTTTGAGTGCTGGGACAATATAGGAGTTATGTCCTGGTGTGTCAGCCCAAGGTGGTGCTGGGGGGAGTTGTACACAAACATGGGTTTGGTGCTGACACAACCAGGACCATATTCAAGCGGGCATTTGAACCAATGTCAATTGTGGTGCCTTAGGTGACCACCTGGTCACTTGTGCCCCCAAGTATTTTGTTTGTTTGTTGTTAAGCACCACACTCAGCAATATTCCAGCTATATGAAGGCGGTCTGTAAATAATCAAGTCTGGACCAGACAATCCAGTCATTGATATGTGCATTGATTTACGCAATTGGGATACAATGACATGCATGTTCCAAGACAGCAAACCTGACCACCCGATCCCGTTGGTCGCCTCTTACGACAAGCATATTCTCAAGTTAGGCAAAGCATGGGTCACTGAAGACCTATTGTACCCCGGATCTTCACGGGGGCAGCATGGGTTGCTGAAGACCTGTTCTACCCCGGATCTTCACGGGGCGTGTAACTAAGTAACACAGAAATAAGTATTTCAATCTCGGGTCACCCTTAACCTTTTACTTTGACCAAAGGGTTATGACAAGGACCCCTTGACTAGCTTAGAATGTTTGCAGCACTCAAAAGGTAGACCTAGCAGCATCTCCATGTGTCACACCCTACCACCGTCCCCTGTTCGATGGAAATGGACTCGTCCGTTGCATGCAGAACACCTTGTTTAGCAGAAATGATCATTTAATTGAAACAAAATGCAGCTGATAGTGAAAGGATTATCTCATAATTACTGAAGTCACATTTCCAAATATTATTGTCATCCATTTAACTTGAAACACTCGCCTTGAATCCGCCTCCCACTTCACCGATCACATTCTCCACTGGAACTGGGGTGTTGTCAAAGTGAACTTCACATGCTGAAAATAGGTAAGTTTTGTTTGCTGGTCGCTTTGTGTAACAGGGCCTTGAACAACAGAGTGATCTTAGTGCTAAGATGATCGTAACTCCCGTACTTTAGCATAGGATTAAGAGAGTTACAGCTCCAAGACTGCATTGAGGAATGGGCCCAGCAACAAACAGAGATCTTAGCCCTGCTACTGTCATAGATACCAGTTGTAATGTACAAGCCTTTTGTATATTTCGGTCAGTAGACAGTGAGATGAATCATATTGTACATGTTGTATGTGACACAGCATACAACCGTAAAGATAAATGTTACTGCTACATGAATTAACATATATCACCACTGATCTTACTGACTGTTTGTTTAATGTGCAAAAACAAAATGTGAACAAGTTCTAAATCACCTGTTTCGATTTGGCAACGTAATAGTTCGTGTGACATCAACCATATTTGTGAGTCTTTTCCATGAAACTACTTCTTGTAGGATAATGGCTTAAATCTGCCTTGTATGGCTACAAAATTGCATCTAGTCCATCTAAATGCATTGAGAGAGACTGCGAGAGAGAGATTGCCGGTTCGATCCGAGAGATTGTAGGGCTAGGAGTGCTGGGAACTGGGCACAGGAAGTCAGATGTGAGTGAGCAATACTTTAACATTGCTGGAACTATCAGGAGCAGTGGTCACACCTACTGTTTGATCCCCGGATTCCAAGCTTGTCCTCGGGCTTGCCGCTTGTAATGCCACCAAACCCTCTCTCCACAATGAAGGCAGTCACTTTGTCTGTCTTCTCACCCTGACAGAATGGAGAAATGTACACAGATGTCAATGCTTGGCATCAGTTATTGTTATCAGGGTCCTGTTCTACAAAGTGATCTAAGTCCATGTAAAAACATGTGAGTTACAATCGTCTTAGCACAAAGATAGCTCTGTGGAACATGACCCAGGACAATAGAGTGAGTGAGTGAGTATGGTTTTACGCAGCTTTTAGCAATATTCCAGCAATATCGAGGCGGGGGACACCAGAAATGGGCTTCACACATTGTACCCATGTCGGGAATTGAACCCGGGTCTTCGGCGTGACAATCGAATGCTCTAACCACTAGGCTTCCTGACCACCCCCAGGACAATAGAAGACAAATGTGCTATAAAATTTGGTACAAAGAAAATTCTTATTGGCTTAATTTGAATAATTGAAAGACGTCCTTCACATGTACTTACTCAAGTGCAGTTATGATAGGAATGGTGCTGGCAAACCTAGAATCATAATCAGGGCAAAGCGTGAATCTGTCTCATTTTATAGGTTCCTGGTGTGTCCAAGGGACACAACTCTGCACAGAGAATTGCATCGCCTGGTTCAACTGGGCCACCCATGTCCCCCACCTTCAGTATGAACTGATACTCATGTGTCATTGTCAAGACCCTGTTTGTATTTTACTTGCAACTGACTGACTGATTGCACGGGAGTCATGGTAATCTCCCCTTGTAGAGAAAACCCTTTGGAGGTCAACTGAAAGGTAAAACACTCACATGACTATCTGTGACTTCGGTCTTCGCAAACACAGTAAAGATGTCAGCAATTCCTCCATTAGAGATCCAGATCTTACTGCCGGTGAGGTGAAAGAATCTGCCGTCATCAGACAGAATGGCGCGGGACTGGATGGATGCTGCGTCACTGCCACTGGAGGGAGAAGATGTAACCATGGCAACTACTTTCTAGTGAAACACAGCTTTGTAGCCAAGCAAAAGATACAAACCACTGACTTTAATTTGATATTGACATACAATGATGAAAACTGTGGGGGTCCCAGTGTAGTTGAGTTTGTTTGCAATATCGGCAGCCTTTAGCTTAAGGACCCCTAAATCTTACATTCAGCTTTATATTGCAATAACACCCTGTATCTTTATGTTGAAACACTGCATGTATAGTGCATTTGTCAACAAGGACTATTCCCACATGGAATTAATTCCATCAGGAACAATATTGCATCATGGAACAAAGTCACTTGTAAAAACTGTTCCATGGGAATAATTCCACAAAAGAAAAAAAAGTACAATGAACAATTTCATTCCAGGAATAGACACTTTTTGACAAACTGTCCCGCTAATGAAATCACCAACTAAGACCACAATAAATTGCTTATTAGATTTCCATCCACTTAAAAAAGAGGGAGGCATTCTTTGTTCTACATATTATTTTTTTAAACATGTTAAAAGAAACTTCTCAGATGTGACTCACAAGAAGCATGGACGTTTGGCCATCGAGACTGGCCGATGGCAGAATATACCAAGAGAAGACAGACTTTGTCAACTTTGTGATTCACTCTCGGTTGGAGATGAGTTTCACTATCTTTTCAGATGCGAAGCTCTACTCCAACAAAGAATTCAGTATATTCCAAAAAAATACTACTTGTGGCCAAATATTTTTAAACTCTGTAGAACTGTTTCACCCAAAAGGCTAAAAGATATAAGGAATTTGTCCAGATATATAGTATGTCTATGTAAGTTAATAAGAAAGAACCGTTGACCCTGTCACTACTTGTCATGTTGATATCTTTTTGCATTTTCATATGTATGTATATATACAGAGAGAGAGAGAGAGAGAGAGAGAGAGAGAGAGAGAGAGAGAGAGAGAGAGAGAGAGAGAGAGAGAGAGAGAGAGAGAGAGAGGTGGTGGTGGTTTCTTTGACAAATAAACTGATTCTGAATCCGGTAGATCAGTGAAACAATGTAATCATCAATTTATCATGGCAAGTGTTCTCATCACGCCACTACCTGGAGGGTTCCGTGAGGCAGAAGGCTGCTACGTGTTCTCCAGTTGCCAGCCGAGGGAGGTACTTCTGTTTCTGCTGCTCGGTACCAGCAATCAAGATTCCCTGCAAGTATCACACATCTCTCACATACCTCATCTCCAACTTTTCACCTGACATCTAGCAGTATGGCAGTGGGAGACACTAAACTGGCCCTTGTGAACCTGACGCATATTGCTGCAATACTTTAATCTAGGAGTCATGTCATGTCAGGGAGCCCTTCACTCAACTCTGCAACAGGGGTGTGGTGAAGTGGGGCTTAACATAGCATTCATGATTATAGCACTCATACAGCAATGTGCATTCACGTTTGTGTGGGTGCTTGTACTAGTCCGGACTAATGCCAGTCTTCTCATATATATTTTATAGTGCTAGCCCACAGAGATACCATGCAGCAGTTCAACATGGATATCTCACCCAGAGACAGTAAACTGACTCCGAGCCGACAAGTGCTTCGCGTTGTTAGGATGGTATGTTTTATTATAGCGGTAGGTAATTTAAAATGGATTGTAATGGCAAACACTTACTAACCTATTATATATATGTCATATGCAAAATGTTTTTTCTTGTTCTTTGTTCAACTTTTATGACACATCAATTAGGGTTGATCGATGCTGAAGTGAAGTGAATCAATACCCCACTCAGACACAGTATACTGACTCCGAGCCGACCAGCCCTTGTTTTAGGCCCTTAATGCCAACCCCAGACAGGGCAACAACAAGTACCATCTTTTAACGTATGATGTGGATGGGGATCGAACCCCAGACCTTCTGCTCTCCAGGACTCTCTACCACTAGACCACAGAGGTGGTCTGATCGATGCTGATTTTCTTGACTGAGTTTGGTAAACAAAGTACCTGTCATCAGCAACTCAAGGGCGGGCAACTCCATATTATCGTGGTATGGCTATTTTGTGGTGTGATACGCATGGATTATGTGGTTTACATCACTTCCTGCTGTGGATTATGCATATTAAGTATGTATACGACATAGGTTGGGTCAAGGGTCTTCGGCTAAACAAATGGGTTCTTGTCTAATCAATTTCGAATGAAGGTAGAAGTAATTCCACTTCAAAAACTTAAAAAAGTTAACGTGTACACTTATGAGTAGCCGTTACAGACCGCAACAAGTCATGTATTCGATCAAGCGATGAAAAATGCTTTCTGTGTCTGCACAAGTAAACAGTCGGGGTGTGGATTACGAGATTTACGATACCGCGATAATAAGGAGCCCATGATAATATAGAGTCATACTATACATGGGACCATCCTACATGACAGTGTGTTGTGTTACCTTGAGACCAATAGACTGGTGGGCGGCCAGTGTTACAGCGATGCCGCCATCTTGTGATGTTATCTCCGCTATTCTGGCATATTTGGTAGCATTGAGTCCAAGTCCACCTGAGGGCAAAAGCAGTGGTAACAACTCAGGTTCAACCCAACGACACGTCAATGATGACATACAGTGATGGCTTTGACATTTTAGATCACATGTCAGTGAAACTAAATACAGTCTTACTTACAACGTATGCACCGTGTTAGAGCTGAATTAGTGGTGTTCCACAGATTAATTGCCATGTTACACAATGATTAAGATTTAGGACCAAGGAAGTAACTCAAATTTGGAAGGCCTTCCTATAAGAAAATGTTTGTTTGTTTGTTTCACACAGCAATATTCCAGCTTTATGATGGCGGTCTGTGAATAATTGAGTCTGGACCAGACAATCCAGTGATTGATATCAACTGCATTGATCCATGCAAGTGGGATACGATGACATGCATCAACCAAGTCAGCGAGTCTAACCACCCGATCCCATCCCGTTAGTCACCTCTTGCAACAAGCATAGTCTCCTTTAAAGGCAAGCATGGGTTGCTGAAGACCTATTCTACCCTGGATCTTCATGTGGACTACTGCGGCTACAGCTGCTTGTGGCTTCTTACCATATTCTTGTGGAATCTGCTGACCGAACAGACCGAGGTCCTTCAGTTGCTGCATGGTGTCGTCAGGGATTTCCGCATTTGTATCGATGGCTTTTGAATCAACTGGAACAACCATCTCTCTTAGTCAAGATTGACTCTACACAACATATATTCCCAAACACTAGAAACATGTACAATGACATACAAACACATCAGGGAATTTAACAAAACTATTGAACTGATGACGGGTTCATCATGACAACTACTAGAGGTGTAACAATATGGCTATACAGTATTGTATCACGATATGAGGCCCGTGATACAATGCCTCGATTTACGACCCCTGTATCATGATACATACGAAACATTTCATTACAAGTATATTGGTGTAAAAACATGTGAACAATAACAGAAACTGTTCAAACACCAGCTTACACAGATTCTCTAGTATTTCATCCTTGGACAAAGATAGTATAACATTCAAAGTGCCCTCTAGCCAATATATTTCTGCCCTATATCATCCCATCTTTGATCTCTGAAATCAGTTGTGACTGACCTGCAAAAACAAATAATATCAAAGTACTGTATGGGGATACGAATCGTATTGCATCCATAGTATGGGGATATGTATCGCATCGTGACCCCACCGTATTGTTACACCTCTATCAAATACTTGTCTTGCTCGTTCCACAAAAGTTGAAAATACTGTTTACTAATTAAATGAGGAAAGCGTGCCTTTGCACAGGGTTTTCACGCTACGCACAAATGTGCATCCAATATGCACAAATGTTGAGAGTGGATGCAGAAAAAGAATATACTGCATCCAGAGGATGCATAATTATATTCATTGTACCTACATTGCCCTATTTCATCCATCCATCAAGACCACTGTCCACTTGATCATTGACTCATTCCAGGCTCTGCAGTAATTATCAAGACGTACAGTACACTACACATTTTCAGTACTTTTCAGGACCTCATATTGTTGCAAGGACCCTTGATGTTAATTGTTGGGGTCCCCTGGACTCCCAATGTTGAATGTCAAGGTAGAACCCTGCCTAGAACCCTGCCCTGCAAGACACAATCTCATTAAAATCAGATCTTTGTACTGAACAAAGATCTGAGGACATCCCATTAGGGGTCACGTCAGAACGACATTTCATCCGACCAATCAGAGCGTCTCTTACCAGATCATGAAAGTGACAGTCGGAATGTGTTTTCTAATAATGCAACTACGAAATATTAAACACGGGGTATTCTGAACGACAGTTACGGGTTTTATGGTGATATCCATACAATCTAGGCCATCTATAAGCCATTCCAGTGCGTTCTTCTTATCAGTTTTAATTTTTTTAATTGAGAACACATCAAAATATGTTTTGAAGCATAGTCACCAGTTTGAAACTAGTGTCGTGAAGCTCGAGAAAGCTGCCTTCTGATTGGCTAATGTCGATTTCTTGTCAGTCATTTCATTGGTCGGTCAAAATTCGCGAAAGGTCGTTCTGACGTGACCTGTAATGGGATGTCCTCAGATTTTTGTTAAGCGGTAGCGAGAACTAAGATCTGATTTTAATGAGATTGTGCAAGACATTTCCTGACCTATTTTTTTCCATGAAGAGTGCATTGTAGATATCCAATATATCTGACATTGCATTTCTAAAATCAGTTTCTGTTGTATCAGGTTGTATAACACATATTACCACATTTCTAAGATCAGTTCTGTTGTATAACACATATTACCACATTTCTAAAATCAGTTCTTGTTGTATAACACATATAACCACATTTCTAAGATCAGTCCCTGTTGTATAACACATATAACCACATTTCTAAAATCAGTTCCTGTTGTATAACACATATAACCACATTTCTAAGATCAGTTCCTGTTGTATAATACATATGACCACACAATCAGTTGATAATCATGAAAGCTACGACCATTACCTCCTTCGTCAAAAAATCTCTCGATGGGTTGTAGCATCTGATTGAGGTCATCCCATTCCTCCTTATCGGCTATTTCGGGATAAACCAACACGTCCTGAAACAACAGCAGATGTCTCCCTTTCATTGTCAGTAGCAACTGGTTCAGACACTTCCCCGGATCAAAGCCTAGCAAGTCAAACATCAGAGTTTGACACCATTGGTCATATCCAACTAGTTTGACTCATTTTGGACTTGTGATTCTGTAAACTAATTACACTGTGGAAGACAATAACTACACCCTTTAGATTTTCACAGACTTCAGACTGATGTGTATAGACCCTCTAGATTTTCACTGACCCCAGACATGCTAATGGACATGTCCCTGAATCATGAGTGTTATAGTTCAATCATGTCAATAGCAACAACACCTACCATGCTTTATGCTGAAGTTAGCTTCCATTACAATAATTATAATATAAGGACTTAATTCCTCTCATAAATATCATATTGCTGATACATGATGGGTAACCGGATAGTCCTTTAGCCATTGAACAGTATCTAAGAATAAGTCAACGTTATAATATTGTCTTGAATGGGAGTTACCATGGTTACAGTAAGAACAGATGAAGACATCCACAAAACAATACCTGTAAAGGTCTACTTGTCCGAATTAGTCCATTGACATTATTTTCAGTAGAACTTTGTGTTAAAGTGCAAGTATCATGCAAAATAGTAATAGGTTTTTCGTGCATCATGATGTACCTACCTAGTATGATGTACAATACGATGCCCTCCCCCCCCCCCCCCCCCAAAAAAAAACTGTTTGAAAACGTAAAGATTACGCTGTTGCGCTATTAAAAATATGTATTTTGTGATCTGTATTTGTAACAACCCAAACTAATCTTAAAAGTACCAATGAGGAGGTGCGGCTTAATTAGCAAGGCGGTGTAGGCCTGCAAGCTGATTAGGTATTATTACGAGCTGAGTACAGAATATAGGCGATCGTTTCATTAGTTGTGGGGAGACCTAGCTGTGTTGGACATATATAATAGTAGAGTATGGATAGTCTCAATCCGTGCCGTTCTATAGACATCGATTGATCTTTGTAGGCAGTTTGTGCTAATTAACCGGAACGGTATTTGTCTCAAATACACTCACTCATCTCACGACAACATGTCACTGCAGAAGGCCCACTGACTTGGTTGATGCATGTCATTGTGTCACAATGCGCAGATTGGTGCTCATGATGTCAGTCATTGGATTGTTTGGTCCAAACTTCGATTATTTAAAGACCGCTGTCATATAGCTGGAATATTGCTGAGTGCAGCATGAAACCATCTACCATCGGACGAGTGGGTTCACAGGGAGTATGTACTGTGCACTAGAGTGAGTGAGTTGGGTTTAACGCCGCTTTTAACAGTATTCCAGTTATATCACGGCGTGTCAGCTTAATGTGGGAGGAAAGCCCGAAGTGATGCAGGTCTCAGACGTTTACCACTTCGGTGAAACCCACGAGCATGGGTACGGTGCTGACAAACCTAGAAACATAATCGGGGTGAACCGGGATTCGAACCCACAGCCATAGGTTTCTGGCGTGCCCAAGGGACGCAACTCTGCACAGCGAATCGCGGCGCCTTTGACGACTGGGCCACCCGTGCCCCCCTGTGCACTAGAGATAGTAACAACACTGTAAAGACCTTTTAATCTATGTTGGTCCAAAGGCTGAACAACAACCCGGTCACTAGCAGGATACAATCTCAGCACCTGGCGCATGCCAACTCCTGTAGTTATATAAACCTAGGATCGAGTTCTAGTCGGTTTCATTTTATCCCAAGTTATGGCGTCTATAGTTGCCGATATGGTGTCCTACAGTCGAGACATGACCCAAAGTTTTTGACTTGACCGTTGGACCTCATAGTTATATCGCGGCTCTCGCAAGGGTATAATCCGGGTTTTTTTCTATTCAGATTATCAAAGCATTCTATTATTAGTGAATAACTGAACTACTTACTTTATCAAATTTTCCAAGAAATAAGTTCTTCGCAAAGGGAATGTTCACTGAAGGTTTGGATGTGACGATTTCAGTATTGGAATCTTTAGCAGAAGCTTCCAGCGAATCTTGTTTTTGTACTGGGCTGCTCGATGCCGGTGCTACGAACACTCTGTAAGCAACACCTGATCGTCTTGAAAGATGTCTGAGCGTTGAAATCATGTTTGTAAAATATTGCAAAAATACTGGCCAAGATTTGGAGGCTGTCTGCAACTAAGCGCAGTTCTTTCAGGGTCGAAGTCTAACTTGTTCTCCTGTTTTGAAAACCACGAAATGCGCTGTTTGGGAGGTGTTATTATACTGTAATGAGTCAATGACATATTGATTAAACGTTACTAACATACAAAACGTTGGCGTAAGGATTACATGGCATTCCATTAATGAAAAATGTCCAGTTCAATTTCCATATTTTGTTTTACTATCAATCAGGTGATTCATGACTCATTTTCATTGTGTATTATATATAATAACCGCTCCCATAGCACCTGCCTTCCGGTTTCTTCAGCTGACCCAGCTGTGTATGTTACCTTGGATTGAACGTTTGAAAGGTAAGCTTGTGAAAGACAAGGAGGCGTAGATATGTAAATATCGGGCCCATATTTATCCAACTGTTGTATATCAATTCATAGACGATCAGTCACATATTGTCGAAGAACCCGACATAATTAGCGAGGAACAACCGGATAACCTTACAGCAAACACAAACCTGCTTCTTGTAAGGAAATATATAAATATACATATCTGCCCCAGATGTACGTTATATTGATTGTGACTCAGAGATAAGGCGAGGTAGTTCCAACATGTGTTTGCCAGTCAGGGACCTGTGATTCATCAGCTGTCATGATCAATAACGATAGTTTTCTGTATGTTCTGACCTACGGGTGTTGTCATGGTCAAAGATATATTGGGAAGATATTTTAGTATTTTTATGATATGTGATATTGATATGTGTCAAACACAGTAATGATTGTGAACGTACTTGTTTTTCTGCAAATGTCAGTTCGCTTAACCATTTTAACATGTTTAGTCAGCTGACAAACTCTATTGCTGATCTATTTAGATCCCTTCACATAACACCCGGATCCTAACTTCCACTCTAAGAATATATACATTAGGTAGATAAATATGCCTACCTTTAGAATACAGTACCACAAACATTTCAAACATGTCATAGTACCCTTTGACATAATTTGTGATAATTTGTTGCCAGATACACCGGCGAAACAATGCCCTGTGGCGTCACGGGTCATCAAGTGTGCATAAGCTCCTCTCAGTGATCTGTCATATCTACATACTAGTTCACTGAGTAAGCTCAGCGAGGTTGAGAGTTTTCAATATTCATTCACTAAATATAGCCTGCGGTGGCGCATGTTATCATGTTTATAACAGGCACCAGTTTATGAAGGCATTTATATGTCCAATATACATATTTTTTGTTTTTTTCTAAACTCATGTTGATGAATGGATTGTAAATGGGAACTAATATGGATATTTTATTTTTTTGATTTGATAGTTTTCATTATTATGCTCAGGAATGCAGATTATTAGGTATTTATATGAGGACTTTGCACATGCGTAAGCATGTTTTTATTGTTTTTACTTTCATTTGCATTTATTCTTCGAGTGATCGAGTGACAAGGATGAAGTTGTTTGATGTCAAAGTTTTGGCTACAGGAAACTTAACTGTCATGGATTTTCCACCTAAGCCACTTTCACTAACTATGACTACGCTTTGTTTGTAATGATTGAAAATCTGACTATCACTTGTATAGTCAGAAGTCATGCTTATACCTTCCTAGTTCCTTACTATGATCCACGTTATCCTTACAATATTCCCTCCCACACAATTCTGTGACAAAATCAACCATTGAATTATTAACATAGTCATTCATGAGCATGATGAGTACTCGTGAATTCAACGTCTGACGCTAGGAGCTGTTCCCGCCATATTGGCTCATTCCTTACCACTCAGTATCTTGTAGATTATGAAATGGCATCAAGATCACTCGTGAGTTTCCGTAGACTAAAGTCACAAGACCCCATGTCTACTCGTAACCTTCGTAAGTGTCCATCACCTCTCGACCCTTTCCGTTCAGTTCCGTAACGTCTAGGCATGGCTTGGTAAATTTGCACTAGGTTTCACAATGTGGAGATAGCTCAGTTGGCTAGCTGTTCGGCTAACAATCAGAAGGTCACGAGTTTGAGTTTGATAGATTCTCACAAAAACTGGTTACTTGTCTTTGAGACACGGGGCCTACGGCAGAGATCATTCTCACAAGAAGTTGTGGTACTGTGTTCCAAAGGTGCTCCGATAAATAATGAATGAAGAAATATGAAATGTGTGTATGGTCTGAATATTAACCTTGTACAGTAATCATGTAGCAGAACTATATTTTAACTTTCTACTGTTCTATGTGACGTGTGTTTATCATGTGTATGTTTCTTCACAGATGGCAACTCAGCAGAGAGGCAGACTTCCTCCAGAGGATGAGAAACGTTTACAGTTGAACTATGAACTCCTTAAAAGTGAACTTGATGGAAAAGATTTAGTTGATAAGATGTTTCAGAGTGGTATTTTCTCTGTAGATGACATGGAAGAAGTAAGAAATGCCATGCCAAATATACGAAGTAGGAGGATTGAAGTCTTTCTGACTAAATTATTCAACTCAGGTCGCAATGGTTATACAGTGTTTTTGGATGCGATTAAAGATGCTGGATACAGACATGTTGCGGAAACTCTCGTCAACACTGTTCTCGTTTCTGAAGCTGCGGAAGGTAATAATGAAAATTATATTTATATTAAATGAAAGAGTTTAGGCCATTGTTGCCTTTCTCTTAAACTGTTTGATATTTTATCCTTACCCATGATATTCAGTCAATCACACAGAGTTCACGTTTACTGGTAATTACCAGTTTTTTTACTGTTAAATTATGCTTTGACCGGTAATTCATGTGACTGCCAGACCCTGGGGACCGGCAAATAAAGTACCTTAAAAAACATTGTTGATATTCATATAAGTATATTTTTCGAACAAAGTTAGCTTATCTGTTACTATCAGGGTTTCCCCTTGTCTAATTTAAGTGTAAGGAATTAACATTTCGTTTTGCTTCAAGGTTAAATACATATTTGTAGCAACTTAATCTCAAAATATTCACACAAAAAAGAGGGAAAATTGTGACTGAAATTCGTGTTCAAAATTTGAAGCACTGGTGGAAGAGAGGAGCTGTATGGCTGACTGTGCTCGACAGGGAGTTTCAAGGTCTTTTCACTACCCATTTCCCCACCCCCAAAACATTCTCAGTGAATTTATTTTTAAAAACAACAACTACAGATTTGCTCAGTTATTATTCCTTATGAGGGGGGCATGGGTGGCCAAGTTGTCTGAGGCGCCGTGATTTGCTGTGCAGAGTTGCGCCCCTTGGACACGCCAGAAACCTATGATTGTAGGTGACATGCCGTGATATAACTGGAATAATGTTAAAAGCGGCGTTAAACTCAATTGAGTTTTAGCTCACCTGACTGAAAGTCAAGTGTGATTATGGTATGGTCTACTTGTCAGGCATCCATTGGCAGCTTCTCAAAACCACTGGACCAGGGAAGCTGAAACTTCACATGCTGTTTAAGCTATTACTCTAACTCAGTCAATTTTGTTCCAAATATCAGAAATTTGATACATGTATTCTGATAGTAGTGGTCTTAACATATATATGATGTATGTTCCATTTCTGCAATATTTGCTTTAAGACTATATTAACTTCTTACATGTCTTAAGGCCAACCATTTTTGTTGAATATATGATGAAAATTGGTTCATGTGTAGTTAACATGGTTAGATTTGGGATTCAATGTGCATATTTTGTTTTTCGGATTATATATGCTGCTGCTACTGCTATTATTATTAGGCCTCCAAGCCAAAATGCTGTAGATCCCTATTGTAATCGTGCGATTTATTATTATTATTATTATTTATATTTTTTAACTTATCCTGCATTACTCCGTATTGCATTTACTGCTGTCTTTGACAGAGAGACGAACTGTGTGAGATCCAGCTGCTGAAGAAAGTTGTCCCAACCAGCCCAGGAGGCAGCGCCCTCTCACAGTCGGCACGTGACTCGGAAGTCATGACGTCACACCAAAAGACATAACTGCTTTGTCACCTCCACGGACGGACGTACTTTGTATCCCTTGTGGAAATTAAAGCTTATTATATGTTTTTTATATTTTGCGTGTTTCTACATTCATTATATGCTGCTACATTGTTATCTGTTATGGGCCGTGACCTTAGGGTCTTCCCATTCGTAAATTGTAACGTTTATCGCTCGTCTGTGGCTCACGTCACAGTAATTTACGGGCGCAATGTTGTTCCCGCCATTTTGTTTTCTTTCCCGCCATTTTGGCCATTCACCACGTGGCCACGTAATGTCGTGTTCTGCGTTTTGAATTCTCTCTTTGGCTTGGGTAATACATTACATTTATGTATGTTGTTTTGGTGTGCTTAAAGCCTTGCCTTTTCGCTACCTCTCAGCGTAATTGTTTCTTCTCATAAACTTCAATATAATACGAAGTTTTTGAGTTACATTATGTCTCCCATACTTTGTGATTGGCCACATGGTTATGTGTTTGCTTAAAGCTATGCTTTTTCGCTACCTTTTAGCGTCATTGTTTGATCTCATAAACTTCATTGAAATACAAAGTTTCTGAATCACATTATGCTTCCCATACTCTGTGATTGGCCACATGGTTATGTGTTTGCTTAAAGCTATGCTTTTTCGCTACCTTTTAGCGTCATTGTTTGATCTCATAAACTTCATTGAAATACAAAGTTTCTGAATCACATTATGCTTCCCGCACTTTGTGGCTTTGCCACATAGTTATTTCTCTTTCTGATTAAATCCTCCTTGGGGCACTTATTGCATTTTCCTTGCTCAAGAAAATCTACATGACATAGTTGTAACCATTTTCCTTAATAAAAAATGTTACCACACAAAAAACTTCGTTTTTGTATGATATACGACCACCCTTACGGGGCCTCACCCCCAACGGCGCCTCACGCCAGGGGGAGCAACTCTCACCCAAATCACTTTCCTTATGTCATCTGTAAGAGACAGACGTGTTGATTTTTCACACAAGACAAAATAAGAGAAATCTATCGTTCGACAAGAACCATGGCTGACCAAACTGTATGTATGGTACATTTCTTTCATTGCAAAGGCGTAATACCTCGCATTGTGAAGTTATAGAGTTGTAATAATACGCCACGTGCACGGTACCTTTGAATTCAAATGGCCGTAATGGCGTCCATATTGTAGTTCCACGGGCTGATACATGTAACACCAAGGCCATTAAGAAACGGCTTGGGGTTTTGTTATATCATACAGCATTGGTCTACAATTTTTTCCTTTACAAAACCCAAGGTGGTGTGTTAATTCATAAACTACACTTACCTTTTTTACGGGTTTTACACCTTAGCGTGTAACACGCCCCTTTGGTGTTATAATTATACTACGACATTGGCTATTAGTATCGCGTTACAAATCGCATTCTACATTACGCCTTTGCTTCTAGTTTCACAATTTATGCACGTATCTTTCCGATCTTTAAATCGCACTGATACACGTTGATACCCTTCCCGCCCACCTCAGAAATTACGGTCTTGTTTACAAGACCTTCAAACTGTGTACTGGTTGTTCTAAGACAGGCACGAACGCTGCCTAATATGTCTGGCGGAGGACATTGCCTTTACCCCCCGGGGCCCCCAAAAAGAGACAAGTTGACTTGTTCCACTTTAAAGAGGTCTATTAAAGGCGGGGGTAGATATCAGATCTACTAAGACATCCCCCCCCCCCTCCCCATCTAAAAAGGGTAAAAAAGCTGCCGAGATTGTCTCCCCCGCTCCCTCTCGAGGGTCCCCGTAGTAAGCACTGCACCCTCTCCTGCACTGTCTTTGGCAGACTTTTCTGCGTTACTTAAGTCGCAGATGGCGTCGATGATGGAGGAGGTAAAGTCTCAGCTCCGAGAGGAGATGCGGACCGAGCCTTCCCCGTTGTCGGCGCCGGACGCGGCTTCGAGACCTTGTGATATGCCCGGCGTCGGCCGAGGCAGGCCACTTGGTCTTGGGGACGATCTCAGACCCGGCTTCGGCGCCGTCTCGAGGTCGCTCCCCAGCGGAGGGGTGGCGGGCGCCGGCCCGTGCACTACCGACGCACAATTTTTCCCTAGCGGAGCCAGACGCCTCTTCTGAGGCCGAGGCTTTCACTAGTGGATTCGTAGCCCGGAGCCAGGGGGGTTCCCTTGGTCTCGGGGACGATCCGAGACCGAGCTTCGGCTCCGGCTCGAGGTCGCTCCCAAGCGTAGTGGTGGCGGGCAACGGCCCGTGCACTACCGACGCACAATTTTCCCTAGCGGAGCCAGACGCCTCTTCCGAGGCTGAGGCTTCCACTAGTGGATACCTAGCCCGGGTCCAGGTTGGTTCCCTTTGTCTCGGGGACGATCCGAGACCGAGCTTCGGCTCCGGCTCGAGGTCGCTCCCAAGCGTAGTGGTGGCGGGCAACGGCCCGTGCACTACCGACGCACAATTTTCCCTAGCGGAGCCAGACGCCTCTTCCGAGGCCAAGGCTTTCACTAGTGGATACCTAGCCCAGTGCCAGGTGGGTTCCCTTGAACCTCCGTCACCTCGGCACCGGGACTTGGCCTCGGCCTCGTGCCGGGTGCAGAGACACGTGCGGGACAGGATTGTCCAGGTACTGCCTCAGGTGGCTGCGCCCATGCCAGAGTCTGAGACACCCAACTTGACTAAGGTCAAGCAGGGCCGGCGGTTGCCCCCCCTTTCCCGTGTGCGGTGCGGAGTTGAAGGCTGCTTACATATGCTTCGAGGAGCAATATCATAATGCATGCCAACAGCTCCGTGTGTCCGTACACTTCGCGTATCTGTCGGCTGTACAGAGGGAGTCAGCGGGAGAGGGGCCGGCCGACTCTTCAGAGTTGGCCGCACAACTAACGGAAGTTCAGTTATCTTGCGCGGGACGCTATTCGTAGCTGTGCCTCGCAGATGATGTGCGCTGTTATCGGCATGCGCAGGCGGTGCATGTCGGTATGTAAATACTCGACTTACACACGCCAAGACCTACTTGCTTTGCCGTATAAGAGGGTGCCACCCTCTTCCCTGGGGCTCAGCAGGTGGTCCGAGAGGCTGCTCAATTGTATACTTCCATCAAAGACTCATAAGGCCTTGTTGGAGGTACCAAGCGTTAAAACCGCGTAAGCGGGCCTCTCCAATTGTCCCCTCCTACGCTAACGCACGGGTCAGACGTCCACACCTGCTTGGAATCTGTCCCAGGGGGCTCCCCCTCGACACTCCCGTTCCGTCTCTCACAGTTCAAACAGACGCATCACTCTCTGGCTTGGGAGGCGTTCTGAATGATCACACTGCCTAGGGACTATGGTCCCAGCAGGAGATCAAACTGCATATCAATGTGCTAGAACTGAGAGCGGTCAGGTTGGTGTTCCAACGCTTCCCGGATCTGCTTCGTGGCCAAGTGGTTCGTCTAGAGATGGACAACCAAACGGCGATGACTTACATCCGGAAGCAGGGGGGAACGGCGTCTCCGTCGCTTCGACGAAAGACGTGGCAGTTCCTACTATAGTGCGACTCTCACGATATCAGGGTGTTACCTGTTTATCTCCCGGGGGTGGACAACGTCCGTGCGGACGCTCTGTCTTGCCGGATCCTCGCTCCTCACGAGTGGAGGCTCGACCCGGGGATATTCGGGATTTTC